CGCAGCCGCTCAGCCAAGCTTTTGCAGCGGCGAGGGTGCAGGTGGCTTGCTGTGGGTGACGCAATGAGGTCGCAGTAATGCACACACACAATACATGTCATAAATAACCAAGAACATAGAGCAGGCAGACCGCTGCATGCGCGGGACGCAGTGCAGGTTGAGCACACTACTGATGGCTTGAGCAGTCCATACATGTGTGGTTTCGCTTTCCGTATACATCCGAGGACATACATGGCGCCTTCATACATGATGAGAAATGCTTATCTGCTACAGGTGCAGCCCTGGGGGGTTTAGTCCGGTGTCAACAGTGACCTGCCAAGAGAAAAGCCGTGCAGAACGGCACAATGCAGCATGCCTAATTCTCGGCATGAGTTTATTGTAACAGCAGTTCACATACACCGTAGCATTTACATGCAGCCAAGGCCGTCCCGCGGTGGGCTTGAATTCAACCGATGTACTGCTTACATGCCGGCACATCAAGTTGTATCACAGAGGTGCAGCTTCCGAGGGGATGTCAATATCCTGCCTCGCCCTATCAGAGCGTGTGCTTGGGGGGCTAGTACGCCGTATAGCAGAAGCTGACACGCAGATCGGGGCGTTGACGGCAAGTGGCCTACCCAGGCAGTATGGCACGCCAGTGAAGATCGAGAGGGAAATCCGTGGTTGCTAGGCACTGAGGAACCAAGCCATCGAGTTCCATAAATTGCAACGACACTGATACCGCCATCATCTCTTTTCTTTCCATTGGATCTACCTGCCACATCCCACCTCTTCAGGCATACTGCGCAACTACGTCTTAATGCAAGTGATCGTCAGGGATGATGCGTTGGTCAAACATGAGAGAGGAGTGGCAATCCACGCGCCGACACCCTTCTGCTTCAACGCGGCTTTTTTTTATGTCGGCTACGTATCGCAAAAGTCCGGTCGTTCTACATATTCACACGGTAGCAGCAAAACGCTTGGCAAAGCATGTTAGAACTCGAACACCCCGGGTATTGCCTCATTCCATCCTCTGTGGCTGTGGAAGGAGGCCTCGCAGGATTGAAGTATTGCTAGGATACATGTCAACCACCCATTACCAGCGCAAGCCGAACAGAAGAACTCGAAGAATGTATACACACAGTCCACATATCGGCCCGGACCCTTAGGGTTCATAGTATAATGAACATAACCTGCGCTTGTGGCGACCGCCTTAGTGGGGTTGCTGACATTTGCCGCCCATCTACTACGACGCTGCTGCACATCACCGACGCCCAGTCGTTCCCCACACATGTGTCTTCGATGATCAGAATGCACCAATGCTAGCTTTTACTGCAGCGTGAGATATATCGGGACAAGGAGAGAGGCTACTTAGGTGCATTGGCTTTACGGGGCGGGCCATTGATTGACAGGTGCCACACCAGTTGATAGCTGTGCAGATGAGTGAAAAGTCCAGGTTGTTTATATCTGACCTATCATGAAGGCCAATAGATGAGGCAGAAGGCGGATTGCGTTGGTGGTGTTGTAGAATAAGAAGAGAACCACACATATGAGATGCCCAACTCCCAATGGAATCAAATGAGGCCCTTTCTTCTCCTGCTTAGTTAGTTGCTGCATAGCTTGTCCTTGAGTGGCCCATACGGTCCATATCTTCATCCTCAAGTGCTCTCAACACGAAGTGACCATGAAGTCTCACCTTAACATTCCGTGGCATGATTCCACCCTGTCCACGCCCTAATCATAAAGTTTAAGCACATTCTTCCTAGCTTCTTGTTGTCCCCGTTGCGACCGTCATTACCGCTTCTTGAATCCAGCTTCCTCGCGACTATTGTCTAAGTGAAACCAAAGCCCTCGGGCCCAAAAGGAGAGCCAATTACAGTCCTGAACCCCAAGTGCAGGTTCGAGCTGTCCACATCCCGTGCCTGCCGCGATTATAATAAGGACAGCTGGAACACATGCTTGACGGGCTTGCAGGCATACGGTGGTGAGCCCGCCTGCCTGCTGAGGATGGATATTGAGGGTAGGCAGTTTTTGGGCATATTTCAGGCCCCTCAAAGCGACCTCTCTTCAATTTGTTTCTGGGATTGCCGGGGGGGGGGCATGAGTACAGGTTTTAAGACAAAGTATGACCAACCTTGGAAAGCGTGGTTCATTCCGTCGTATCTGCAGGATTTCTTTACGTTTGTGCTTGGATTAGTAGTCGATGCTTAGTATGGGATTGAAGACATCGAAACCATGGTTCTACCACCCGATACACTGGCGAGCTGAAGAACAACGACCACCTCAACTCCACGTCGCTCAAGACGGAGATGCGCGGCCGGCACCCTGTCGGGCCTCAAAGAGATCGGGACGCTTAATCAAGACAACCATCATCCAGATGATGGCTCAGCAGGACCTGACACGCTCCTTACCGCGCCTCACCACCTTACCACCTCTGCAGTCTCATCTAAGTGAGATGTGAGGATTCAGGACGTGGTTGGCGACGGGGCGGAAGCAGACAGCTGGTGTCAACCTGCCGCTGGTTGCTCGCATCAGCACTGTGGCTTATGGGCGTGAATCGTGCTACCAGTTGACGGTTGCGAGTGGATTTAAGATCGCGATCGACTTCACCGTCAACATCATGCTGACGGCAATGGCGCTATATAGGGTACTTAAGTACCTACCCTCGCTGGCTGTGATCCGTTGGGAAGTATTTCATACCAGAGTGCCGATCGCTGCGGGCTTAGGAGCGCCGGGCTCGAAACATCATCAAGGAGAAGCTCGCGGCGGGGCGGCATTCCAGGGAAACTGAGGCAGATCTGTGTAGCAGCAGCGAGGCACAGCCGAGCAACGCTTTGGACTAGGTACAAAGCCGGCCAGCACTAGAGCCAAGAGGACGATTACAATCCGACACTAGTCCAGCCGATGATGGCCTGCTGACACAGGTGATCTTGGACCTGGCTGTGCAACAGGATCAGATGGAGCCATTGAGGAGGGCAACTATGCAGGCACTGGATGGGATTCGACGAGGCAGCTACACAGAAGATGAAGACACGGAACAATGTATTGAAGTAGACCCGGAGGATGAAGCCGACGGAGCTGATGCACATCGGTGAGCTCCTTGCTTTTCGGTGTTGCTGGGCTTCCTCGAGCGGCTTCGGCAAGCACCGAGTCGGGAGTATCTATCTAGTCGGGGCCGAGACGAAGATGACCAGAAAGGCTGGCATGACACTATTTGTGCTACTGCAGTCATGGAGCGAGATGTCCTCGAGGATGTCACGACTCACTACCCAGGTATTTCGGGCAACATTCAACTCAAGCACTGCTTGGCTAGTATAATTATGTCATGATTACGCGCTGCCCTGTACAAGAGACCGGACAAGTATGACGGATGTCCATAAGTTTTATGGAACGAGGCAGCAAGGTGGGAAGGAGAAGGCAAGTCCACGGATCCTTCAGACACTCTCGCGTTACTGTGCTTGCACTGAACGGGCATGCTGGTCAGCACGACGACAGCAGACTTGCCTGCTTTTGGCTACGGTCGCCATGGTTGCCCTGGGCGCTTCTTTGCCGTACATGAAGTCGGAACGTGAGGAGCAGAAGGGTTCATCGTCACACGAGCCGTTCAGTGCAAGGATTCAGTTCACCGCATAACTGCATCTAGGTGGCACCATCCGCTGAAGCAACAATGTCTGCTGAGTTGGTCAATTGATAAGGTTCGGTCACCCAGACCTCGCCAGCAAAGTTTCCTGTGAGGACCTCGGGGAAGCAAGCCGGCAGACATGAGATAGAAACCTACCTATTAAGCACCTACCTACCTACCATAGCGCTCCCTAGGGGTTTTTTAAATACAGTCTCTAAACCATCCCTTTTACTTTAAAATAATAAGCTAGATAGTTCCTAATATCTTAAAAATATTTTCTTATTAATATTTTTAATAATAATTATAAGATATATTAATACTTTTTTAAAAATTTAATATTATTTAAAATATAAAAATTCTTTAAAACTTTTTTTAAAAAAAACCTTTTAAATATTTTAAAATATATATATAAAAAATAATTAAAGTATTTATAAATAAATAAACTAAGTATAATTATTTAAAATTTATTAAAAAATTATTTTTAAAAGAATTTTATAATTTTTTTTATTAATTAATCTTTATATTAAAATAAAAGTATAATATAAAAGAATTTTAAAAATTAATATTTATTTATAAAAGATTTTTTTTAAAAAAAACCTTTTTTATTTAAAGGTATATTAAGGAAGAAAGGGTTATTAGTAGTTATAGTTATTATTAGAGAATATTAATTAGAAAATACTATACTACACACCTTAAGGTTTTTAAAAATTATCTCTATCTAATTATAGTCTAGTAATAACTATAATTATTAATAGTCCTTCCTTCTTTAATACCCTCTTTAAGTAAGAAGGAGGTTTTTAGGAAGAAAATTAAGTTTTTAAAAGGTTTAGTCTTTAAATTTCTTAATATTAAGTTTTTACCTTAATATAAAAATTAGTTAAGAGAGATTTCTTCTTTTATTTCTTTAATAGTTTTCCTTTTTTAAATAGATCTCTAGCTAGCCCTATATACTTACTTATATATTATAGCCTTTAGTTAGGTTCCTTCCCCCTTAAGGGAAGGAGTCCTTTAGGCTCTCTAGAAGAAAAGGGAAGGTCTTTAAAGGATTTTTTAGTTTTAAAGAAAATCTAGTCTTAAAGAAAGGTATTAATATACTTTATAGTTATTACTAGAGAGTATTAGTAAGGGAATGGTTTTAAGGTATTAGGGACTATTTAAAGTACTGTTTTAAAGTAAAAGGGATGGTTTAGTAACTGTTTCTAAAAACCCCCTAGGGAGCGCTATGGTAGTTTCTAAAAACCCCTAGGTATGTGATACGGTACCTGCCAGGATCCGGGAACCCAGGGGACCTGCCCCGCCTTATCGGCCTTATCAGATCTTATCGCAGCTCCCCACTGCCAATGCCTGGGTGCCTAGGTAGGTACCTAGGTACCTAGGTAGGTAGAAAGGTACTCCGTACCTAGTAGCTGCCATGGCAGCTATGTCTATACCAAGGACCATAAGCGAAGCTCATCTTCAAGGTTTTGTTTCGGCAGAGTGTAGAGTGCCAGACAGTTGCTTTGCTGTTCGCAGGCTGCCCCTATCTGCAAACAACTAACCCCCTGTGGCCGGCAATCCTATGCGGCAGCGGGCTCCCTGCCCTCAACCTGCCCTACGTCAGCCAACACGAGCGACACGCATGACGAATACGCACGCACCAGCACCACGCAGCGCCGCACGACAACACAAGATACAACACGACGATGGCCTCGCAGCAGGTCCCCGAGGAGGCCGTGGCCATCCAGAATGTCCTCTCCCAGGCACAGTCGGCATCTGACTTCAACCAGACTGCCGACCAGATCTTCGCCTCGTCCCTGGGCATCGTGCACACGCGCACACTGCTGAACTCGCTCATCACAACCCTCCGCCAGCGTCGGGACTTGGACCTCTGGATTCAAGTCGGCAACCACCTGCTCGAGGCCCTGACTGCCTCACCCACCTCGTCGTCCTCCTTTATCGAGCAAGCCGCGACCCTCCGTGAACTGATCGCCGAGGCCCATGAGGAGAGAGAAGACTTTCGTGATGCTGCCCTGGTGTTGGCCGAGATCCCGCTCGAGACGTCCCAGCGCCGTGTCAGCGACGAGGACAAGGCCCGCGTGTGGGTTCGCATCATGCGCAACCATCTTGAGGTCGACGACCCCACCGCCGCGGAGGCCTACCTCAACAAGCTCAAGAACGTCATCTTCGCCATCGCCGACCCGACCCTGCAGCTGCACTTCAAACTCAGCCAGGCACGCATCAACGACGCCAAGCGCCAGTTCCTTGCTGCCAGCCAGGCCTACCACGACATCTCCTTCAGCAGCGCCATCGCAGACGACGAGCGCCTGCACACCCTTGGCATGGCTATCAAGTGTGCCATCCTCGCCCCTGCCGGGCCGCAGCGGTCACGTGCTCTGGGCCGCCTGTACAAGGATGAGAGGGCATCTTCCCTTGATGAGTTCGCCATCCTCGAGAAGATGTTCCTCGATCGCCTTGTCGCCCCCGCCGAGGTTGACGCATTTGCCAAGGGCCTACAGCCCCACCAGCTGGCCACCACCGCCGACGGGAGCACCGTGCTGGCCCGCGCCATGGTCGAGCACAACCTGCTGGCCGCCTCGCGCCTCTATGTCAACATTGACCTCGACGCCCTCGGCGTCCTGCTGGGGCTCGACGGCGAGAGGGCAGAGGGCACAACCGCCCGCATGATCGAGCAGGGCCGCCTGGACGGCCACATTGACCAAATCGACCGCTGCGTGTGGTTTGACAACTCCCGCACTATCGCCCAGTGGGATAGCCATGTGCTCGGCGTCGCCGAGGATGTCGAAAGCGTCGTCGGTCACCTGCAGAAGGAGATCCCCGGCTTCGTTTCCCAGAACCTGGCAGTATAGCCTGCTGCCTTGGGTACCTGGGCATTGCCTATACGGCGCGCGTGCAGGAATAGACCTAGACGTTAAAGCCACCACAAGTTGGAAGGACCGGCCGGCGCCCTTTGTGCCAATGGAGACTCTACATGGGAGGCCTCGCACCATGGCGAGACGCGTCAACGTAGACTTTCTTTTTTCCCGGGGGGGGGGGGGGGGAGAGGGCGCGGTCAAGGGGCAGCGGTCTGATTGAATCATTGATCACGGCCCGGATGAGAAAATTCAACAGAATACCTGCGGAGACACTACAGGCATAGCAGAGAATTAGCCACGCGAGATTCGCACAGAGAAGAGCGGCCTGATGGCGAGGGAACGACCACAGGGAATAGTTCCTGCAAAAACAGTGACTTGGCTCATATGTCTGCTACGATTTGACTGGGAAATTATGGTCTATGGCGAGGGTCTCGTAAACCCAGGGCAAACAGCCGAGTGGTGAGGACGACCTGTACCTTAAAATAACCAATAGTATTCACGAAGGCACGACATCCCAATGAGAAATAAACAATCCCAATAACACCCACAAACGCTTATGGAAAAGAGGGCGTAGGCGCCCATGCGACCTTCTAACCAACGCCATGCTGTGTTGCGGTTGTGCCAACCAAGTGCGTTCCATCCTGGCCATCCCGGCCATCCCAGCCATTTCACTAGATAAAAACATTGAAACGCAAGCAAGAGCCGAACGAAGCAGTCGTATCGCGGCTCATTCCAGATCCTTCCTTCTGACAACATAGTACCCATTCTCCAGCTTGTGTTCGTCGCCGTCCTCCTCTTCAAAGATCTTGTCGTCATCTTTGAATATTCTCTTGCGCCTCGTGGCGCCGGCGCCGTTGGCCTGCTGCGGCTGCAGCCGACCGGGCGGCATGATGATCTCTACCAGGCGGGCGGCGATCTTTTCGCCCATCAGGTCGTAACCAGCGGGTGTCAGGTGGATGTGGTCGTCCCAATAGGTCTTGCGTTCCTCCGGCGCAAGGGACCAGAAGGGGATGGCGGTGTTGAGGTCAAAAGTGAAGCTAGGTTGCGCCGAGGGCCATGTCAGTCGATCAGCTGCCAGTGGAAAGGAAAGAAAAGGAGGCGGGGAGGGGGAATGAAACCCGCAATGAATGTAGCCTACAAATTCTCCTGACGGTGTCCAAGTATCATCCCGTTGAGCTCGTCCCGCCTTGCCTTGACCCTCTCGCCGATTTGCCCCCTCACACCCGCCTCTGGCACGGTGCACGCGAGCACACGGCCCCCTTTGCTGAGTGCGACGTCCCACACGTCCCGCAACGCCTTGTAGATGTCCTCGGCGGTGAACTGGAAGGCCAGGTCGTTGGTGCCGCCCAAGACCACGGTCCAGTCATACGGGGTGCCGCCGCCCTTGGTCAGGAACTTGGGCTCGATGCGCCGCAGGAAGCGCGATCCGGCCGTGCACACCACGTCCCCGGGAAGGCCGTCGGCATGTGCGTCGATGTTCAGCGAGGGGAAGGATTCGGACAGGACGGCCGTCAGGCGCTGCGAGTACGGGTGCGACACACCACCCAGCTGCGAGTAGCCCGACGTAAGGGAGTCGCCGAAGCAGAGGATGCGGAGGGAGCGTTTTGGTTTCTGGTGCGCGGCCTGGGAGGGAAACGACGCAGGGTCGTCGCTTGGGGGCTTGGCCGGGGACGAGGATGGCGGCGACCACGTCGACGTCGCCATGGTGGCGGGCCGCTCACGGTTGCGCCTCGGCTGTAAGCAGCGTGCGAGGCGGGCAAATGGGTTGAGCAACCTCAGATTGGGCAACTGTTGCGAGGGAAACTGTTGTAGAGTTGAAGGGATTATAAGTGGTCATGAGCGAGCAAAGGGGGAAAGGTAGCGAGCGTGATGTTATGGGTACTCATGGGTAGAGTGTAGCCAAGTCATGCGCATGTCACGGGCCCAGGCAGCTAGCGGCTTGTCGTCAAGTCGTTGACTACAGCCGGTCGACGGCACGGTGACGGATCCAGCAGATGACGAATGGAGGTGGTGATGGGGTGGGGGGTGGGGGGGGCGGGCCCTGCTGAGCCTGAAGCGGGGGTGGGGTTTGGGGCTGTTCTGATAAGAAGGTTGATAGTGTAAAACAGAAGCAAAGAAGTCATGCTTTTATTTCCCCAACTTCCGGCCCCTACAAGGCTGCAAGTGTGGGACAGAAGTTACTATGTAGTCCTCGAACCACTGTCGACCCCTCCGTCTGCCAGCCTGCCAGCCTGCCAGCATGCGAGCTCAGTCTTTGCGAGGAGGGCCTTGGAGGGCCTCCATGGCAAGCCCGTCGTCATTGCTCTGGTGCCGAGCTGAGCCCGTACCTCGAGCGACGCTGCCGTACTGTCCTTGGACTATTTTGCCCAGGGGGTCCACACACCCCCTTCAGAAGCGTGTCAGTGATTTATGCAATGGTCAGAGCGGAGGGAGCAGACGGGAGACCAACTGATTGTAGGCAAAGTGTTCTTCGGGCTTGTCTTGGAGCCAGCATGTGCACCAGTGCTTGCACCTGTCCCACGATTGAATCAGTTTGTGTGCAACAACGTGGCTGAGGACACGGAGAACATAGATCGACTTACCAAGCCACCCTCTCACGGTTGACCACGTACCAGGGCGAGGATGCGTCCAATTCCTTTTTCTGGTGCTTTGTGCCTGGGGCATGCGGCATGCCGCACTCCATGGTCAGCAACCAGCCGACCTCGGCATTATGTGAATAGAGGTGTCTGGGGCTCCTCACCATCAGGTGCGCACTCGAGCCACTGCCTGCAAACAGTGCTTGGTGTCTTCTTTTTGGGCATGTTTGATGGTGGATTGGGTGTGTCGTTGGCGTCAACGGGGCACATGACTTCGTACCGCAAGAGCAGGTCGCTTATTGGTATTGGGCTGCCCTGATGGCCCGCTTTGTTGACCTCTCGGTTGACCAGAGCCACAACCTCGTCATCCATGCTGACGGTGGGCTCATCGCTCACCTGGCCTGTGCCTGCAGCCTTGGAGGCAGCAAAGAGTCCAAGCAGAACGACCAGGATGGAACCAACAAGATTCATCGTGACTAGCTTTTGTAAGTTGGTAGTTGGTGGGGCTGGGGCCAAGAGGATTGCTGAAGATGGGCTGGAACAAGGAGCTGGGTGCTGTGCTGGAGGTTTGGCTTGCCAAGGACTTTGAGGGAAAAGCACGTCAAGTGGCAGAGAAGGAAGGGGCAGCGGAGTGCACTTTCCATTTGATACCTAGGGTAGTTGGCACCTGCAAGGACAGACCCATCTGCTGGACTGGTACCGTGGTACCGACTGAGTGGTAGCTGTCTCGTGAATTGTCTTCCAAGGTTTTCTGTCTCTTGAAAGCTGGCCTGGACTATTTGTGACGCTTTGCTGGTGCAAATTAAACAACTCAAGTCCCAGGCTTGTACCATCAGGGCTGCTAAGAACAGCAGCCCTCAAAGCTGGAATGGGGACCACTTGCTTCACTTGTTTTATTTACAGGCCCTTGAGCACCATTGAGACAACCACAACAGCCCTCAGGCTTCTGTGGCCACGGGGAAAATACAACTAGAAGAGTTATAGACAACCCCCATCCTCCACAACACAAAGCCAGTAGCTAGTTGCAGATTACACAATCACCTTGGTGGGCTCTTAACAAGCCTGTTGATACTTTCATGTCTGGTAACCCTAGGAAATATACATACCTAGCTGTGCCCACCTGTGCCCACCTGTGCCCACCTGTGCCCAGTAATTAGACCTGGGAACTTGCCAAGGAAATATCTATGATAATTCTCTAGGTATTTCGCAGAGACTGATCTCTGTTACGCTGAGTTTTGAGACACATGACCTCATGACTCCACAAGACTGGATAGGCTGCCAGTCATCCCCCAGTTTAGTAGATTTTGACTTAATTGAAATAGCTCTCTTTCTTGTTTTTATGGCTGGAGCAATTACATGCATGCCCAGGTGTTGTCAAAAGCCCCATCCGTGCACATGTGGGTCAGCAGTTATGTCTATCCACTTCCAATCAGATGGTCCCTTTTCCTGGGCATACCTACTTACTTAAGTACTTAAGGTACCCAATTTTCAAAACGCCACAGCACTCTTCAACTGAATCCACAACGCCTCCAAGAAGCACCACGTACTTCTTAAGCTGTGGAAGATACTACTCTATACATTCTCAAAAGCCTTACGTCTTATGCAACAAGGACTTCTCCATAAATGCAACCAGTGAGAAAAGCCACCACAGCTTCACTCCCTTAGCCGGAGTCCAAGGGCGTGTTAATCCTTTACCCTTCTCCTCTCACATTCACCTTTTTCTTGTTCCAGGAGTAACTAGCTATGCCCTCACCCGTCAAGGGATCATTGGAAGAGCCCCACACGAGTCTTTCTCTCGGGCCTCCATGCACACAGCAGGATAGACCAGCCAAACAATCAGCACTAGACCTCCTCTGTAACGTGTGCAGCACCGTGGATTGGCTTTTGGTTGCTGATTTGAGAGCCGTAGCTCGACGCCAGAAGAACCCTTGGTGCGTGGTGATGCCATCACTGGATGCGACTTGGGCTGAGCTCTGCGCATCACGCTGTAAGCAGCTCCCAGGTACCCCTTTGAAAACAAATATACCCCATTGTTAGCCCATGTGACAAAGACCTCAGGTGCTACATATCTACAGGTTTTAATGCATATTGTAGCCACCTTATGGCCCACTCTTTGCTATACTAACAGGAAGCTACTTGAATGCTGTAGGTCAGATCTGCCAATTATTGTCAATCATCAAACCTCCTGCCTACGACAGCCAGCAATGCATGCTATGCGCCTACATGGGCACCTATGGCTACACACAACTGCATGTGGTAGCCCAACAGCCCTATGGTATGCAAATGCCGAACCTACATGGGCAATTGGTCCAAGAGACTTTTCCAAGCATCACCGTTATAGGACCCAATGACGACCAGCACTTGAAGGGCACAGTAGTCCAACCGAATCTCATTCGTTCCGAAGATTATGATGAATTGAAGAAGATATTGAGCAACTGTGCGCGAACCCACCATCAGACCTGTAGACCGGTTTCCCCACGTCTTGGGATAAATGGTCTCAAACTGATTGAGGTGTCATCCGGGAGGGTAATCGAAGCTCCGGAAAGGTGCAAATACCTCGCATTATCTTATGTCTGGGGCAGTCAGCAGCATTCGGATGATCTAAGAGCCGCTCCTGCGGTGATCAAAGACACCTTTCGAGTCGCCGACAGGCTAGGAGTCAAGTACATATGGATTGACAAATATGCAAGTTTACATTACCCATGGGAAATTTCGAAGCGAAAAGATTAACCAAGTCATCAGTGCATTCCCAAAGAAGATCCAGAAAAGCAGGAAATGCTAGGTCGAATGGGCGAGATTTACTCCAATGCCTACTGCACGATCATTGCAGCCGCAGGCGAGGACGCGCAGACAGGGCTTCCCGGTGTCTCGAACAAATGCCGTCGAGAACAACGGACAGTAGGTCTCGACCGAGTTACTCTAGCCGAACGACCGTACAGTAAGGACCACGGCTCAGCTCTGTTGAGCTCCAGCAAGTGGGCAACGAGAGGGTGGACGTACCAGGAAGGTTATTTGTCCACCAGGCGTCTGATATTTACCGAGTATTGCCTTCTTTACCTCTGCAATAGGGAGTACACTTCAGAGCCTTTCCAGCACCGAGTTGCAACTACTGGGGAAGCCAACAGACTGTCATTCGCGCGCTTCGTCCCCCCGGCTACGTTTAGTGGTCACCGAGCTAGTACTGCAAGTCTTCGAGAACATATCCAGGAATACACCAGGAGAGATCTCAGTCATTCAGAAGATTCACTCAATGCCTTCCTCGGAGTCCTTGACTACAACTCCAAGACCAGACGCCCAATGGCACACCTCTGGGGCTTGCCACTGTACGAAGACCAAGCTAGGGCACCGCGGCCAAGAGATATATTGTTTGACCTTTTCTGGTGGCATGAGCGTCGTGGTACCCGTCGAAGTGGGTTTCCAAGTTGGACCTGGGCGGGCTGGGCAGGACCCATAAGGTTTCGCGCAAGAGATCGAGTTCGGATGCTTCCTAAGGGTGGCAGCGAGGGCTTGCGGCTCCCACCTCCTGGCCACCCACAAGGTATGATAATCAAAGTCACAGATGGCGGAGATAAGACACTACACGAATATGCGAAATCCATCCTGGAGAACACCGGCTCTCACGGCCTTCTCTCACCCCATTTAGGCCCCAAGATACTATCAGTATTCTGCCAGGTTCTGCCCTTGCGACTGCAACACCTTGATCTTTCCGAGGAACACATCAATAATGAGTACCTCATGAGCATCGAAAAAGCCTCGGCATACCCTATCAGTCAGTGGAGCCGCAGGCCTCATTATTCGGCAGGCGATCAGCTTGCCGTTGTGCAGGTCTGTAGTGGGCTGCGCATGTGCATAGAGCCTCGTCTGGACACAGATGTCGAGCCACAAAACGAATGCTTTGCTCTCCACATTGGGAGTGTTGGAAATGAATCCTCGGGAACATTTGTGCGCAGTCGAAGTCTTATAATTGTGAGACGTGTCTATGACGAATTCTATGAGCGTGTAGGACTGATACACTGGCGATTCATCGACTTGGACCAGGCGTTATTCTTCATAGATGAAGAGGCAAGCTTTGTGGGACGGGTTTCTCTACCACGTGAGGATGAACTGTTCACCAGTGTAGCAGAGGCAAAAACAATCAGTCTGGTATAGGAAAGGATCTAGAGTCTTCACTGGGTCACAGTTTGCTCAACCCCACGAGTAACCCATGTGCTTGCAGTGGCTGACTTTACCTGGCCCCCACAAACTCTGTTGTAGGGCGGGTGATGTGCATGTCATAGTCGTGAATCCACGGAATTCTACTGGCATTACTAGCATAAGAGGAAATTTCTGCCTAACAGAACAAGCCGATGATGACGTTCGAGAAAACATCTGCTGCAATCTGGCGCCTGGAAGATGAAAGTTTATGGAGAGTTATGGCCCCTCCTTAACAACACCTGGGCATCCCACGCTCACTCTACTGGTACCAACTTCCTCTCGGTGAGTTTCACCATCAGTGGGGGCTTCTCCCAGATAACGAGCACTTGGCTCCTATCCATCCAAGTTTCCTCGCCCGGTGCTAGCTCGAAATCGAATCGGAATAGGAACCGCGCGATGGCGACCCTCAACTCTGAGTAGGCCAGGTTCTTGCCCAGGCAGTCCCGTACTCCAAAGCTGAAAGGGTCTTTGTCACAGCCAATTAGTGTCCGAACAATTGTGCTGGGGACCAAGGAGAAGAGGGGGCTGGTGCTCACGGAAAGATGCCTTGTTGTCGTTGGCAAAGACTGGGTTGTATAGCTTGTGGTTAGAGGGGAGCCATCGCTCCGGGCGCATGTTATCCGGATCGTAGAAGTTATCGGGGTTGCGGTAGGTTGCAAGCTGGAAGATGGTGGTGACGGTCTGAAGCAACGACGGAACGATGGCAATCAGCAAAATGCGTCTCTTGGCAACGAGAGGCTACAATTGAGTGGGAGCAATCTATTGAATCTCTACTCACCCCCTTGGGAATGTGCTCCCCATTGAGTTCCGCCCCGGGACTAACCCGTGGTGGTGTCTGGGCTGCGGGCGGGTACATCCTCAAAGTCTCCTCGATGGTGGCTGTGAGGTAGGGCAGGCGGGCGGTAGACTTGATATCGATCTGAGACTCGCTTTGGAAGGCAGCGCGGATCTCACCGGCAAGAAGATCGTACACGGGGCGGTTCGCCTTCAGCCCGAGGTGGAAAGTGAAGCCCGCCAGGGTAGTGGCTGTCGTCTCGCTGCCAGCTGTTATGATGGTGGGCGAGTTCAGGCGGATGTCGAAGTCGTCAAAACCGGGCTGTCCGTCGCGCGTCTTCTTGAGCATGTACGTCATGAAGTCCCTCCTTCCTCCAGGGCTCTCGCCCTGGGCCTTGCGGGCCATGGCCTTTGCGTTGGCGAGCTCGCGGTTCTGGAGCTCCGTCTTGACATTTTCAGCCGAGCTGCCCAGAGACTTGAACGCCAGGCGCAGTAGGGGGTAGTGTTTTGTGAAGCGATTGATACCGGCGCCGAGGACGGCCTTGAAGGATCCAAGAACCCATGGGTGGTATTCGCCGCCATCGAGGTTGTGGAATGTGTCGGCGAAGGTCAGGTCGCCGATGATATCGAACGTCATGAAGTTAAACCATGGAACGATGTCGAACACCTCTCCGGCGGCGGCCTTCTTGCTCAGCTGAGTGAGGAGTAGCTCTATGTACTGCTGCACGATGGGCTCTTGTTCGTACATGCTCTCGGTGCTGAAGGCGTGGTTGAGCTGGCGTCGCAGCCGCCTGTGGTTCTCATGGTCGCCGCCAATGAGGCTCTTGTTATCACCAGGGAAGAAGAAGTCGGGCTGCTTGCCCCACTCAGCCTTACCGGGGCGGTGCTGATAGATCTGTGGCCACCCGATAGATCCGTCGACAGCGAGGTGATTGGGCGCGACGCGCACGATCGGCCCGTACTTTCGGTGCAAGTCCACGCTCTTCCGCACGAAGGAGCCCGCCACGTTGGTCCCCCATTAAAAAGGCAGGTTGGTAGCGGCGTAGAGCTTGGGCCCGGGATATTTTGCAAGGGGGTGGAATGTCAACCGGTAGACGACAATGCAGAGGCGCCAGACGACGAACAGCTGTAGGGAAACAAGACGGTGAGCTCAGATAATGCGAGGTAAAGCAATGTAATAAACTGGCGATGGGTCGTGGTTACTTACGACGGCTGCTGTAGCGGCCAGTGCTGCCACATTCTGCCAGCGGTTTGGTACGGCCCTGTTGCCGATATCGTGAGGCAAGATGGTGTTGAGCGACGGTGCCATAATAGCGTTTTCAAGTGAAACGCCCGTGAAGTCTCAGAAGGTTTTCTTTATAGACTGGAATAAAGATGTACCCATAAGGATGTGTGGTTGTGAGTGCAGGTGTTCAAGTTGATGGACTGCTGGCTCACCAACCCCTTTATATCCCTATGTCAGCCCCACTCGCCCATGAAGTTTACTCGTCGCCCGCATTTCAGACATCAATTCCCCACTTGGGTTGACGTCCCTCACCCATCGCCCGATCTGGATGGGTGATGGCGGCAGCAGAAGCCCCAGGGAGCAAGCCTGTCTGTGGGAGCCCGGCGTCTTGAGCGGCTCCGAAGAAGCGAGTGGGCCGCGTTTCTAGATCATTTCTGCACAACATCAAACCCGTTCCCACTGTGTACAAATTAGACACGACGAGGTGATATCGCGCACTACTTGAGTTGCATTGGCACGTGTGCCGGTATCACAGCATACTACCTGGTCTGATGCCCTGGCTCAATGGTTATCACGACTAACTCGGAAGTGTAAGGCGTCCCCGGGACTTGGCAGCTTGAAGCTTGTTTCTGTACCGAACCCCGAAATGCCGTGTCTTATAGGAGCACCTGGGAGAGTGGACGTGTGTTGTGATAGTGTTTGTCTTGCGACGCGCATGGTCATCATGTTAAGGGAAGGGAGGCGAGCAAGATTCTAGTCCATCGTCTCGGACGAGTACAATACACAGTAGTCTAACTTGCATCTCTGACAACAAGCTGTACCGCTAATCAGGCGGAGTGCGGTATGATGCAACTTGCCTTAAAGAAGCCGCCGATAATACGTCCTCGTGATGGAGGAATCATTGCCCCCGACTGTCCGAGCTTCCTATCGCGACAACCCACGACGCGGGGAACAATACCGCTTGCAGAAAGTGTGGCATAGTGCAATGGACTGTGGTATAGAGGAGAGCGAGGTCGCAATTCACGGTCGATGTTGATCTTGGGCCGGTACCCAGGTACCTAGGTATGCACTTGCGGTGACTTGTCGGCGGCGACCCAAGGCGCGGATATATGTGGGACGGCCCGCATGGCACCGACTCGGGGCCGGATTAGCCAGCGAATGGGCATGCTAGCTCAGCGCCTGCGCCCACAATCCGACGGCATTTGCTTGCATTGCCGTTTTTTTTTCTGCGGAATTCTTGTGGAATGCTTCAATGAGCCCGAGAACAACAGGATGTGCATTGCCCTGAGCTCCCTCTTAAGAGCCAATCGAGTGTGCTGGGGGGTCTGTATGTCCTCGGGCGCATGCGGAATAGAAGCGAAACCAGTTACATGAGGGCAAGGCTGTTCTGATTCCCCGTCAAATGGTTTTTATTTTACGACCTCCTACTACTAGTAGAACTGGCCTAGGCCACTTAGATGCCGAGTCATTGAGAGTCATACTAGCCGGGGCCGGATAATTATAGACCCAAGTTGTGCATCAAGTCGGGCAGGGGCTCGAGTCGCACCCACTTCCCATCAGGACGGAGCAGGGTTCTGATACCTTGAAGGTCGTGCATGGACCAGAGGAATGGCAAGCTAACGTCTCTCCGAGACCTCTCAACCCCCAGCCCCAGGTCCCCGGGAAACAGGGGACTCTCCAACCTCAGCCTTGCCCACAAGCCCCTTTGGCCACATCTTTAGGAGAACACCACGTCTGGATTCTGCAAATTTCTTCCTCTTTTATGAGCAGAATGAAATAATGACAATCTGCGCGCCCTCGACAATCACAGCTCGAATAGACTCAAAAGGACTGGGTGGAAACAACGTGTCCTAAACTCCATAGCTCCAGATGTTCAAGGAGCCAGTATGAATCTCAGAAGTCTCAATCTTCCCTACTGCCGTCAACTTATGGTCTTAGTGACGAGGATTCTTCGAGGCGCACGAGCTGACAAAAGGTCCACGCAAACAGCTGTAGTCTCCCTGATGGGTCAGACTGCGACCCCCTTGGAGAGGGTGCTCCACGACCTGGAGCAATTTACAGACCCTGCCGTGGTTGATTCTAGTTGCTGTCTTCCACCCCTTCGCTGCGGCAATGGCGACGGAGGGGAGAGGTGCGAGCGGATCTAGGAGCCCAGTCATGTGTTGGCTACTGGGAAATAGACTCAGAGACATCTGGAATGTATGTGTACATTCGGGATTTGACAGCGGTCCTTATGAATGTCCTGGCTGTCTTGATTCTTGGCGGCCTGACAATCGTTTTGGTGTGGAAGAGCCGATGCAAGTTTGAAGTACAATACAGGCTGCTCTTATTTTCACACCTCTCATCATTGGCGCGATCAGACTCGAATCGACGCAGTTCTTCTTTGTGGGAACCTCAATAATGTCCCATCATGACCCCAACATTCCTCACACGCGACGACTTGCATTTCAGTCTGGCCTGCCCATTTTTTCCCCGACGAGTCCAAAATCTGATTATTTCAAATATTCTTTCCGGACGAGACGGGCGATGGCGCATGTCTGCAGATGCTCGTGTGTTAGCAGGCCTCGACCGGGTATCCCGTATATTCCATTCTCCAGCACGGTGTGGGTTTCGGGCGGGCTTCTGTGTTCTACATTCCCTTGGCAAGCCGACGACCTCTCAAAGCCCCCATGCTGAGCTCAAAATCGTGCTAGTACAGAAGCTAGGCACGGGTATGCTCATTCGCGGGAAAGCAGTCTCCTCCTGGGGGGGGGGGGGGTGGAGCAGTTATAAATGAGGCCACTTGGTATATAATTTATTAGTTGTTCCTTTTTCTTTCTTTCAAACGTCCTCATATTTACAGCTTCGACCTGGCAATTGAAGCGGCCTTTTCCCAGAGGCCGTTCTTGTCAAGACCCGGCTCCCCATCAAATATGTCCCTCTCGACCGAGCGTGAATTGATCTAAGAGGATGAGTTGTTAGTGCCAGAATACAAATCGGAATACCCGTTAGAAGTAAGAAAACAGAATGGCATACAAATCTGGGGCCCAGCTCATCGATGTTCTTGGCCCCCAGCAGCCTCATACATGTCTCCATTTCCGCCTGGAGGACTATAATTTCAAAGTGATTAGCATAGGAAGGCCTTGTCTCAAGCACAAAGGATTGCAAACTGGGCGGGGCTCACTTTCAAAGGTCCGATAGACACCTTGCCAGCCACCGGCGCCAAGCCCCCAGAGCGGTGCGCGACCAATGCCTACCGCCCTCGCGCCCAGACACAGCGCCTTGACAACATCCGTGCCCCTTCGGATGCCCCCGTCGACCCAGACCTCGAACTCGTTGCTCTCCAGGACCTCGGGGCAGAACTTTCGGCACTCGAGGAGGGTGTGCACGGCAGGAGGGGCAGTGTCCAGGGCGCGACCGCCGTGGTTGCTGAGGATGACGGCGCGCAGGGTGCCGGGATTCTGGCGGGCGTACTTGTATGCGAGGAAGACGTCCTCGTGTGTCTGGACGCCCTTGAGCACGACGGGCAAGTCTGGGGCGTGCTCCTTGAGCCAGGGCAGCGTCGTTTTCCAGGTCAGGTCTGCGGCGGTGCCCCAGAACATTGCCTGGCCGACGCCGACGGGACCGGCGTCCTTCTTGGCGCCGCCGATGGCGGGGTAGTCGACCTGGGACTCGGCCGGGGCGCCGGTGTCGACCATCCCCTGGCGCTCGTCCATCTCTCGCTTCCCCGGGACGGGGGCGTCCAGGGTCAGCACGATGAACTTGTAAAACTTGGAGAGCTTCCTGATGCGGGCCAGCATGGCCTCGCTCTTGCGCCGCTCGTTCTGGACGTACAGCTGCCAGCCAAATACCTGGCCTTCCTGGGCGCCCTGGACAATCTGCTCGGGGGTCTGGCTCGCGTTGTTGGACACGACCTGGCAGGCGCCGAAGTAGCCGGCGGCCTTTGCGATTCCAGCCTCACCATCGGGGTGTGCGAGCCGGGCCATGGCGGCCGGGCAGACGAAGACGGGGGTCCTGACGCCCAACTGGCCCAGCAGGCTGGTGGAGGTGTCGCAGGCGGTGCAGTCGACAAAGACGCGGGGGCGCAGCAGGATGTTGCGGTAGACGGCGTTGTTGTAGGACTTTGAGAAGAGGTCGTCGGAGGCGGAGTAGTAGTATGCCCTGCACTTGTCGCTGACAAGGCGTTGGGCGGCGTCGGCTATCTCGTCGAGGTTGAGGAGGTGGTCGAGTGGAGGGCGGACATATTTCTCGACGGCGTTGGACTGGGCGGCGGCAGCTGGCGGTTGTTGTGACGGCGAGGAGCTGGCGCGTGCCAGGCTGTCTGCGTTGACACGGCCGAGTTTTGCCTGGGGCTTGAGGTTCTCCTCGATGGTGCCGGGGGGGTGGACTGGGTCGTACTCGCGGGTTGCGTCCTTGCCGGCGAGCTTGAGGATGATGTTGGACCCGCCGGGGTGTTCTGAGAGGAAGTCGGTCACGTCGTAGACGTTGCCGTAGAGGATGACCCAGCAGCTCTCCTTGGAGGTGTGCTGTGCGACTGCGGACAGCATCTTGTCAGTACGGGACGTGGCCAGGGGACGTGGCCAGGGGGGAGGGTCTTGTTGTTGTTCTCTGGCGGGCCGACTTACCCTCTTCTACCGTAAACTCCTTGGACATGGTGGCTCTCTTCTCTGTTGCTGTCCTCTCAACTCGACAAGGGAAGAAGACCAGCTGCCAAAGACAACGGGAGATGGCACAGAATAATAGGAAGGAATGCACAACATGGCCGCTCGGAATGAGGCAACGTTCGGCGAGAGATGCCCCCGGGCTGGCTGGCAGGTCGGCAAGCTCAGCCATCGATCTGCCATGGATCCCGAGATGGATCCCAGCCCCCCACCGTACCACCGTACCCCACTGCCACACCCCACCCCCACCCCCACCCCAGATTTGCTTCTGGAATCTGCAGTGGACAATTTTCAATTGGCTTGGGCCCATTCGCCGGGTCGCCCCAATTTGTACCGAGCCTGGCCCCGCTGGTCGGAGCCTGGTCGGAGTGTATAGTGCCTCTCGCCGGCGACAGACCAGCCGTCAACACCACGGACTGCCACCGCATGCACCTTCCGCATCTGGCCGACTAGGCCGACTAGACCGACTAGACCAAGTGCTGGTCTCACAGCCAGCATGAGCCTTCGATTGGCCTTTTTGAGTCACCCAGAGCGCCAACCTTGGGATGCCTACGGGGATGAGTACAAGACAGAGCCCTTCTCCCCAGCTTGCTAGCCCGGGCATGATGCAGTATCTCCACGGATTCAGATCTCAACAGCAACAGCAGCAGAGCCAGCAGCATGTCCAACGACGACATTTTACCTTGTGCCTACCCCAAGACCTCTGACTCGGCCATCAACAGGCACAAGGAGAGAGGTGTGTACGACAGCCCGTGACAGCCCGCCCGGCTTCATAAAAGTACTGACAACCACCGCCAGGCCACTATGATGCCGAGACCGTGCATGGCATAATCAACTCTACCCCGGTCGCCCATGTCTCCTTCATCCCAGACCCCTCGGACCCCAAACCAGTAGTGCTGCCAATGATCGCACGCGTCGCCTCCTTCAACAACCAAGACCCAGCCGTGTACATCCACGGCTATGTCTCAGCCCGCATGTTCAGCACCCAGGCCCGACAACCAGTCTGTGTGGCAGCCACCAAGATTGACAATCTTGTCCTGGCCCTCACCCCCTTCAACCACAGCTATGACTACCGGAGCGCCGTCGTCCACGGCACCGCAGCCCTGCTGGACCCGGGCACCAAGTCGAGCCCGGCCAACCGCGACGAGATCGGGTTTGCCCTGCAACTAATCACCGACTCCATGGTAACGGACCGCTGGGCCAACACCCGCGCCCCTGATGAGGCTGAGATTGCGGCCACGCGGGTCCTAAAGGTGCGGATCGAGTCTGCGTCCGCCAAGATTCGTGATTCTGGCGTCAGCGACGATGCCAAGGACCTGAAAAGCAATGAGACGACTGCGCGGGTCTGGACCGGTGTTATACCGTACGTCGAGATGCTGGGCGAGCCGCAGCCGGCTGGGACGAACAAGGTCGCCGGCATACCTTCATATGTCGAGGAGCATGTTAGGGCCCACAACCAGAAGGCCGGAGCCGGGTTCCCTGTTGTATCGGGTGGGCTGGCGGGCAAGGTGTTGGCTTCGTTGCTTGTTGCTTGGGCGGTATTCGTAATGACCAGGTGAGCGGGCCATGGACAGGTATCCTTCAGCTCGTCCCGGGGCCCGGGGCCCGGTGTGACTCACTACCCCACACCATCAAGCTTCCCGCACTGTCAGTCAACCCTCGAGCTTGCCAAAACGGGTAACTAAGTAGGTACCCAAGGTACCTACTAATAAGGTAATCTCCAAATGTTTGAGCGGGAGGAGGCGTCCAAGGTTGTCGTTATCAATACCATCCGCCCCTGCGAGCCGCATACAAGGCAAGCTATCAGCAATCACAAGAAACACGACTTGTGGCTACACATTGCCAGTGGTGTGCTGTAGTTGGATTGGCCTGAACCACCACTTGCTTAACTGTGACTTCTTGTTAATATTTGAAATCCACCATGACTTCAATGGCGGCCGAGTCCGTGGCCACCATCCTCGTCTCGTGCAAGCAGACACGCTTTCACATCGAAAGTCCAAACTACAGAGAGGTATGCTTTATGGTGGGCCCGTACGCCTACAATCCCGTCAGCTTCAAGTCTTCCGAGATGTCGTTCTGACTGTCAGTGGTAGCTGGATATCGAGGGGCTCAACATCACTGTGGCCTCGGCAGCCCCCAAGGCCTCTGGCGCAAAAGGCAAGTCCAAAGCTACAAAGTCTGAGGGCACCGAGGTTCTGTCCAATGCCAAGCTCAGGCTCAAGGCTGGCCAGAGGTACTCCCTGGTCGGCAAGAACGGCTCCGGAAAGTCGACACTGCTGAGGGCTATCGGCGACAAGTTGATCCCCGGCATACCGGAGCAAACCCGCATCGCAATGCTGCAGCAGACCGACGCCGAGCTTGTCGACGCCGACTTGTCACCAGGGAACAATGCGGCCACTTCAGGCTCAGGGAACACCGTCATCCAGGAGGTCATAGACAAGGCGACGGCCAGGGACGAGCTTGAGCGCGAGATTGCGATCCTGGCCAACGGTGTCAACAGCTCCGAAGGGCTGGCAGGGGTGAGAGCGCTGAGAAAGGTCAAGCATGAGAGGCTGCAGAAGCAGCTTTTCGTGATTGATAAGAACGCAAGGCTCCGCAGTGGTGCTCGGGGCATGGCGGCCAGAAAGGAGCTCATCGCCTTTGAGAAGGTGGTTGCGGAGTCAGCGGCGTTGTGAGTCTCGATCGGCTTCAATTTGTAGCCGGAGCACACTGGATGCTGATACTGCACAGACAGGAGCAAAAGGATGAGGAAATCCCGAATGAGGCAGTCGAGTCTGGGATCCAAGAGGCCACAGACCTCCTCGCTGAGCTCCAGGTCCAGGTGGAGCCGTCGAGGATCGCAGATATCGAGTCGCGGGCCCACAAGATACTCACTGGTCTCGGCTTCTCGGACGCCTACAAGTCAAAGGCCGTGTCTGAGCTCTCTGGCGGTTGGAAGATGCGGACCGCGCTGGCAATAGCACTGCTGCAGGACACAGACATCCTGATCCTCGACGAGCCGACAAATTTCCTGGATCTCCTCGGCATTATCTGGCTGCAGCGATACCTCGAGTCCCTCGAGGACCTCCCTGACCCCCCAACTCTCATCCTGGTGTCCCACGACCGCGACTTCACGTCTGTGTGCACCGACCTCCTTATCATCAAGGACAAGGATCTTGTATATTTCCACGGTGACTTCCAGACGTATGAGGCCAGCATGGCGGAGAAGAAACTGCACCTCACCAAGGTCAAGGAGGCCAAGGACAAACAGAAGGCCCACATCTCAGCTACGATCCAGCGGAACATGCGGGAGGGGAAGAAGAATGATGACGAAAATCGAAGTATGTCACCATTCCTTCTACTGCTGCTTTCTCGACCTCTTCCTACTCCGATACAAGGAGAATCATAAACTGACAAAGGCCTCTCCAGTCCGCCAGGCCAAGATGAGACAGAAAAAGCTCGACGAGCGTTGGGGCGTGGAAACAAGTGCCAAGGGCGGCAGGTTCAAGCTCAACAGGGACCTCCAAGGATACCACTTTAGCAACCGCGCAGAGGTCGACATCCCGCCGGACGAGAGGCCGCCCCTCATCCTCCTGCCCGAGCCGCCCGAGCTCCGTTTCCCGGGACCGCTGATCTCACTGGAGGGCGTCACGTTCCGGTACGCCAGGGGAGGAGGGGCAGCAGGGAAGAAGACGACAGCCGCGTCATCAAACCCGGCAGTGCTGCAGGAGATCAACCTCACCGTGGGCATGGGCGACAGGATAGGGGTCCTGGGACTCAACGGGGCGGGAAAGTCGACCCTGATCAAGCTGCTTGTCGCGGAGGAGAGGCCCACCAGGGGCACGCTCACGACGCACCCGCGGCTGAAGCTTGGGTATTACAGCCAGCAGGCGGTCGAGGCGCTCCAGAAGCTGGGGCGCGCGGAGCAAGAACTCACCTCGCTCGCCCTTCTCACGAGGGAGGTCGAGGGGGACCTGGACGAGGGTGAGATCCGTGGCATGTTGGGCTCGCTGGGGCTCCCCGGGCGCTTGGCTTCTGACGTGCCGATTTGCAAGCTGTCTGGTGGGCAGCTGGTGAGGTGTGAATTGGCCAGGATTCTGTGGAAGCGTCCGCACTGTCTGGTGCTGGATGAGGTTACTACTCACCTCGACTGTACGCATGCCCCCCTCCCCCCCCAACTCTATTTAACGTGTCAGATCCCTGTGTGGAAATGCATCCGGGATACCAACTGGACGCCCTCGGATATATGCTAAAATGTTTCAGATGAGACGGTCACCGCTTTGCGTGAGGCGCTGAACCATTGGGTGGGCGCTGTGGTGCTCGTATCCCACGATAGATGGTTCATGAGAGGCGCAGTTGAGGGTCTCATCGACGACCCGAGCAGTGACACCGATGGGGACGATGAGCAAGAGGACTTGAGGCGGAGGGTTGTTTACAGGCTAAAGAGTGGCGCACTCACAAAGCTCGAAAATGGGGTCCAGGAATTCGAGGATCTCATGGAAAAGAGGGCAAGGAAGCTAATGAACTCGTGAAGTTTACCCGAGCCGAGATTCTATGGTCACATTGTGGGGGGGGGGGGGTCTATGCCTGACAGTCGGTGTTTTGAGGATAGCTCGGATCAAGCGCTCAGCACCAAAACCCGGAGCCGTGCCTCAGGGCTCTTCTTGACTGTCATCGTTCCGCCGTGCGGGATCTCCACGATGGTCCCGTCGATACACACCTTCCTCCACCTCGCATCTTGCTCGTTGGTAGTCACCCTGATAGAGTCCACAGCCTCGTAGCCAACTCCCTCAATCCCAACGTGCGCCCCATTGTTGTAAGCCGCCATCATGATCTCCATGGTCTTCTGGCCACCCACGTCCCCAAAGTGAACGAGCCTCAGCCGCCCGTCAAGCGGCCGGCTGTCCGGGGAGATGGTGAAGGTCTTTTCCAGGTTCGACACCATGGTGGCGAGGATGTAATTGAACCGCGTGGGGCCGAGTGCGGACGAGGATGTCTCGACCGAGGCGTCGTAGGCGTGGCCCTCCTTGAGGAGCTCCTGCGCAACCATGCCGAAGCGCTTGTCGCCGTGCTTGCGGTACGCAGGGGTGTCCGACTCCCAGACGAGCTGCGAGTGGAAGCCGTAGCTGGCTACAATGGCCCCGGTCAGCCGGGCGACCGGCTCGGGGTTGCCAGCAGGTTCCTTGTTCTCCTGGACCAGATGAGACCCCGGCGGAAACAGCGCCTCGAACGTCGGCAGTGGGGAGGCATTGCCCTTCAGGAGGGCCTGGAGGGCCAGGACCAGGTGCGACGGGGCTGACTGCTGCCCAGCCGTTGTTGTGTAGTGAGGCCTGTGCAGGGAGTGGAAGAGCGCGTTACCAGTGCCCAGGGGGATAAGCGCGATGGTTGGCAGCGGGCTCGGCTCTGCCGGTGAGGCGATCCCGTTTAGGAGATCCACGACGCCACCGTCGCCAGACAGCAAGATAACAGCCCCGCCACTCGTCGTGTGGTCGACGGAGCGCCCTTCACGCCCCCACCGTGCCCGTGAGAACTCCTTCACGGTTTCCGCGTCCTTTGTCACAGTCACTTTGTACGCCCTTCCACTAGTCTGAGGGTTGGGGACCGCCGGTGAGCCATCATCGCCCCTGAGGCCAAGCGCTCCCAACAGAGGCCGGAGGACTGCGTCGTAGAATTTCTGGGACTGGCCGGTCCCGGATTTGGAGGAGATGATTACGTCCAAGGGCGATCCAGTGCCTGCTGAGAAGATTTCCGGGGCTTCTCTGAGAAGGAAGCGGTCCAAGAGATCTTGCCGCAGGCTCCGGGCTGTAAAAGACGACAGCTGAAAGGGCTCGGCGGCGTCTTGTTCAGCATGGCTCAGGACGAGGATGAGGTGAAGCCCTCCCGAAGCCTCGGCGATGAGCACGATCTCTTCTGTTCTGATGCTGAGTGCGTCCTGGATGCCGCCCTCTGCCTCGCTCGGCCAGACGATACGGCCGTCCTCGTACTTGATTAGTGATGCGTCGTCTGGCAGACGGGCAGGCTCCAGCGCCTCCACTGCGGCGTCCGGGACGGTGAAGGCCATGGCAATGATGAGCTGGCTCGCTCGTGCCCAGTACACCCAGGCCCAGCTGTCAAGAGTCGGTCATTGCTCCTGCTTACTCGAATGGCGTGCCGATTGCATCAGCCGCGCGCCGAGTGAGCCGTGGTGGGGCTTCCGCAGCGCTGCTGTCTCGGAAAAACGAAGTAGAGCCCCCCCCTAGTTAAATACCCCCTATTCCTTAGTTAAACTAAAACTTTATTAATAAGGTAGAAAACCTAATATTCTTATTAAAATACTCCTATTAACTTTATTAATATTAATAATAAATTATTTTTATTATTTAATTAATTAAAAATAATATTATATTAATTTTATATAATTAATTTAAATTTAATTTATAAAAATATATATAGTTTATTTATTTTAATATAAAATAATATTAATTTAATTAATATTATAAATAATATTATTAAATTAATTTATTTAATTTAAATTATTTAATATTTATTATATAAAATTTATTTAAAAATTAAATTATATAGTTTATTAATAAAATATTATATTATTTAAATAATTATATATTTAAAAGTTAATTATTAAAATAATTAAAATTTAATAAATTATTTAAAAATACTTATAAATATTTTTAAAACTATTTAAAATAAAGTTATTATAATAAATTAAATAATTTAAAAATATAAAAATATTATTTAAGTTAATAATAAAAATATATTTAATAATAAAAAAAGAATTTAAAAGTATTAATAATAAAACTTTTTATTAAAATAAAGTTTTAATAAATAATAATAATAATAATATTAAATACTTTAAAATTATTTAATTAACTTTTAATATAAATATATTTAAATAAATTAACTTTAACTTTATTTATTAAAATTTATAATTTAAAAGTTATTAATATTTTTATTATATAATTTAAAAATAAAATATTATATTATAAAAGAAAATTAAAATTAAAAATTTAAAGTTTTTATTAAAATATATTAAATTAATTAAAAATTTAATTATAAAAATATAAGAATTATTTAAATATAATTATTAAATTAAAGGATATTTTTATTAAAATTAATTAATTTATAAATTAAAAGTTTATATTTTAATAATTAAAATCTATTAAAAAGATATTAATAAAAGGATTAAAATATTTAATTATAATAATATTATAAATATATTTTTAAAATTTAAAAATTATTCTTTTTTAATTTTTATATAATTATAAAATTATATTATTAATAAAAGAGTTATAAATATTTATATTATAAAGTAATTATTTAATTAAATAATTATTAATTAAAATCTTTTAATTATTATTAACTATTTAATAAGTAGTTATTTTAAAAATAATTTATTAATAGTTAAATAAATAATAAATATAAATATATTTAATAAAAATTTAAACTTTAAAACTTTTAATTTATATTAATAATTATTAAATAAAGAATTAAAATAGAAATAAAATAAACTTTATATAAAAAATATAAATAATTAATAAAAATATAGTTTTATTTTTAAATAATTATTATAAAATTAATTATTATTATTAAAATAAAAGGGATTTTTATAATAATAGTATTTTATTAGATAGAATAATATATATATTAATTTATTTAATAAAAGTTTAAAAATTAATTTAATATAATTATAATAAATAATATTATAATTAAATACTTATTAAAAGTTTTCTTTAATTATTAAATAGTTTAAATAAAGTTTAATAAAAACTTAATAATAATAAAGTTAATTTTATCTTTTAAAAAAATAATAAAATAAAATTAAAAAATAATATTAATATAATTATTAATTTATTATTTAATATTAATTTATTTAAAGTTAAGTATAATTAAATAATTTTAATAAAGCTATTATTATTATTATTATTATAAACTTCTTTTATAAATTTAATAAAACTTTATTATTACTAATAATAATAATAATAATACTTAAAATTTATTATAAAAATAAAAGTTATTAATTATCTTTTATTATTATTATTATAAATAAAAAATAAAATAATTTTATATTAAAATTTATTATAAAAATACTTTAAAAATATTTTAAAATTTATTAAAAATTTAATTTAAATAATTTATAAAATTATAAAATATAAAAGCTTAATTTTTATAAACTTTATAAAAAAGGATATTTAATTTAATAAGTATAACTTAAAAGTTATTTTATTAATTAAAATATTAATTAAACTATATTTAAAAAACTTTATTAATTTCTTTAATAATAATAATAATAAAATAAACTTATTATTATAATAAAAGTTATTAAATAATTATTTAATAAACTATTAAATAAATATTAAAAATATATACTTTATTAAATTTATAAAAGTTATTTAACTAATTAATTAACTTTATTTAATATTAAGCCTTATAATTAAATTAATTATTTAATAAAAGAATTAAAAGTTTATTAAAATATTTCTTTTATTTAATAAAATAAAAAATTATATAATAAATTTTAAAAACTTTTAAATAAAAAAGTAATAATTAAATATATAAAAATATAATTAATAATAAAAGATAATTAAAAAAAAATTATTTATTTTAAATAAATAAAATAAATTAAATACTTAATATTAAATATTTAATTAATTAAATAAATTTACTTATAGTTAATCTATTTATTTTAACTTTTAATTATTAACTTAACTACTTAATTTATAAATAATATTCTTCTATTTATATAATTATATTTAATTAAAACTTTATTAATTTTAATTTTTATAACTTTTAATTAAAACTATTATATTTACTTTATTTTATACTTTCTTTTAATATTTATATATAATAAAAATATTTTTAATAACTTTAACTTTAAATTTAACTTTTAAATATAAAAATAAAAATTAAATAAAATCTTTATTTAAATTATAATTTAATAACTTATATTAATATAAATAATATAAATAATACTTTAAATTATTTAAATATATTTTAATAAAATTAAAATTAAAAAATATAAAATAAATATTTATATTTTATATTTTTATATTTATTATTTTAATTATTTTTATATTATAATATTAAAAATATTATTTATTATAAAATTAACTTTAAATTTAAATATAAATTTATTTTTAATAAAATACTTTCTTTTAATTATTAAAAAACTTTTATTATATAATCTTTATATATTATAATAATAAAATAAACTATTTAATATAATTATAAAAAATATAAAATAAACTTTTATTTAAAAACTTTTAATTTATAAAATATATTTAATAAATATTTAACTTATTCTCCTTATATTATTTTATTTATTAAAATTAAACTTATTAATAAAATAAATATTTTTATTATATAACTTAATTAATATATTTATTAAATAATAATTATAAAACTTTTATTATATTAATAAATTAATATATATATTTATTTATTATTTTATATATAAACTTTAAAATATTATTTATTATTTTATAATAATATTAATTTATAATTATTTAATAAAAAATATTATATTTTATTAAAATATAAATTTAATTTATTAAATAAAAGATTTTTAATTTTTAATTTATATAACTTATATATTAATTATATTTTATAATATTATTATAAAAATAAATTAATAAACTTTTATAATTTATTATTTTAATTTAATTATATTTAATAATAATAATAATAATATATTTAAAATAATTATATAAATAATAATAACTTTTAATAATAAGTTTAAATTATTATATAATTATATTAAAATTTAATTTATAATTATTTATTAAATAATAATAAATTAAAATATAAATAAAATTTTAATTATTAAAGTTTAAAATATAATAAATAATAATTAATTATTATTAAAACCTTTTTTTTATTAATTAAAAAATATTAATAAATTAATAAGAATATTTTATTAAAAAATATTAGGTTTTCTATTCTATTAATAAAGTTTTAGTTTAATTAAGGAATAGAGGGTATTTAACTAGGGGGGGGCTCTACTTTATTTTTCCGAGATAGCGGGCGCTCCTCCCGCCCTAGCCTGTCCCAGCCCGCGGTACCAAAGTACCCAAGTACCTGGGTACCTGGGTACCTGGGTACTTGGATTTCTGTCATTAGTCTTATACAGAGAATACACAGCAACGCATCAATTGTTGCAACCACTCGAGGGCAAGTCGATTGAAGTTCCCAAGAACCAGTATTGCAGACCTATGCTATGCCGTTCTCCCACGGTTCCCTGCAACACATTCACCCTGATGTACGCCACAAAGCCTCGTCCTACAGAGCTCTATTATAATTGCCAGTCTCATTTGTTCTTCGTCTCCGTACTCACATGAGCATGAGCTGTAGACTCTTGCTGTGTGGTCCTCAAGGCACAAACACAAGTCTCTTCCCCTTCACGTCAGGACTGTTCCACACAGCCTCTACATCCTCCAAACGTGCGATGTGTAACGAATCGGCCTTCAGCTCTTTCACTGCCTTGAGCATGCCTGCAGTCTCCCCGGCGAGCTGCGCCATTGTCCACGAGCCTGGGCCGGCCCCTCTCAAGGTGATCATCCTGCTCCTCAGCAACGCAGCAGGGAACGCGACGTCCGCCCCGCCCAGCACGCCGATCTGGACATACTGCACCTCCGCGGTGGGTTTCAGCGCCGAGAGCAGCGCAAGGACGGCAGGGCCGTAGACATAGTCCAGGACCACGTCCACATGCCCGCCCAGTCTCGAGAAGTCAGTCCTCGCTGGCTCTTCGCCATCCAGGACTACCTTGTCATCCAGGCCGTCAACCGTTCCGAGCGCTTGCTCATCCCGCGCGATGCCAACCACACGGCCGGCCCCCAGCGCCCTCGCGATCCCAACAGCGATGCGCCCGCTGGCACTCGTTGCCCCCAGTATCGCAACCGACCACCCCTCGGGCAGGTTGCTCGTGCGGTGGCGAAGGGCCATCCAGCTGCTCTGGGCCGCGTTGACGAGCGCCGCGACGGCCCTCTCGTCGGCGCCGTCCGGAAGGGCAACCGCGGCCCTGCGGTCGACGTTGACGTACTCGGACACGGAGCCCGTGTTGGCTGGGAGGGTCGTGAAGTAATATTTCTGGGGTGGATCAGCCGACTCGTCGACGCCAACGCCGTCGATGCCTGGTATGTACGGCAGTTGGGCGGTGATGAAGTGTTTCCCCGCGGCGATCTGCCTGGCGACGTTGGGCACGCCCGCTGCGAGGACGCGCAGGCAGAGCTGGGAGGGGGATGGGGGCGGCAGGTCCGCGGCCGAGGTGTACCTCGGGGGCTGGCTGAAGTCTGTGACTATGGCCGCACGCATGGTGCCACTCTGTGTAGTTCGATATTCTTGGCGATGGGTCTTTCCTCAGGTGCAATGGATCCCGATGTTGAGACACTGCACATGTGCCTCTTGCGGCTTTCCACTGATGATTCTTGAGGACAAGCAGTAGAATCTCTGGTCTACGGGTGAGAGAACTTGCCTCTATATTTATAAACATCTGTCTATTCTCCCTCCATCATATCCGCCGCCGGCGCGACGCGGACACCTGGTAAGCCGCCTGCCATGATGGCCATATCGCGCGGTTCACTAATCACCCAGAAGCACCCCCGCTGGTGAAGCAGGGGGTGGTGCGCTGGATTCTTCGACTTGGTAAGCAAGTGGCCTAAAAGGGAACCATAGCCCTTTGGGTTGCCGCGCGGGACCCCATGCCGCCCACGGATCATCCGCGGATGTCGGGTGGACGACACATGTAGGAGAAACACTCTGATTACTTATCCACCTTGTTTCCCAAAATCATCAAAACCTGTATTATGGTGAAGCCGTGCGTCTCCTCAAGCGCTCTGCTTCCATGTTCATGGTGCACATCCAACACTTCAAATGTTCACCGTAAGGGACCAAACCCCCGTCTTCCAAGATTCATTTGTTCTCCCCTCAATTGCTGGAATCTCCTTTACGGAAAAGTGACTTCAGGTTTTCCTTTCTGAACATCCCACCACTCTCATCTCCATCGTCAAGGATCGTAGGCCCGCGCAAGCACCATCGAAATCGCACTTGGTTTCTGTCGTCGGCCTGAGATGCTGCCAGCCCGCTTAGCTTCGGCATCATCTTCTTTCCCACTGCTATCATCATCCAGCCTCCTTTGGACTCGGTGCATGACCTCAAAATGTGCGCGACGTCGTCAGTCCCCAGCCTACCACACACAAAGAATTAGCAACGTTCAGAGCATGGCCCAAACTGGCTGTTCGATGCCTAGGCAAACTTACTTGATGACACCCTTTTCCGCCGGGTAGACCTCAAGACAACAAGTTGCGAACTGGAAGACTGGCAACGGAGGGCTTGTCTCCGGAGGCCCATCTGCTACCTCGATCAACCAATACCCTCTCCGATTCCATTGCTTCTTTGGATCCTCTAGGCCCTCTTGCCCGTGACTTGGCGCATCTTCCTGTTTCTGTTTCGACTCCGGCTGTTCCCTCCCAAGGTGGCGATAGAAAAACGTGAACAAGTCCTTCTGATAGATGGAGCCTTCGCCTTTCTCCTTCTTCTCAGAGTTCAGGCAAATCATGTCACCCTTGTCCCCTATGATACGCATCTCGCCGTCCTTCACCTTGTGCTCACAAAACGAGGGGCTATAACTCGTCGTGATGAATTCCACATATTCAGTCAGACGCTCCTTCGCAGGGTCTTCGGTGAAAGGGGCCCTGTCCGGAGGTTGTGGACTCATCTTGGAGACTGGCTCGTATCGCAGGGGTATGTGAGGTCTTGTCGCTGGATCAGTGAAGCACTTGAGGTGCGGAAACGACACCTGCCTGTTCCTGCGCGACAATTTTATATTCCCTGGGGGCTGGGGCTATGACTCAGTTCAATGTTTGGAAATACAGCCAAGTCACTAAACTACATCTGACACCATACCTAGCCCCCCTGATGAGCCAAGAGCAGTGACACGAGCTCATTTGAAGAGACTTGAAGTTTTCTTCAACCACAATTTGTCTGAAGCGTGTATGTGTTCGCTGCCCCGCCCTCGAGCTCGTGAAGCTAGAAACTCGCGAAGCCACAGCCTTCCTGGCAGGTTACCTAGATCTTTGAATCTAGAATGTCTGCGGTGGTTGGGCTTCTGCTGGATTATAGCAATCGCTGATCGTATACCCTAGGGTATATAGTAGTTGATGAGTCCAATACAACTGACAAAAGACGCTAATATATTTTCATTTTCTTAAGTACCTGCAACGTCACATGAATTTAAAGTCTATCGCCATCACGCGCTCCTCTCTTCTCAATCTCATCCGCCGCCACCACCTCCTGCTCCAGCTCCTCCACCACCTCCAGCTCCAGCTCCTGCTCCAGCTCCTGCTCCAGCTCCAGCTCCAGCTCCTGCTCCTGCCGCCGCTCCTGCTGCCGCCCCTGCTGCCGCCCCTGCATCTCCACCGTCCTAGTATTGTCAATAACCTAGTAGAGGCCTTTTGAAACCAGAAGAATGGGGACCGCAGAAGGACAAGATTACACTTACAACGCGCCTTCTCCTGGCGCCCAGCAGGTCAGCGATGGCCTGCACGTCCACTGGTTCCCGAGGTCGGTCTCGCCGGCGAGGGCCCAAGTTAGGTAATGGTATGTCATCCTGACGCTCACTTCTAACATGGTGGGCAATCTCGCAACCTGTCCCCACCAACCACGCCACGGTTATGATCGCCGCCGGCACGGTGAGCAGCATCGCGTTGGCCAAGTTGAGATAGCTTATGTTGCTCGTGGGCCTGCACTGGGAGAACCATGTCCAGTAGCCCCAGACCATGTACCAGGCCAGCAAGAGGGACGCGGCGATTGCAGGTGTGGCGAGCCTGTTGGCCGTCATGTGCAGCACGGTCCTGATGGCGGACCCTTGTTGCCGGCGGCCAAGCCGCACAACCCTTGCGAATATGTAGAATACCCACAGGAGCAGGAGGATACATACGACCGTGTAGAGACCCGAGACGATGGTCATGGCCAGCGGATCGCCCTTCCAGCCGTCGTCGGGACAAATCCCATGTTGCCTTTGTTTTCCACTCTTCCCCCCCTTCCCGCCCCCTCCACCCCCTCCGCCCCCTCCGCCGCCTCCGCCCCTGCCGCCTCCTCCTTTTTTCTTCCTTGAAAACAGGCCACCAGCTGCGTCACACAACGACGGCAAGCCATCGAATATGGTACCATTGATAGCCTCGTCTATTTCGTCTTGGACCGGGTCCCACGGCTGGAATTCACTCATAAAGGGCCACATTTGAGCCACAACGAAATAGATACTCCATAGTGAGATACCAAACTGCGAGGAGTAGTGAACGATGAGTGATCCAGAAAGGAGGATGCCAAGAGCGTAGAATAGGTCCTCCATGGAGTGAAGTGCTGTAACGGCAAGGAAATATACGTATATGATTCTGTGAAGCTCAGAAACGCCAAGTATTTGTGTGGGTCTTTCTGAGACAGGCAGAGGCGCCTCGATGGAATTCTCATCACACCAGTGCTGCATTAGACATCGAGATATATTTACAGAACTTTCATGTCTTTGAAACATATCCTGATGAGCTCTTCTGAATAGCTGCAAACGGAACACTGGCCGGAACCAGCCCCATGGAATTGTTTCGTAGCATGCTTGACTTACTTCAAAGGTACCTTTGATTTCACTCTTTGTTTGGAGCAACTTTCGAACCACCAAGTCTTTGAGCGTTTACCACCGTGTTAAAGGACGGCCCACACCTCTTTTAGGGTATGTATACGAATTGACGACGGATCTACTCGATTATGAAATATTACTCCTTAAAATGTAATATGCTGACGACGAAGATCAATTCAACCCCAACTATTTATTGCCTTTCTCTATCCGTCAAGTCATAATTAAAATGTCAGCGCGCTGATACAAGCGAGGAATTTTGACTGTAAACTCGACACATGTTCTCAGTCGCGCATAACACCGATACACAACGAAATGGCGAACTTGGGTCTCGCGTCTGGGCTGGGAGGCCTGGGCCTAGGGCAGGGAGGGCCTGACGGCCGGGGGGTGCTTCGCCGTGTGACCCGGCTATGCCCCAGTTGCAGGGTCAGGAGGGAGATCAACCAGTTCGTGACGCAGAACGTCGATGGCACGAGGGTTGTGCGTATTAACTGTAATGTTTGTCGTGGCGTCCAGCCCGTCAACCCTGCCTTGGATGGCGGGGACGGCCAGGCCGTTGTTGTGGACGGTAAGCAGTTTCTGGGTCTTAAACCTTATCCTACTTGTAACTTTTGGGCAGAATGCATCATCAGGATGCAAGCTTTGAGAAGGGACCGCGGAAGCATTTTTGCTTGATTGTCCCTGCATATTAATGTAAATTCTTGCTGGTATTCCGTCATGGCTAATTCTAAGCTGTTCAGGTCTAGATGCCAACGGTGACGATGACAATGATGATGGCTTGCAGCGCGTGGATGGCGGACAGGCCCAGCTGCAGGATGAGTCGGAGTGGTTGCTGGCCGGGCTGGGGATAGCGCTGTTTTTTGTTGGCTGGTTTTCTATTTTGGCTTTGTTTGCAATAGTCTTAATATTTTAGGTTATGGCCTTCATGTTCGGAAACCTACGGCAGGCTTTGCGCTGTCAGACATTGAAGTGATCGAAGTGCAGGACTCTTTCGACGCGTGGTATGGAATCTTGCAGAAATGCATTTACGTGAATATATACTGTGCCGTGTACCGAATGTTGATGTCGATCTCATTATTAATACACTCATTGTGTGATGACTTGTACAAGCAAACATTCAGGCAAGCCCTATACCATCGCCACGCCAGTTGTTGGTGAGAGTACGGTGAGCTTGCACCAGATGCAAGATATCTGACTTTGTCCCTGAACACTTTCTCTCCAGCATTGCTATAGCTCTGGCTGCACATAGCCACAGTGACAGCCTGGCTCTCCATATGCAGGCCACTCGTGAACACTCATCGAGCATTTGCAGCATTTCATAAAAAATCCAAACATTGGCTACCGTACCTAGGTAGCAACTTGCCACCCATGCGTTAGGGGCTTTTATTCAACTTCTATGCCGTCACTTGAGCTGAAGATGGCTTTGTAAGTTCTGTTATCCATCCTGCCAGCCACCAAAACTGCGTAGACTGCCGTGGAAAGATGAGAGGCCTACGTTTTCCCCATATTATCCTCCCTGTCACTACCCCGGATTTTAGACGGCTTGGCATCTCCACATCCTCCACCCTATGCGCTCACGGCTTCCAAGCTTACACCACACCATGTTGATACTTCCGACGGGATGTCGAAGAACAAATCGGACTTGCCTAGCCTGACTTTCAGTTTTCCGGATCCCTGGATAGTTATACCCCCAGCTCTAGTCCCTGGCTGCAGCATACCATGCACGTCTCGCCTGCATCTCGCCCGGATGGCTAGTCAGCGACCTCGGCGGTCGCTTATCCGTCAAACAGGCATCGCGCGGGGAATACCTCAGATGTTTTTTTTTTGTAATCACTCGCCAAGACGGACAAGGCCAAAAAGGATCTCGTGAAAGTATGCCCTGGCCGCGATATTTACCCGGTAACCAATCATGAGATATTCTGGACGAGACCTCGGGATCCGAATCACCTGGCACCTCTTTTCAGTGGGGTCGTCCCCGACCAGCCGGTCTCTCATGCTGACCTCCATTTATATAAAAAGGCCTGACAGCCTCGTTATCAGGTCTTTGGAGTCGGCCAGGCCCGCCTTTCCTGCTGTTTTCCCCCCATCACAAGGTTGAGCGACGCGTGCTCAGCCCAACAGACGACATGGCATTTGGAACCACGAAAGAAGACGCGGCCGACCCACGGCTTAGCAACATTGCCCGTGCTGATCCCATAAAATGGTACAAGAAGAGAAACCTCCGATTCTTGTACCTGATTATGGTGCCGTGTTGCCTGGGTGTCGAGTGGACTTCGGGTTTCGATTCCTCGATGATGAACTCTCTCCAGGCAGTTCAGTCATGGATCGATTGTAAGATCACCAAAAGTCCTGGCAGGGCGGGAGCAAGCTGGGCTCGTGCAACTGACATTTTGATTTTCAAGACTTTGGCGACCCCTCTGGAGACCGCCTTGGCTTGCTCAATGCGATGTACTCGCTCGGAGCCCTCATGTCCATCCCCTTCATCCCTACAGTCTCGCAGTACCTTGGCCGGCGATGGACCATCGTCGCGGCCTCGCTCATCATGACGCTCGGCGCTGGGATGCAGGCCGGAGCCGTGAACGTCGACATGTTCCTCGCCTCGCGTTGGGTCCTCGGCTTCGGGATCCCCTTCGCCATCGTCAACGCCTCCGCCCTCATCGGCGAGCTCGCCTACGCCAAGGAGCGGCCCATCATGACCTCCCTGTTCAACGCCAGCTGGTTCGTCGGCGCCATCATCGCAGCCGGGGTCACATTTGGGACATTTCAGATGGAGAGCACGTGGGCGTGGCGGCTGCCGTCGCTGCTCCAGTTCGTGCCCAGCGCATGCCAGCTTGGCTTCATGGCCTGGTGCCCCGAGAGCCCGCGCTGGCTCATCTCCAAGGACCGGGGTGACGAGGCGTTTGCCATCCTTCAGAAGTACCACTGTGAAGGCGAGAATGGGGAGGAGTTTGTCCGACTGGAGTATGCGCAGATCCAGAGCACCATCGCCCAGGAGAAAGCTACTGCAAGTACGTATAAGTTCACTAGTATAAGTTCACTCCCACAGAGTGATGCTAACGTACAGCAGAGGCGTTTGTCTGGGCCGACGTGTTCCGCGATGCCCCCATGAGGCGGCGATTCGCGCTCGCCGCCGTGATGGGCTTCTTCACCCAGTGGAGCGGGAACGGTCTTCTCTCCTTCTACATGAAGATGATTCTCAACCTGGTCGGAATCAGGGATAATCACACCGTCCAGAAGTTCATCCTGAGCAACACCTGTTGGGGCTTCATCAACGCGATCCCCATTGCGTTGATTGCACCCCGCTACCCTCGGCGTGTTATGTTCCTGATCTGCACAATCGGCACCGCCTGCGTCTGTAAGCATGATTCTCGAGCTTGGTCTCCCAATGTAGCTTGCTTTCTAATGTGTGATAGACACCGTGTGGACTATCGCGTCTGCCCGTTTCGCCATTGATGGGACAAAGGCTGCTGCCATTCCCGTGCTGGTCTTCATTTTCGTCTACTCACCGTAAGTCAGGAACCGGTGGAACAAGAAACGCCTCGCGTTCAGATACTAAAACCAGCCAGATTCTACAATATTGGCTGGAACGCGCTCGCATATACCTACCTGGTCGAGATCTTCCCGTACGCGCAGAGATCAAAGGGGATTGCTCTGGAGCAACTGACTGTCCGACTCGCCGTCTTCTTCAACACCTACGTCAACCCGATTGCTCTCGACCGGATCGGCTGGAAGTACTACATCGTATATTGCGTGTGGATTCTGGTCGAGATTGCCACGGTCTATCTCTTCTTCCCGGAGACGCACAACCGTACCCTGGAGGAGCTCTCGTTCATGTTCGAGGGCAAGGAGGTGCAGGACAGGGTGCAGCACAATGTCGACAAGCAGCTCGAAATGGGCCCTGTTGGTGTTACGGAGGTCCACGAGGCTCCGCACAAGGATGACAGCAAGGCCTGAGGAGCAGAAATACAAGTAGCGGGGAGTCAATGATTGGGATTGGGGCTCAGACTGATCATGTCATACCTTCCTGGGACATCAGGGTCTGAGTCGGGACATCTGGTTCATGATTTGTAAGGGTGTAACTCCTTCCTTAGGTACTTCTTACTAAGTAGCCCCGGGCTTGTATGGCCTGCCTCGTCTCTGTTCCTATCTACATCTAGGGCACGCATGTGGGTAAGCCATTCAAGGTTATACTATTCATGAAAGCGTTTCTGTTGCCCTATGAATCTTGAATTTAACATAGTACTTGTTGTCGGTCAAATATATTGTTAAGTAACTCTTAGAGCTACATACCTAGGCACCTAGATACCCTAATATTATAGCTAGATAAAAATTCCACTATACTACTTAATATTTTTATTTTTTATAATATATTTATTTTAATACTTTTTTTAATTTTATATAATTTAATAATTAAAAGTTATAATAACTTTAAATAAACTAATTATTTTATAAATAAATAAAAATTATTATTAATTATAAATTAAATTTTTTATATAAATTATTATTTTTTAAAAAAAGTTTTAAATATTATAATTTTAAATATTTTTAAATATTAATTTTTATATTAAAAATATAATTAATATATTATATAAATTTAAATCTTTAATTAAATTTTTAAATAAAAAGTATTTTTCATTTATATATATATTATATATTATTTATAAGCTAATATTTACTTATTTAATAATTATATCTACTTACTTAATTCCTACTAACCACTTACCTAATATTAATTTTTCTAAATAACTCCTTTATATTTATAAGTACTTTCTAAGTTAGTATTAAAAGACCTTATAGTATAATTTCCTTTTTTAATTTTAATACTTTAAATATAAACCCCTTCTAATACCCCTTTTAATACACTTTTTAATATACCTTTTAACCTATATATATTTAGGTATTAACTAAGTATTTAGATACTAATTAAATATTAAAGGGTTAGAAGTTAAAATAGTAAAGATAAAGATTATATACTTTCTAGCCTTCTAGCCCTTCTTCTAACCTTTTAGCCCTCTAGACTTCTAGCCTTTTAATATTTAATTAGTATCTAAATACTTAGTTAATACCTAAATATATATAGGTTAAAAGGCCTAGAAGGCATACTAAAAGGTATACTAAAAGGGATACTAAAAGGTATACTAGAAGGCGTACTAGAAGGTGTATTAAAAGGTGTATAAAAAAGGTTTATATTAAAAATATTAAAAATTTAAAAAATCTTAATTAAATATATAGTTTTATATAGACCTTATATATAAATTTTTATATTAAGTAAATAGTTAAAAAAAACTAAGTAAGTGAATATAATTACTAGATAAGTAGATATTAACTTATTATTTATAAATAATAAATATTTATAATATAGTTTTTTTAATAATATATTATTTATTTTAATAAAATTATAATTATTTATAATAATAATAAATATATACTTTTATTTAAAATTAAAAGTTAATAATAAATTAATTTAAAATTAATTTAAAATTAATTTATATTAATATAAATAATTAATAAAAGAATTATTTATAAAAAATTATTTATTATTTTAAATATTTTTATTAAATTAAAAATATTAATTTTTTATTTAATAATTATAAAACTTTATAAAATAATATATTTAATAACCTCTTTTAAATATAAAGTTAAAAGATTTATAATTATAATTTTTAATTAACTTTTATTTAATTATTTTATTATATTATAATTTAATTTAATTTTATTTAAACTTTTTTAAACTTTTATAATATTTTTTCTTTAAAGGAATTAAATTTAAAATTTTTATAAATTTCATTTTTTTAAAATTAAATTTATAATCTTTAACTTTTTAAAAATATATTAACTATTTTAAATATTAATAACTTTTCTTTAAAGTAGAAATCTATTTTTATATAATTATAAATTTAATTATTAATAATTATTTCTTTTTTATAAAACTATTAAAATTATAAACTTAAATATATAATAATAAAATATAATTACTTTATTTAATTATCTTTTAATTTAATAGATTAAATAATTACTTTTAAATAATTTTATTTATAAAGTTAATAGTCTTTTAAGTTTATTAAATAAATATTTATTTAAATAAAGTTAAAACTTATATATATTCCTTAAAAGATTAATAGTTTTATTTTTACTTATTTTAATTAATTTATATTTAAAAGTTTAAGTTATATAATAATTTTATATATAATACTTAATAGTATTAAAATTAACTTATAATTTATAATAGTTTTAACTTTTAATAAATTAATAATATTAATTTAAATAAATTAAATATAATTTAATATATTAATATAAAAAGTACTTTTAATAATAAATAATATTATAAATATAAATTATAAAGTTATTATAAAAGTTTTATATAATAAATTTAATTAAATTAATCTTTAAAAATATATTATATTTTTTTAAAACTTTAATTATTTATATTTAATTTAATAATAAAATTAAAAAATATAAATAGTTTATAATTTATATATTTAATAATATTATATAAACTTTATATAAAAATATTATTTATTATTTATAAATTTAAAAGTATATTCTTTTAAAATAATACTTTAATTTATATATATTATATAATAAAAAAGTTTTTAAAATATATTAATAATAATAGAATTATAATTATAAATTATTTTTATAACTTTAACTTTAATTTAATTAAAATATTTAATTAATATTTAAAAGATTATTTATAAAAACTTTAAATTAAAATACTTTAAAAATAAAGATTTATATAAAAGATTTATATAAATAGTAATTAAATATTAAAAATAAATTATAAAAAATAAATTATAAAAAATAAATTATAAAATTTAATTAAAATAATATATTATAAAGTAATTAAAATAATTTATATAAAATATTAATATATTAAAAATTAATTATATAAATAAATAAAATAATTTTTTAAAAAATTAATACAAATTATTAACTATTATAAAATTCCTATAGATTATAAATATAAAGTAGAATTTACTGTTAGGTAGAGGTAAATTGCTGGTGTGGAGTGTGGCGGAACTTTTGTTCCCTGACTGTATGTACGGTATGCACCTGGGTGCTGGGCCCCTCCATTCAGGGGCGGGTTGGAGCCCGAGGCTCTCCTGCTCTTCATTACTAGTAGGCGGCAGGGGGGGCTGGAGGGGCAGCCAGCAGCTAAGGTGGAGAACTGGGGCCCCCCTGCCGAGCTGGTCCAATGAAGTGATTGGCCGCATGGCGGATCTGGAAGAACCTGACAGACCGTCTGGAAAAGTTGCTGGCTGCTAGCTTGGCTGTCTGTCGTGTCGAAGCTTCAGGGTCAACCTACAATTGCTACTGACGTGCAGCCAACGCGAAAGTCGGTGCCAGCTTGCAACGTCCTCACCACCCACACCTGCGCACCTGCACACCTTTTAGGACCCGTCCCCGCGTCCCCGGCTGACCAGATACACCACCATCGGTCAGGATGGCCTCCATGTTCGAGCAGAGCGGGAACGGCACCCTCTTCCTGGGCGGTCAGAAGATCTCGGGCTCAGACATTCGTGACCAGAACGGTGAGTCCCCCGCCTGCGAAACCACCACGATGGCCACCCCATGTGACGCCGTGGCTGACCCTGCCGGCCCCAGTCCTGGCAACACAAGCCATCGCAAATGTCGTCAAGAGCTCCTTCGGCCCCAGCGGCCTCGACAAGATGATGGTCGACGACATCGGCGACGTGACCGTCACAAACGACGGCGCCACCATCCTCGCCCTCCTCGACGTCGAGCACCCTGCGGGCAAGATCCTGGTGGACCTCGCACAACAGCAGGACAGTGAGGTCGGCGACGGTACGACGTCAGTGGTCCTCATCGCCGCCGAGCTCTTGCGCCGGGCAAACGAGCTGATGAGGAACCGGATACACCCCACCACCATCATTACCGGCTACCGCCTGGCCCTGCGCGAGGCCGTCAAGTACATGAACGAGAACATCAGCGTCAAAGTCGAGAACCTCGGCCGCGAGTCCCTCCTGAACATCGCCAAGACCTCCATGTCCTCCAAGGTCATCGGCGCCGACTCCGAGTTCTTCAGCAACATGGTCGTCGATGCCATGCAGGCAGTCAAGACAACAAACAACAGGAACGAGACAAAGTACCCTGTCAAGGCGGTGAACATACTCAAGGCACACGGAAAGGGCGCCCTGGAGTCTGTACTGGTCAAGGGCTACGCCCTGAACTGTACCGTTGCCTCGCAGGCCATGACTACCAACGTGAGGGATGCCAAGATTGCCGTGTTGGACATGAACCTTCAGAAGGAGCGCATGAAGCTCGGTGTACAGATTACGGTGGACGACCCCCAGCAGCTCGAGCAGATCCGCGCAAGGGAGTCTGGAATGATTCTGGAACGGGTAGAGATGATCCTGAAGGCTGGCGCAAACGTTATCCTGACCACCAAGGGCATTGACGACCTCTGCCTGAAGATGTTTGTTGAGAAGGGTGCTATGGCTGTTCGGCGGTGCAAGAAGGAGGATCTCCGACGGATAGCGAGGGCCACCGGGGCCACAATGCTGAGCACCCTATCTGACCTGAACGGCGACGAGAAGTTCGAACCATCCTACCTCGGCCATGCTGACGAGGTCTCGCAGGAGCGCATTTCTGACGACGAGTGCATCCTCGTCAAGGGGACCAAGGCTCACTCCTCCGCATCCATCATCCTGCGCGGTTCCAACGACTTCCAGCTGGACGAGATGGAGCGGTCGGTCCACGACTCCCTGATGGCAGTAAAGCGCACGCTGGAAAGCGGCAGTATCGTGCCAGGTGGTGGCGCAGTGGAGACTGCTCTTCACATTTACCTTGAGGAGTTCGCCGGAACAGTGGGTTCCCGGGAGCAGCTGGCCATTGGGGAGTTTGCTCAGTCTCTCCTGGTCATTCCCAAGACGCTCGCCGTCAACGCTGCCAAGGATGCGTCAGAGTTGGTCGCCCAGCTGCGGTCGAGACATGCCCTGTCTCAACGCACCGCGGACGGCGACGCCAACGAGGATGAAAAGACGGTGGCACGGAAGAAGGGCTACAAGAACTACGGCCTGGACCTCTCCAAGGGCAAGGTGGTGGACGAGATCAAGGCCGGTGTCCTGGAGCCCAGCATGAGCAAGATCAAGCAGCTCAAGAGTGCGGTGGAGGCCTGCATTAGCATTATGCGTATCGATACCCTGATCAAGCTGGATCCAGAGCAGAGGGCCGAGGAGGACGACGGGCACGGCCACTAGAGGGAGCCACTCGGCTGGACTGCTGGCGTTTGGGGTAATAGAACAAGACAAAGCACAGTAGCTGGCGCAATGCGGTGATGAACCCTAACGGGACGTGCGGCAGAGGGCTGTGAAGACCCTCCGCCCCTCGCGGGTGCCTCATGAATTAGGTGTGGAAGAGCTTACGGGTGACGAACTGCCTTGCATTGGGGGGTTGGTTAGTCGGCTCGACGAAGGCCACGGCGTGAGGCGCGTGCCTGCGCAGGCGAAGCCTTAAACAGGTCGCCCGGGGTCATCAGGTATCTGCCAGCTGCGCACCCAATTGCAGCCAATTGCAACCCACAGCTACACCCACTGCCCATAGGACCAGCGGCCGAGCACACCTACCTAACTAGGCACTTATAAAATTCACGTATCTTCGTGATGAAATCCATGTATTTTCGTGCAAATTGAGAGCCACTGCACCATGGAACCCTAGTGACGTTTCAGCTACAAGGTCTTTTTAACCCCACATAAGAATCCTAATACTATAAATAATTATATTCAAGAGGATAAAAATATATTATAATAGTACTAAGCTATCTCATAACTAGTGTGGTGTGCAAGTATTAGATGATCACTGTCTCAGACCATGAGCTAAGGATGCTGGACATCAATTGATTGCTAACGCACATGATGCTGTTAATTGCGAATGACAGGCTGACAGTTCTTTCCTTTGCCTCTGCCTTGCCCGGGAAGACCTGTATCTTGGCCTGCAGGGGGAGTAGCCTGTACAACGACGCCATCGGCGGCCTTTACTTGTGTGTCAGTCGCGTGCTGAGTTGTCGAGAGGATTTCGTGATAGGAGAACTAACCTTCGCATCAGCCGCGGTAAACTGAGCTGGTTGGAACGAGCACATAGCCATGATATCGTTGACTTCTAGACATCAAATTGACAATTAGATTACATCATCACCGTGATATAGGCTCCTTCTGTATGCTACCAGAAACAGCAGACACATACCTCTGGCGTTGTTGAATTCGAAGGAATTCTGCACCACACAACTCTGGCAGAGAGCCGTCATCCGCCCGACGTCGAAACTCTGATTTTGGCAATAACACGCCTGCTCTCCCTGAAATTCAGCCGCCTCGCCGCCAACGAGGTTCTCGTCGACATCGCAGGTACGGCTAAGCTCCAAGGTTGGACGGCAGACTGGAGTCACAGTGGTAAGCTATCAAAGTCTAAAGAAGGGGCCTCAAACTATCTTGGGAGGCAACATCGTACGGAATAGCCCATAGCCATCTCAAAGTCTGAGATTCTAAGCTTGAGGGGACTTCTTTTGAGACACAAGACAAGGACAGGAGAGAGTTCTTGCAGGAAGATACAAGACTGTATTTGAAATTTACTTACTGGCCTGACATGCGGCTGGTATGTCCTCGATGTCGACGTCCAAGTCGGCGAGGACCCCATAGAGGACGGTCAGAGCAAGGGCGGTGGCGATATGGACTCTCATTTTCTTTGAATACGGGACGTGGTGGCTCGGCAAGAAAATCAAATTTCAGTTGAAGAAATTTTTCAAGATGTGATCCTACACCACATCGTAGAAGGAAAAGCCGAATGACATTTCGAGATTCTTAAGGATATTTATACTCAAGTACTATACAATACCAACACAACCGGGAACTATGAGCGCATGGTCATCAAAAACAACCTTATGGGCGTACATTGTCATCCTTTCCTCTGAGTTTTCAATAAACTTTCAAGGCAATGAACTCAAATTCAGTTTGTGGCCGTGTAATCTTCACGTATTGTACTCCAGAAGACCCAAATATCATGGGTTAACTGCAGCATGTATGGTACAAGCATTACTACCTAGGCAGCGACCTGGCGGCGTCATGCCCAACGACTTGGCGAACTCTCGTCTAGTCGTTGGCGACAAACTTCTTTCAAGGAAACTGAGAACAGATGATAAGAAAAAGGATATTGGGCAAAGAGGGTCCAGGTCGTGTTAAGTGACATCTGGAGTGGTTGTGGTAGGTCCGCGCGAAGGTGCCACGGCTTCATCATTCTTCCTATCGATCCATTTCATTCACTGTTGGATCAATTAATCGAAGGGGTACGATGACCCCAATACCCGGCTGAAACCGACCGCAGTTCTTGTCGTGAACCTCTTTCGATTATTCCATCGTGCCGGCGGCCGTTTCGCGCGCCGAGACAAGATTCATCCGTGACACTTCCTCCAGGTCCATCCTAGCCTTCTCGTCACCCGCTTGGCCACTGTGATGGCAGTCGACAGTTGAATATTGTTCATACGACAATCCGCGACCGTTCCTATTCGGCGGGTAGGCTATAGCCAAGAATAAACAAGCCTAAGCCTCCCGAATGTCCTATGGTTGCGAACCACTCAGCAAGGCTGACGTCCCGGGGAACACTCACAAGTACTGCACATGCCGTACACCCCATCTGTGCCATCTGTGCGTGGCGTCTGTATGCTTATGCACTTCGGATTTACCTTTTGCGCTAGCAATGCTCATCGCCGACGGCAAGCTTGGCGCTGAGGATAAGCATTGAACCGCTTCAAGGCTCACAGCGCGGCAGGTAGGAAAGTGCTGTCGCCAAGGGCATCGTCATTGGCTTCGGCAAGAAACTTGTGGCAGTGCTCAAACTCTAGCCTTCTTCACATCACAGAGTCCGCGTCGACCGGGGCAACTCCGTAGTATCGACTCTCGTCCACCTCGTCCTCAGTTCCTCGTCACAGCCCGGCACCCGATTTCCTACCAGATCGCATTCGTTGCAAGTCGGTACTTCGCCTCCCAATGAACAAATATTTGGAGATAATTGCTATATTTTCTTGCACTTGTTTGGGTTCCTGCCCTCAAGTTGAGAGCCCATGGATGGTCGTGCACTCGATCTCACCAGACTACATTTCAAAGAAACTCTAACAATTTGTTATGCGTCCGCGAGTGCCGTCTAAAGACTGACAAAATCATGGCATGATCCATTTTTACCCATTCTTGGTACTGTACCCAAGTGATCATCATATTCATGGATAGTATCTGGTCCAGCTTGCCAGGCATCCTTAGACCCGACGCCTTCAAAAGGGGACTTAGAGCAGAAGACATCGTGTCCTTTTCAAGCGCTGGGTCTCAAGCGCTTACCACCGTATGAAGGCACCATGTATGTCCTCGGAGGTATACTAAATAGAAGCGAAACCACTTATCTCATCTTGAGTCTCGATAAATTTGTCTACTTAACCAAAGCCAAACATAAAAGTATAATTTGCTGACATTCACCACGAATGACTTCCCAAATTATGGTACCGACTCGGCTCACAAGTGCGGAATAGAAGCGATACCAGCCACAATTGTGTGGTGCTACGAAATGCATCGTCGATGCTGCTGAATTGTCAATTCTTTTCCGGAAGATGAGATCAATCAGCTGGACATTACCTGGGTAATTACAATTCTAGCTTTGCTGCTGGCTTTTTGGGTACAATGCCACCGACATGCCGGCACTCTTCCAGAGCGCTCATGTAGCTATTCGAATCAAATGTGGGAACAGAAACCGAGGAAAACCATAGCGTCGTGTCGATTTGCGAGACCAACCTAACCTTAAACATTCCTATCGAGGTCCTTAGTGTGTGTGCTGATCTATCTCGTGTGGATCCTTAGAAGCTACCTAGGGTAGTTGGGGCCGCTTTTAGTGGTTGGATGGTGAAGACGAATGGTCCATCATGTTTTCTTTCTATGGGAATGTGGGTGGCATCCAAGTCGTCTTCGCAAACGAAGCGATTGCACTGCCATTGAGTCTTACACAAGCCCCAGTGATTTCTCATCTGCAAAATGTTCTCTCACAGTAATTTTGTACGTTTCAAGCATAGCTTGACAATCTGCGAATCAGTTTCTTGTTGTTCATTCCAAGGTTGGGATTTGCTACTGTCTTCTGAAAACCCAACGAGACAATCAGACAGAGACCTGAAGCTCCAAACTTCCAGCTCTGGAGGGTAGTCCGGATCCGGTTTCCTTCAGCAAAGCCTTAAAAATGGAACAACTACATGTTTTTCCAAAGTGCATCCAGGCAACAGGCCCATCACACCCATTTCTTCACTCCGACTATTGAAAAAGGTCCGGACCACGTAACTAGGTACGACAGCAATAGTCACCATACAAATCGCCTTGTGGAGTCCACGTCTTAGGACGGGTGGGTAATTTTGCCGCCGCGAGCACATACTTAAGTTAGGTACCTATCTTGGCATGGCTTACTGAAATATTCCATCTCAGCATCAGAGTCAAAACAAATACAGTCTATGCCCTCACAGACAAGCATACTAGCCCGACCTCAGTTGTGACTTAAATCGAGACTCTGAAACCCTAAGCTTATCTCTCGAACCGGAGTTCCACTAGTTCGTCCAATCGTATTCGGGTCTGGAGAGCGCACAGAATAAAAGCTGTCCCGGCCGCCCTGACAGCTACCGTTTCAGTGCGTCATCACCTTCTCAACTTGAACTGACCTTTCCTCATTAACGAGCACATCATTTCCACTTCGTCCATATAGCGAAGAGTTTCCTTAGACGACTCCGTTTGCACCATTTGGACAGAACCAGGAGAAATGGCCACCCGCTTCGCGCTGAAATGCGCAAAAGAGTCCGCCGGCGAAATTCCCCTTCCTAATCTCTGCATAGGTACCTGGGCGTGGGGGGACTCCTGGACGTGGAAAAACGCCTCAAAAGAAGCAGTGACTAATTTGGAGGGTGCATGGACCTGTATGAGTGATACAAACCTCTTTTTTGTCGACACCGCCGAGGCTTATGGGCAGGGCGAGTCGGAGCGGATCATCTCGAAGCTCCGCCAGGATCCAAAGTTCACCAATGATGAGTTCAGGGCGCGGCTTGTCATCGCTAGCAAGTTCCTTCCAATTCCATGGCCGCCGACCCGCTTGTTCCCGGGTAGCATGGCGAACTACTGCAGGGCGAGTCTCGAGAGGCTGGGCATGGACAAGATGGATCTATATCAGATTCACGGACCAACACACTTTGCCAACTCGATTGATGCCATGGCGAGCGGGCTCGCAAAGTGTGTGGATCTGGGCTTGACTCGTTCGGTCGGTGTCAGCAACTACAGCAAGGATGAGATGATCAAGATGGACGAGGCATTGAAGAAGAAAGGACTAAGGCTTGCGAGCAACCAAGTTGAATTCTCGTAAGTGCCATTGTTCTCTTCCAAGGTTTTCACTAATCGCCATTCTTCATGTTATCGAATGTTTCAGGATGCACACTTTGGGAACCGTAGCAACTAACTCACATATCCTAGACTGCTGCGCACCCTCCCCGAGAAGAGTGGGCTCTTGGAAGAGTGCAAAAAGCGTGGAATACTGCTGATGGCTTATAGCCCGCTCGGCATGGGCCGTTTGACCGGTAAATACGGAAAGGGAAACCCCCCACCATCAAATAGAAAATTCGGAAACTACCCCATGGAGAAGCTTGCCCCTCTCCTGGACACCCTGAGCAAGATAGCAAAGGCGCACGACATCAAGTCTAGTGCCGTGGCACTCAAATGGGTGATTCAGAAGGGGGGCATTCCACTTGGTGGGGTTAAAAATGCCAAACAGGCCGAAGAAAATGCGAAGGCCGCCAGTGATGAGTGGATTCTGAGCGAGAGCGAGATGGAGGAGCTGGACAAACATTCCCAGGTAGGAACGACGAACTTCATGTGGCAGCATGGCTGATACAAATGAGAATGGCTGTACGCTCCACAGAGCGGTTGATGATATAAAGCTTTAGATACAAATGCGCCATGTATGTCTTCGGACATAGACGGAGTAGAAGTGAGACCAGGTAAAAGAATACAATGCCAATAATAGTGCAGAGAGAATAGGCCTCAGCCTCATGCCACACACACAAGGCTAGGAAGCGTCTCGATTTGACCAAGTAGTTTGGTTTCTGATCCTCATACACATAAAACATACGTGGCGCCTTCATACAGTGCTCGACTTGACTAAAACTATACATGGTTTGTGCTAAACTAGATCTAGGATGAACTACTGGAACTGTTATCTGCGCAAGAGAAAGCGCCACCAATCAAGCCCTGAGCATACGCATCAATAATATTCTGTATCACCCCATAAGTGCCACCGATTGTTAAAAAGATGGCAAGAAGAATCATGAGCCAGTTCAGCCAGTAAACCATGATCTGCCACCAATTTCCTTGTCGATAGTGTTGATGGTCGAATATCCCTACAGCATTCAGAGTTAGCCATCAAAAAAACCGAAGGGGTAACTTCATGCTTATATAGCAAAAAGTAGGTAACAAGTTTGCCATAGCATGTCTTGAAACCTGGGGCCCTTAAAGTCTTTGTTATACAGGCTAAGAATGTGGTATGTTTGCTCTTGAAGGGGTAAAGAATGTGTCCAGAAGCTGCTTACAGAGGTAGCCCGGCAAACCAAGAGCCAAGGGAGCGAAAGTCAAGCTTCCTGCAAGGGCGAGCAGGTAGTTGAAGATGGGGATACCTGAGGCCAGGAGAAATGAAACGACTGACATTCCGAAAGTACAGCCGAGCCATGCCGACCAGTGGACGAACGAGTTCTTCTGCAGGTGAACAGAGTCGCGGAGGATTCGTACAAAGATATACTTGGCAGCGACATGGATATATAGACATGCGCTCACCATCAGCCCAGTAAGGCCAATACCATATGCAACCTTTTTGACGACTTCACCTGCACTGCCAAGAGAAGGCGAGGCCACCCATTGACCGCAGTAGCGATATACGACCAAGGAGAAGGTCAGGTAGGACGCTGTAACGATTCCCACTTAATATGAAGTTAGTCGCGTGCTAATGGTTTTGAGCATTTGAAGTGCTGCATTCGAGATCATTCCTGGAGATGAAAGACTGGGAGAGGGAGTGGCTCCTTACTGCAGAGGTAGACAGCTTTGTTGTAGTCCCCTGGTCGTTTCATTTCTGAAATGACGGGCAAGAATGCCGATGTGCCCGCGCCAGAGCAGAAGATGGTCGCGACAGAAGTAATACCAGTAACGAAAGTCGGGTCGCCGATAACATCTAGAGGTCTTGGTGGTCAGCCGTCAACGAACCAAATATACAGCTTCAAGCTAAGGGGTGTTTCATGATATAGCCATATGTTGTTGATCCAACTGGCAATTTGTCAAGGATCCGCAATGCAAGCTGATGAGTCGATATTCTTGTTGTTGGAGGGTTTCTGAGTGTATCTCCTAGTAAAGATTACTTACGGTAGCCGAGGTCAAAGTCGCCAGTTTTGGGGGCCGCGGCCGGTCTGTCTAGTTGTGTGACGGCAACTCTGCGGTTCGGATGAATGTCAATACCTAGGTAGTGTTTGGGGAATATGAGAGTATCAGAAGGTACATACACGACAATAAATACGGCAACGTAGACCGAAAGAAAGCCAGCCCATGTCAACCACGCAATCTTCTCGAACTTGCGAACGCTTGCAAGAATGAAAACCGCAACAGTGGCAGCCAACATGAAGTAATTTGTGCAGATTGCATGATCCGATAGGGCGTTGAAAGCAACCGATGTGCCGAAGATGCCGGATGCGCCAACAATCGAATAAGTGACGAGGAATAATATCCCAACTATTTCTTTTAGCCACGAACCGCCGACAACGTTGGCCATATCAGCAATAGAGTGACAGCCAGCATGAGAGTTGCGAAAATTGCCCTGGATGATGGCGCAGTATGTATTCAGGAACTGCCAGCCCAGCACGTTTATAGCACCGGGCAGAGAACCAAGAACAAACATTGCTGAAGGAATTGAGAGAACACCGGTGGCGAAGATGACTATGCAAAAACATTAGCCTCCAAGCACAGGCTAGGGCACATCAACGTAGCGTGTGAGATCTAACCTTTGAGAAAAATGACTGAGGCATGGACCCATCCGACTGTGCGGAAGTCCACTGCACCCTCTCCTCTCTTGAAGACTTCAAAGGCATCGTCGCTATTCTCCAGCTTTCCGGCGTCAATACTCCCGCTGCACCTTGCCGGCGCCGGGGTGATCACGTCAGCCTTTTCCATGGTGCTGCGAGACATTGGTCAAAAAGTTCTGCGATTGCTGAATTGCTTCAATGTTGACGGGCGGGTAGAACAAAGACCTGGCAAGCAAAGTAGAGGCGTGGTTGCCTTAATTCTCTGGAGGGAATTCGCCGTTGAAATACCTTTAGGCTCCTGGTGACACGCTCCTTGAAGCGAGTAAGGAGACGCGCTTTTAGTCTCACATGGCTTATCTTACTACCATGGGGCCTGTCAGTGGGATATCAGCCTTCGACATTGAAAGCCCGCCCAACCCCGCGTGCACCACCTGGGCACCTTCGGATGCCCGCTCCAAGATTGTGGGTCACTGCATTCACGCGACACTCAGGCACAGGGTTTTGGCTGTGAGTTTGTGGAGGCTTCCGTGTGATTGCATATCAAGATTTGATAAGGTTGGGGTAGAGAGCTCACGTTGGAGTAGATAGGCTGAGTTTTTGGAGGAGCTGATTATCTGCCGAATTACTTAAGTATCTATTGGGGTCATGCCCCATGCCTGTTGATCAAGCACTGCCTGGGTACCCCGATGATCCACCTTAGGTGACCAAGCGTCCAACAGAGGAGCCTAGAGGCATCAATGATGCGACTGAATTGGGTCAAGAGAGACAATTTTAGTATCCCTCCGATGGCGAGATGGCATAACTGAAAGCACGCACGCTCAATCGTGCCAGTGGTTACAAGATCATGACGATGGCGATCTCGAAAGTTGAGAGATGTACTGTAGATTGCCAGAAGATACATTCTTGGCGGGAGCCAGTTGTAGCAAGTCTCCGAACGATAGAATTCCATACTGATTATTTTGATCCGGCTGTCTAATAGCTGTCGTCATTTCTTAAGCATGGCCCCGCGCTCCGCAGGCATGATAGCACCCGGTGGCGGCGCCGTCTTCCCCTTGAATTCATCGCAAATCTGTTCCATTGTGACAAAATCGACACCCTCGTGCTTCTTAAAGTGTTCAATGAGCCTCTCGTGCATCAGAAGCGCGTGTGGACGGCCAGAGACATCGGGATGAATAGTGATGGGGAATATAAAGTTATCGTACTCCCGGTAAAAGTAGTCAAAGTGATCGCGCCATATATCCTCAACGTCACGCGCATTCACAAATCCATGCTAAGTATAATGTTAGTCTTGTTACGGATCATGCATTGTGCAATGCCCCGAAACATAAAGACCGAGATCTGTGACAGGAGAATTGACACTTACACTGTTGGGCGCGTCCTTGATGAACATCATGGGAGGCAGGTCGTCTAGGTACCAGTTCGCCGGGATCTCGACGAGCCCGGTCTCCTGGCCCCTGACGAGAGGTTTCATCCATTCTTCTGGTTTTTTCTTGTAGTCAATTTTTGTCCACTCATCGCCGGTCCGCAGGTAATCTAGCGCATCCAGAGTCAGCTTTCAAAGAAGCAGAGGAGTGGCCGCATCTTGCAGGGATAAAAACAGTATTTAGTATCTGCTTACATGGTTGGCAATCATGGTGGCTCATGCTGTGGTCGTATTCGATACCATAGTCCAGGAGCAGCTGGGCGCCCTCCTTGCTGGTCTCCCACCACGGCGCAACGCTGCCTCTGGGGGGCTTTCCCGCAAATTCTGTGAGCATGCGGTATGTTTTGTCGAGAATCTCCCTCTGCTGATCGATAGTCATGTCCGTTGGATTCTCGTGGGAGTAACCATGGAGGCCTATCTCATGGCCAGCATCTCTGACGGCAGCCATATCTTCCGGGAAGGTCTCAAGGCTATGCCCGGGGATAAACCATGTGGCTTTTACATCGTACTTTGCGAGGAATTTCAGGACCCGCTGAACGCCGATGGTGCCCGCGAAGTAGCCTGGAAAAGACTCTTGTCAGCAATGTTCTTGCTCAGTAGTACCCGTGGACCGATAACTACTTAAGCAGGCACACGGGCAAAGACAACAACGCTTGTGTCTGCTCACCTCTGCTAATGTCATTGGAAGAGTCTTCTCCGCCATAAGAACCCAACCAGCCGGCTATGGCGTCTACATCAACGCCATAGCTCACGAGAACGCGCTTCTTTCCCATGTTGGAGGTGGCAAGCCGTAATAGGTTGAAGCAGAAGGGCTGGCAGGTTGCGTTCAAGTCGTTCCTCAGGCAAAGTGGTGACTTCGCTTCCCGGGTGTGTGGGGCTTGAGGATGAATGAGGTGAAGAGAGGCTATTTTGGTCGATTGGAGGGGGACGCTGTATTTCGCCTGGGCTAATGTTGGAGGTCTCGGCATAGTTACGAGGGGCAGGAAATGACGTGGAGTCATAGACCTTGCGAGTTGGAGAATGCCAACCTTGGAAGCTTTGCGCCTATTATTTACAAGGGCAAATAAATGATCTCCAACACCGAGCCACCTTGAGCCTCTGCGCCACGTCACGGTGAGGCATGGGGTTGCTCGTCAAAAGATTGATGCCCAGCACCTGGGCATTATAAACGCAATCAGCGATGATTACTTGACAAAATCTAAACGCTACCTAAGCAGAGAGTCCCCGCCATCTTCGCATACTAGGATCAATGCCATGAATCCTGATGTTATACCACGCCGAATGCGAGCAGCTCAGATCTCGGAAGTCAGTTCAAATGTTTCCAAGGTTGCTCTGATTATCCCTCCTCTTCGGGCAGCTTTGGCTGACTAAATATAGTACAACAAGCCTTACGTGTTGACAGAGAGAGACGTGCCCGCCATTCGTGATCATGAACTTCTCATTAGAGTACACGCGGCCGGTTTCTGCCACTCAGACCTGCAAGTACTACAGGGGCAGTTCAGATCGCCCCTAGGCATGATCCCATCCCACGAGCCTGCTGGGGTGATCGTGCAAGTCGGCAAGAGCTGCAGCGGCGAATGGAAAATCGGGGATAGAGTCGGAGCACTAAACTATCGGAACGCGTGTGGTGCATGCATCGGCTGTGGACTGACCAGGCGGACGAGTAATCAACTGGACCCGAGGTTTTGCGACAAGCGCGAGACTGCAGGCTTCCACCACGACGGAGCCTTTGCCGAGTACCTCGCCATAGATCCCGAAACAACCATCAGGCTGCCTCCTTCACTCTCGTTTGACCAAGCAGCGCCGCTGATGTGCGCCGGAGCAACGGTTTGGGGGTCCTTGGAGAAGGCAACAGCCGGACTGGGCCCTGGGGAGCCCATTGCCATCGTCGGCATCGGTGGCCTTGGCTTCCTGGGCTTACAGTTCGCGGCTGCGATGGGCTTCTGTGCTATCGCTGTCGACAGTCGCCCAGCTGGGAGGCAGCTGGCCCTTGAGATGGCCAACAAGAGCTTACGGCCGGCGCTGGTCGTCGACTCAGGCGCGAAAGATGCCACGTCGCAGATTCTGGACTTCACCAACGGAGAGGGCGTCGCGGCTGCGGTGGTTTGTACGGACTCTCTAGAAGCAAACAATTGGGCCTTGACCTTGTTGAGGACCGGGGGAGTGCTGGGTGTTCTGGGGTTGCCCGCCGAGAACTGGAGATTCGATTCGAGTCTTCTGGTCTTTAAGGAACTCACGATCCGGGGAAGCTACGTTGCGAGCAAGGATTCCGCGGAGAGGATGATGAAGGCCGTAGCAGGCGCTGAGATTCAATCTCACATCACCCTCGTGCCTTTCGATGGAGTGCCCGGGATTCTGGGGGCATATCAGGACAGTGCCTTCAAGGGCAGATTGGTTGTCCAGGTCTCAAATTGAGTGGGCTGAAATCGAAAATAGGTTGGCTCAGTCAGCAAATGTTCCGTTGGTACATACCAGTCTGGATGAGAAACTCTTTGGTGACGGTAGTATTTAGCTTCACAGTAGAGTTAACTATTCCAGGGTGATCCCACGGCCACCCGAGATTTCCGCTGGGCATGTCCCCTGGCGAATGCACATACGAGCTTAGTGCAGACTGAATGACGAGTACCGCAAACTTCTTGGATAAAAGAAATGGCGTTGATTGGGCATTTCACTTCTGGGCAGGTGGCGTTGCGGCCTGATAGACATGCCGCGGAAGCAATAAATTACCTCCGCTGAGCGGTCTTGGGGTTGTCGGTGTTGTCTCCATCCTACCCCAACAGTCACCGACTCGTATCCATGTCTGCTTATTGCTCTACTCCACTGACCGGTCCGTCTACTCCAACTCTGGCTTGGTTCGACAAGGTGCACGGTGAAACTTAGTAGTCTCCCAGTCAAAGCATTCCCTTCCTGCACGAGACGAAGACTCAGGAGAAGACATCCTGGTGATAGCTGCTGGCTGAGGCTGTTGGTGGTAGATAAGCAGTTCAATTGATCGACTGAGTGCCATCTGTACCTAGGTATTTGCCATCATGTCCGTTTTCTTCAAAGACATATCCGAGTACGCAAGAGTCCTATGGCACCGTTGAGGAACTACATCGCTTACACTGACGCTGCAGAGACAATCCCGTGCAGCAGGGCCACGTCGAGCGAATCCTGCAGCCCCTGGGCTTGACGATCAAAGCTGACGAGTCGGCCGACTACCAGAGACTGCTCGCCGCGGTTCACGACTGTGCCGCTCGCATCGATAGTCTCCCCGACTACCAGCCGGTGCCTGATCTCAAGAAGTATCCCCGAGAGAACGTGCATCTCCCCACCTCGGAAGAACAACAATTCGGCCATGCCTGGGCATACCGATTCCTGATCCGGGGCGACAACTCAACCGGTAGCTCATCACCAGTGTCCCTCGAGGCGAAAAGCGTCTGCATCAAGGATTGCATAGCTGTTGCCGGTGTTCCCCAGTTCTACGGAAGCGACGCATTTCCTCCATGGACCCCTTCGACCGACGCGACTGTGGTCACACGGGTTTTGGATGCTGGCGCTCAGATTGTGGGCACGGCGACATGCGAGCACTTCTGCAACTCGACGGCATCTTTCACGAGCGCCCAGGGGACCATTGAGAACCCGTACCGAGAGGGCTATTCCACGGGTGGCAGCACCTCTGGTGGCGCAGCCCTCGTGGGCTCTGGCACGGTGGACATCGCGCTCGGCACAGATCAAGGAGGCAGCATCCGTGTTCCCGCATCCTTCTGCGGGTGCGTGGGGCTGAAGCCGACCCACGGTCTGGTGCCTTTCACGGGCATCACGAGCGGAGATGCAATCGATGACCACGCCGGAACCATCTGCCAGTCTGTCTTTGAGACTGCACAATGTCTTGATGCGATAGCGGGCTATGACATGGTAGACGACAGGTCTCTCGGCGCAGCCACTCACGGGTCATTTGGCTACTCTGCGGCTCTCGAGTCAAGTTCTGGCCGATTGGACGGGATGAGGATTGGCCTTTTGAGAGAGGGCTTCCAGCACGAGATTGTTGACGCCAGAGTCAGGAATCATGTTCTCGCTGCCGCTCGGAAGCTGGAATCACTGGGAGCGACCGTCGAAGACGTCTCGGTTCCGCTCCACAAGGAGGGACCGTCAATCTGGACGATCCAGCAGCGCATCTCAGGATCCTCGAGCATCCTGGGCAGGGCTTCCGGACGACGGGGCCTCGGCCTGACCGAGTTTGAAAAGGCGCGGTTGCCTTGGACCGACGCGCGCTTCCAGAAGCTCTTCCCATCAACCAAAAATACCGTCATAAACGGCTTATATCTAGCCGATAAATTCCCCGGGCTCTACAGCAAGACGATCAACATTGGCCGGCAGATCAGTGCTGCGTACCAAGCGGTCTTTCAGGACTACGACGCCATCATCATGCCAACGACACCATTCCTGGCACCACGACATGGCACCAGGGACTCTGTCCTTGGCTCGTTTGAGCCCACAATAGGCCTGACGACGAACACTGCGGTGTTCAATGTGACTGGCCACCCTGCAATGTCCATACCCGTAGGCTTCTTGCCCGCGGCAGATGACGCTGAAGTGCAGCTGCCTGTTGGTATGCAAATCGTGGGTGGGCTGTGGGAGGAGAAGAAAGTCCTGGAAGTAGGGCATGCCTGGGAGACAAATTTTGACTGGAAGAGCTTGCGGACCGACGATACGGTATGCAAACCTGTTTCCGACCCATCACGGACGGTCTGTGGCGAGGAGGGCACAGTGTCCGGATTCGATGTTGCAACGTCACCGAGCTCAAAGCGGGTGAAGCTTGCGGCTTGACGCGCGATATCTGACAAGATAACCAATGAAAATTATACTTATCTTCAAAGTTTGAAATCGGTACTATCGGGGGCGTTCCGATTTGAGACGCACGCGCCTACAGCCGTGTCGACAAATTGGCCGGTGAGCCAGCGGGTCGCACCCTATCTGTGAAGTTGTCAACCATTCAAGGACTCCGCGTGCGGCAGATCTGTCTACATTTCCCCGATTTGTTCCAGTATAATCGGGATACTATATCAAATTCTAGTGAGACTTCAAATGTTCCCATTCTTCTAAGTTTTCACGCATTGTCAGAAGATGAGGATGAGAAGCTCATAGTCACGTAGTAGATGTGATATTCTAGGCTCGAATTTGGAAATGAGAGATTGGGACCGTGCTGCGCGCCGGCGCATATCCTCGAGTTTCCTGACATACGAGAACTTCTCAGTTGATGGTATACCCCCCGTCCACCACCATTGCATGACCTTGAACAAATGAGGCCTGGCTTGAGCATAGGAAAAGGACTACGTTAGCCACCTCTTCAGGAGTACCCATCCGTTTCATTGGTGCAATGTCAATCGCTGGTCTCAGTCTTTGGATTAACTCGTCCGATGACGTCGTCATTGGTGTTGCAATTACACCTGGGCATACACAGTTTATCCTGATGCCGTCTTGCGAGTAGTCGATGGCGTCGGATCGAGTCATGTTGATGACGGCCGCCTTGGAGGCACTATTTTTGTGGGAAAGAAACTTGTCAGTTGCCCGAGACATATTGGAATATAGAAAGAAGATGGGTAAAAAGGAAAGGATTAACTGACCAGTATGGGGCTGGGAGCGGAGGTTCGTTAGCAGATATCCTATCACACAAGGAGGGCCTGACGTTGTATTGGGTGACGCACCAGCAGCTGGTCGTGCTACGATACCGAGTTGGCTGGCAATGTTGACGATGGCACCCCGCTGTGCAGGATGATCCTCATGTGGCTCCTGCTCTACCATGTGGGTCAGCACCGCCCTGGAAGCGAGCCAGGTGCCCTTGTAGTTGATATTCGTGATGCGATCGAAAGCAGCCGCCGGTGTCTCATGCGATCGCAGCGATTCGCCCAGGACACCGGCACAGTGGACCGAGTAGTCGATACGTGAGAAGGCCTTTGTGGCGTCGCGTACGAACGCGTTAACGAAGCCCTCGTCGGAGATGTCTCCGTCCTGGCACACGATCTGAGTCTTGGGGGCAACCTGAAGAATGGCATCCCGGGTGTCGGCCAGCGACTTCCTGTTGAGGTCGGTGATGGCAATCCTCGAGCAGCCGGACCGGGCGAAGCCTCTGGCGACGGCTGCCCCAATGCCTGATATGAAAGAAGTAAGTAAGGGCTCGGCTTGCCAAGATCGAAAGCAGGCGGCGATCAAGCGGGTCATTCACCTGTCCCACCAGCACCGGTTATCAATGCCACCCCTGGAAACTTGAACATGACGGATTACGTTGGCTCGGATCTTCCAAGGTTCCAAGGTTGTCAACAGCCCTGGAGAAAGAGTTGACCGGATCACGGTAGTAGAGCGTGACCTGACAGCCTGAGCAGCTTGTGACATCAACTTGAGAAGTTGGAGCAAGTTGGAGACTTGACCATTTTAACCCCCAATCCAAAGATAAGGACCGGACCCACACACAAGTACCCATGTCGTCTCCAACAAAAGCCAAGCTGTGCCCCAACCCTGCCAACCTGCCAGCCTGCCTCCACCCTCAGCCTCTCCAACTTTGATTCTCGTCCAACACGGGACCCCCATTGCATATCATATCTGCACACCCGAGGTGGACAAAGATGCCGCCGTCCCACAACGTCTCTGGTGCGGACACGAGTAAAAGGGGCCCGCAGCCGACCTCGCCCCCGGCCAGGCGGACGAGGCGGGCCCGTCAGCGCCTGGATCCCCGTGACACGCACGGCCCCGATGCGCGGTCATGCCCCCATTGCGGCCGGACCTTCAAGCGTACCGAACACCTGGAGCGTCACATACGCACTCGTCAGTCTCGCCCCCTGCCACTGTCATCAGCCACTGTCATGACTGATATCACTGATGCTTACCGACACCTGCCAACCCGCCAGATACCAAGGAGAAGCCCTTTGTCTGCCCGGGCCGGTGCGGGGCCGCCTTTGCCCGGCGTGACCTCCTGACCCGCCACCAGCGCATTTCCCTCCACCAACATGTCTCCCAGTCTCCGGAGGGACTCTCGGAGCCCGACCCGGGGGACCAGCACCACGGCCCAGTCGAGGCTGATCTGGCCGCCGCCGTGTCCCTGTCGGGCATGAGCATGCAGCAGCAGCATTGGCCACACCAGCAGCTCGAGCCGCCACCGCACCCTGACCTGTACCCCGTGGCTGTCTCGGCCAACAGCCCCCTCCAAGTTGACAACGGCCCGTACCAGCAAGGCCTCCTGGTGGAGCCCTTCCAAGATGCCGTTGGCTTCGACATCCATTTCCGAGAGTTTGCCAGCTTCCTCGACGGCGTCGGGCTCCCAGCAGAGTGGAGCCCCTACTTCCATCGCCCTGACCGGGACGACGAGGTTATTGACCCGGCTATAAGGGACTCGAGAGGCGGCTCTGCCACCCCCGCGCCCCGTCATAGCAGAACTCGACCCGGGACGCCCTTCAGCTCTTGGCTGCCCTCAGCACCCACCGGCAACCGCATATCCGACGCCCTGCCCGAAGCAAGTAGGTTGAATGAAACTCACTCCCGCCCTGCCGAGGTAGCTAACACCGAGACAAGCGCCTCGTCCTGTTGAGACCGATTCCCAACCATACCGCGTCTTGGAGGACCAGCGTCTTCACCTCAACGCTTCGATTGAGACGTTTCGCGACCTTCTCGATCCAAGCTTCAAGCTCCCTTCCCGCCATGCCCTCAGTCGATATATGACCTCCTTCTTCTCTGGCTTCCACTCGCACATGCCCTTTATCCACACACCGACGTGGCGGATATCTGAGCACTCGATCGAGCTGGTGCTCGGACTGGCAGCGATCGGGGCGCAGTACTGCTTTGAGCATCGCATGTCCGAAAAGTTATTTCACGCTGGCAGGGCCATACTTATGCGGAGACTTGCACGGGTGTCCGACAGATTCGGCCCCAAGACTGCTGCTTTTCTCAATCTTCACACCCTTTCTCCGCAGAATGGCGAGTCAAGGCCCGTCCAAGAGAGGGAATGGGGTCCTTGGGAACCCATAGAGACTGTCCGTGCCCTGATAGCCCTGATGGGCTATGCCACCTGGGAGCCCAGCGCCCATCTCGTACAGGAGGCTTTTGCCCTCCAGGCTCTGCTGGCACAGGTCCTCCGTGAGATAGGTCTTCACGAGGATGACCTCCCGCACATTTCCGCGGAGCAGCCCACGCCGCAGGCCGCCTGGCACGCTTGGGTGGAGCAAGAGTCGGTGCGACGGGCTAAGCTGATCGCCTTCTCGTTCATGCACACCCACAGCATCGCATACAATCTGTACCCCACGCTGCGCAGCCACGAGGTAGGCCTTAGACTACCCTGCTCGACGGGAGAATGGAAGGCTCAGACTGCCTGCCAGTGGCAGGAGGCCCGGCGCCAAATAGGGAAACAACAGCTCTTCTTCCAAGATGCATTGTCTCTGCTGCTACGGAACACCGACGGTACGGCGGTCCTCGACCCGATTCCGACCCCACTCGGGAACTATCTGCTCCTGCATGGACTGCTACAGAGGATCTATATTGTCCGTGACCTCTCGCTGCCCGTTATAGACCACTCAGCCTCCCTTCCAAGCGAAGAGGTTGATAAGCTCGAGTGAGTATTTGTACTGCACGAGGGCACTGTTACTTGCAGTACTGACCATCTAAACCCAGGCGTGGCCTCCGTTCTTGGACCGCTGGTTGGCAACAGGGTGAGCATCACGTTTCTCTCTTTCACGGATCCCCGCCCCATGCGTTGCGAACACGCCCTAGAACGCAGTATTTTAGGACCCCTTTCAGGACTAACATCAAAACTAGCACCGGAATCAAGCCTCGACCCAAATAACGAGAACGGGCCAATCCCCTTCACGTCAAGCTCGCTGCTTGGTCTCGCCTATGCCCGCATTTATCTTCACCTTGGACCATACCGACTGCTCGAATCGCGGGACCCTGATCTCATTGCCAAGGCCATCAGCCGGTCACCACCAGTGGAACGTGGTGGCGGCGTCGTTACCGCGCTTCTGTACGCGGCTCACATGTTGAGTGTTCCTGTCAGGCTAGGTGTGGACCGCGTGGCTCGCAGCCAGGCATTCTTTTGGAGTGTGCGGCACTCCCTTTCGGGCTTGGAGTGTGCCGTGCTCCTCAGCAAGTGGCTCTCGTCAATCGCCATGTCAGCCGTCACGACACCGTTGAGTGGTATGTGACTGAATGATCTAGTTATTCCCATTTGAAATTCAGCGATCTGACCGGGAGACAACAGATAGCGAGGACAGGATTCTTCATTGGGTTCGGTGTATTGTGGAAGAGGCGTACGACGTCGTCGATTTTGCAGACGAGACTGATCTCCAAAAAGACCAAGGATCTGCCTCGCTTAGCCTGGGTGTCCTCAAGATCTGGGCCCATTTCTTCAAGAGCAACGCCCAGTGGCCGTTTATAAACATCATAGGCCAAAGCCTGGAGAAATATCGAGAGCTTCTTATCAGAAGCCACGTGCCACAAGTTCGCTGAACCCGGCCAGAGGAGATGAATTGTGGCATCAGGAATAGCGACGCAACGTCAACAGTCGAACCGGCGGGCTTGGCATTCGCTAGGTCTTAGAATGGGGCAACTCTTTCTTCAGGGGCCTTCCTTCATGTTGGTCGGCCTTGGCTTTCGTTGGTATGTACGGAGTACTAACCAACCTGCCACTGGCCTCGATGCCTAGTGCTGACGCAGGTTGGCAAGCCAGCCACATATTTCGAGGTCGACTTGGACGAGAGTTGGCGCCAGCCAGCCAGCTTCACTTGCTGGGAACCTGATGACAGACTAAAGTATTTGAAGTGCTTTGTTCCCCGTCTGTCGTAAGCTTGGGAAAGGCGTGCTCCCATATACAGGTCGCTAGTATGGCCACGCTCGAAGACAAAGCCCGCGACGCTGGGCCGCCCAAGGTCCTCTGCGTAGGGATGCTGCGCACAGGAACCAGCAGTCTTGCGGCAGCCCTCTCGGAGCTTGGCTTCAAGCACGTCTTCCACGGCCTCGACTCCAGAACCAAATCGTCGCACTGGGCCTTCTTTGAGAGAGCCGCCACGGCGACCTGGCCCGAGGTCAACACCACGCGAACACCCGCCGCCGCAACCATTCACTCGCCGTGAATGGGATGAGCTATTTGGCGTATACGACGCTGTGACCGACCTCTCATGCTTCTGGGCGCTGCAGCTCGCCGACGCGTATCCCGACGCGAAGATCATCCTCACCGAGCGTGACTTCGACGCCTGGTTCCCCAGCTTCGATGCCGAGGTTCTGCGGCCGCTCTTCGGGCCCTGGGTTGACCTCTTTCTCAAGGGCGTCGGCGCAATTGTCGGAAACCGCGCCGGGTTTGCGATGCAGAAGACCGTCAGCGGCTTCTTTGGCGGCGCGCGCACTCTAGAGGAGCTACACCTCCGCGCGCCTGACGTCTTCCGTCAGCATTCGGAAGCGGTCAAGGCTCACGTCGTGCCCGAGAGGCTCCTCGTGTATCGAGTTGGTCGGGATGGTTGGGAGCCGCTCTGCCGGTTCCTTGACAAGGAGGTACCCCAAGGGAAGCAGTTTCCGCGCGTCAACGACCGCGACTCTCACCGCCAGGGCGATGAGGCAATCAAGAGGGCGATGGCGCTTCAGGCGGCGCGAAACACCCTCCCTTTTGCAATGGCCGTGGCGGCGGCCTGGGCAGGATGGTTTTATTGGCGGTGACATCAGTACCGTGCGAATGGACTACCTCGCGCCCCTCACCTCGCGTCTAAGTTTTTCTGCTTGGAACAGCACCTTTTGATGAGTTGTGGTTGTTAACAATTTGGTATTCCACTTGAGCCAGGTTCCCGTGGCAGCACATCTCGGAATTTTGCTATACCCCTTGTATCACACAACAGTCAAAACGTCTGCCAAGGGCCTCTTCTATATATTGCAGCGTGATCATCGGGTGGATAGAAAAAATTGTATGATGTCGATCAAAGGAGTGGATATACAGCTCAACATGTCGGCTTTTCTTTTTATCTCTGTTGTAAGCTTGTCTATCCTGTCAACTCAGGAAGCACGAGGTATGACCAAGACTGTCCTCGTCGCACGATTAGACCTATGTAGGTATCCATGTTCACTATAATCTTTTGCCCCAGCTCCAGTGCGCCTCGGGATCATCCAGGAGAGCTACCATCTCCCTCACACCAGCGGAATTCGCACCCTCCTCCACAACGAACTGCTCCAACGCCAGCAATGCATATTTGACCGCGCCCTCGGGCCTCCGGAACGCATTGTAATTCAGCGCTGCTAGCCGGTACGCCGAAGACCCGTTTGGCTCGAGAAGCCTTTCCTGCTCGTAAATGGAAAGCAACAGCGCCACCGCGTCCAAGGTGCGGGTCTCATATGCGGCCTTGTCTCGTCCGGCCTTCCTCCATCCGCCGCCCTCCTTCGTGCTCACCGGCTCACCGGGACTCAGAAGCAGCGAGTTCTCCACCTCGTACAGCCGCCACAGCCGGTGGTCACTGGCATTTGCCAGGGCCTCGGGGAGGCTGCACTGGGCACAGGCGCACCCGAAACCCCAGTTGCGCATCGTACGCCCCTGCCTCACAGCCCGCACGCGGAAGCCGTCCACGTACGAGATGCTGAGCTCCTCGCCGGAGGGTACGCCGGCGGCGGCGGCCACTGTCGTGCGGTGGATGATACCGTGGTCGAGGTGGAACGCGACGTTGGGCCGGCAGTCATGGTTGTACATTGAGACCTCGGGAAAGTTGCCGATGAACGGGCCCAGCCCCGTCCCCGGCAGGAGTGGCAGGTTGAACGAGTTGTTCATGACGATGTCGAGGATGTCGTCGTCGCCCTCCGCATGCGTCTGCCCTAGCTGCTTCCAGAACGCGGCCCGCGTCGTCGCCCCGGGGAGACGGCCCACCGCATCGCGGAGGAGCCGCAGCTGGTCTGCACGGCCCAGGTCGTCGACGAGGTTGCGGTGGAGGACCAACGCGGGCGTGTACGACATTACCTGGGCCCCGCGGTGCATGGGATGTGACGCCGCCAGGCCCCTGCCCTTGCCCGGGATATTGCGCACCTCTGTTGCTGGGCTGCGGGCGTTGATGTTTGCAGATTTGATGAAGGGAATGGCCGAGGCTGCGGCTGCCAGCTCAGAGAACACGGGCAGGTTGGCGAGCACCTGGGCGGACTCCGGGGTGGTGATCAGCGCGATACCACGGCCTGCGGCGAACCTTGGATGTGCGTAGACGCAATAGGCTCCAGCGCAGGCATGCGGGCCTGTCCACCCGCCCGAGGTGTCCACTTCATCTTGAGGCACCTCAGCCTTGGAGGAATGCTGCGCCGTTACGTTGTTTTGTCTGCTGGGAGAGCATTGCCATTCCGTGTCATGTAAGGAGACTTGGGCCGACAGAAGGGGGCTGACAGCGCAGTAATCGATGTTAATTTGGTGCTGTGTTGAGAGCCGGGTGTCCTTTCCTATTGCTGACACAGCCAATAGCGAAAGCAACAGGACGCTGCGGGCTCCTGTCATCGTAACGTCTGCTAGCTGAAAAGCACAACGGAGCGAGTACCAACGGCGCTGAAGTTTACTCTCGACGGATTCGACCCGGATTGAGAATAAGGGAGAAGTATATTTGTCTTTTTCATCTGTTGGTATGCAATCCAGGAAGTTGCTGAGATGTACTTGGGGTGCTGGTGTTGAGCCATGATGTTTCACCGGCTCGTTTCATCTGATGTGGCGGTTCGCCTCCGTGCGACAAGCTTCTGGAGAAGCCCAAGTTGATGCCGCCACGGTCAAGGAACGCGAATTAAGCGGCCCCCAAATGATAGCCCACCACCGAGGGGAAAGAAGCAAAAAGCGCAATATTACTCCAAAGCTAACAAGATCACGCTGAGCTTCGGACTGGATGCAGGCTTGGTCATGGATACATGTTGTGTTCATCTCGGATTAAGAGCGGCTCCTTCTGCTGGCCACATGCCACCTGTCGAAGGCATTGTATGACACCTCCCTGGCATCCTTCAAATTGTGATTCAATCCGCCTCCTTTATATCTCCTGCAACAGCATTCACCAAGGCGACCCTTACCCCAGCTCCTGTTAGAACATGAATCCACAACCGCTGGGTGTCGCTCAACCGGTCATTGGCGCTCTTGACCTCGGCAAACATGCATTCGCGTTTTGGCTCCGTTCTCCAGAGCACGAGATCAGGGACCCCGCCGCCCCTTTGCCGGTACTCTTGCGCCATCACCTTGCTCACGGCAGCAAGCGCCTCACCTCGAAAGCAGCCCGCTAGTTCAACCAGGTCCTCCAGCTGGTAGTCCCAATTCAGCCCCACGACGCACGTTCTCCTCTCGCGGTGTTGGCTGTCAACCTGCCGGATTATGCGCGGGGCGCCACCGTTTGAGATCTCTGCGAGGCGATGGTTGATTTCGGATGCTCGAGTTGGGTAGAAGGCGTCAGTATGCAGGTCCAGCGGGCACGTCTGGTACGCTGTCTGGAACACGTTGGGTATGTAGAGAAACAGGATATCGTAGAACAGATACGCGAACAAAGTCCTCAAAATACCACCCTCAGAATGGTAGCCCTTCCAGCCCTCGGTGCGATAGTGAGACAGACACATCTCCTCGACACTGCATTCGCCCCCACCTTCAGCTTCGTCCACCCATACTGTCTTGGTGCTGTTTCCACCACGCTTACCAGCTGTAGGGTCGTGTCGCTTGATCTGTGTCCCTGGGACGTTGTGTTCTTCCGGGTTGTGCAGGCGGACGTGTCCAAAGTCATGCTGAAGGCGTTTGGGGATGCGGTTGCGCTTTTCCAGTTTTATCAGGCGCTTCTGTAGATCAAAATGGTAGATGAGATGGCAGTCGCGGTCCTCTAGGGCAGCCTCGCAGGTAGCGATAGCTATGTTACGCCAGTGTTTCTTCTGCTGTTCTTGGTCGGCGATGTGGGGGGCAGGCTTTTCTTCCCACATGTAGTGTTCTTCGAGTAGTGCTTTGCGCTGGTACCACGATCCACGGCGGGCCATCTGGAAGAAGTGCTGGTCGAGGAGCTCGGTGAGAAGCGCGTGTTCTTCTAAATACTCGTGCAGCCGGCCATAGACGTAAGCCGTTTTGTGTGCGATTCTGGTGTATGCATGTGCGGCATTGAGTCGGCGAAGGTATGCGCCTTCGCCGAACTCATAAACTTGATTCTCCTTCCGTTCTTCGTCCTTTACAAGTCCTCGCCAGCGAGCAGCGATGCTATCAAATATCTCGAGCACGCGCCGGTGGCCATCCTCACCAGGAGGTCCGTTGAATTCGAGGATGCGATCGACCTCGAATTCCAATCGCATGGCCTGCTCAAACTCCAATAGACTGTGGCGGTCCGGGAAAATGTTGGAAGTCCGGTCGACAATGTATTGTGGAAAGTTTCGCCTCGAAATCTTGGCCAGGATGATGGTTGTTAGAGACTTCTCCGTCCACTCTGTCGACCGATAGAAGACAAGATGTACCCGTTCAAAAAGTTTGAAAACCGAGGGCGATATCCTGACACACGGGCCTGTAATGGCCGATATCTTGGCCAGGAAATGTCGATTCCGATTTGACTCCTGTTTTGGGCCCGGGTCTGGAGTTTCGCTGCCAGTCTCAAGGCCAGCCGAGTCCGTCGAGCCAGTTGTGCTCTCCCGACGTAGCCCCACCGCCAACAGGCTGCTTTGCTGCGAGCTCATCCGCAACAATTTCTTCAAGATGTCACTCTTGTTTTTGCCTTGGACCTTGGCCTCCTTTGCTAGACCCTTCAGCTCATCCAAACTAAGCAGGGCAGCAGCTTCGTCAACAGAAGTGATATGTTCGTCGGAAGAGTCAGCAAAGGTGAAGCTGTCGCCGAGGGACCAGTCCTGCAGGGCAATGCCGGCGGCCTCGCCGTCATGACGGTCTGTGGCATCAGGAGTTGTGCAAGTGCCCTCTTCACCATTCGGCAGAGTGCGATACCGCTGCAGCGTCGCGATGGCGGCATCGGGATCTGAAATGTCGCTGTGGTAGCCAAGCTTATCACGTCGATGCCATGCAGCAACTTTGCGCAGAAACAGACGGACGTATAGGTACTGGGCCTCATAGTCCAGATCGCGCCACTGGTCAAAAACAGCCATCTCCTTTTCGTCGAACAAATGGGCCTCGTCCTCGAGCACCGTATCCAGAGCGAGGTTGAAGGCATCGACGTATATGGAGCTCTTGCCCCTGATCCATTTTCTCCGGTCGACAGCAGACTCGGGCCGGGCCTCTACAGTGTCCTCAGCACTGATTTGGGAGGCTCTCATGGCCTCATACTCCTCGATTGCGTCTGCATCGGCCTTTATCTGGGGGAGGGCGTTCTCAAGGGCAGTTCCATGGTGGTGGTGGGATGAAGTATCCCGATCTACCTCGTCCTCGTCCTCGTCCTCGTCCTCAGAATCAGGTATGACATCCCTTGTGTGCAGCGGAGGTGCCTCCTTGACTGGCTTGTTGACAGGACGAGATTTTGAGGCGTGGGATGACTGCCCAGGTTCGTCAGGTTCGTCAGAGTCGCTGCGGCCAAGTCTGGGGACCTCAAGTTTCATCCTTTTTGAAGGGCGCCCAGGCATGTCCCCGGAGTTTGAGATGTCAGCCAGTGGTGCTCGAGACGTGGACGAGGCTGCTCCCCTGCGCACGAAGGCATCCATTGCGTGGCAACATGGGAGTGGTGAATCAAAAGAGGAGCCATGAGACCAAAATAACCTAACCTGCTTCGTTCTGATTGCAGTGTCAGGCAGGCAGGCCGAGCTGACAAAGGCAGACAAGCGGGAGCGCGATTGATGTCATTCGGTAGAACGCGTTCTAGGCGCGTCGAGCCTTGCCGGCCGTGGGTCGCTTCTCATTAGGACCCCTGCCTGCCACAACAGCTTGGAGGGCGGGGCCGAGCCTGTCTGTACCAGGCGGTCCAGGCCCGAGCTCCAAAATCCAATTCAGAGCTCGCCCGTCTCACCTCACACTGCATGCAAAGCACTGAGGACACTCTTGTTGTGGCTCATCGAAAGAAGATCACAGGCCGCTCGCTCTCCCTTTTGTTTCTTTCTTTCTTGTTTCTTTGGTGACTCCAATGCCAGTACAATCAATCCCCTACAAGCCATTACATTCACAGGGTCTTTGAATCCATTGCAAATGTCAGAACCAACCCCCGTCTTGGACCCTCCTGTCGAGAATGCACCAAGCCTCGTAGAAACCGACGGCGCTGCGCCCGCAGCTGCCACGACAGACAATGGAGGGGCCAAAAAGAACAATGGCCAGGACGTCACAATGGCAGGGCTTGAGGGCTCGGGAGTCAAGGCTGCTAAGGCTGGGGCTGGGGCAGAACCGGTTGTGAGTGAAGCCATTTTCTATCAGTGCCATGATTGCTCTGATCACCCCAAGGGCCCTCCCTCACCACCGGCAAATGACCACACATTCACCACCACATTCACCATGGCAATCACCCAGATCCATGGTCCGGTCTTACTCCATCTCGTCTCGTTCCTGTACACAAGACACCAACCACCCTTCCCACCTCTCCAGAAGTAGGACAGCAAGCAACATCCACAATGGCTGCCTGCAAACCCACTTTGAGAAACCATCACAAGGGGACCTCTGCCATGGGCTCCTACCGAAGCCCTCAAAATGCTGGCCTCGTCCACTTGAGCGCTCCTGCTGACTTTCTCGCCCAGCTTGCCGGCAGCAACAACGCGCCGACCACTACCGCTTCCTCGTCCACGAACCCACCCACCCCAAACCGCACCGCCACGCCTACCGGCTCCAAGGAGAGTGTGCCTGCGCGCCTGGAGAACAACTCGTCGCGCGCCGCCTCTGCCGCGCCGGCCGACCGCACTGCTGATAGAGTCACCATGCCCACCGAGCCGGCCGCGCACGGCGCCCCGACCCGCCAGTACCTCAACAGCAGGGTCACCTACCACGTCATGGAGGGCATGAAGATCGTTGCGAAAGACCAGTAAGGGAGATCCTACCTGTCACCATTGCTAGCGCCTAGAAGCTTGTTTGTCTGATTGTCACTGCAGACCCGCCGACCCCCTCCGAGTCCTGGGCGAGTTCCTGCTCCAGCGCAGCGCCGACCTTGAGCGTGCCAGTACTGCCCCTTCTGGCGCCGAGGGTGACAAGGAGAAGATCAAAGAGAACGGCGCCGATACTTCCATCACTGATCAGTGACGCGACAAACGAGGTCGACTCATGCCATCGTTTTGCGAGACTGCCATCATCAGTCGTATCTTTACGCCAGTTTCGAAGGCTGCTTCTTTCTCTGGCACCCAAAGGGTATCATGGTCTTTGAGCTAGGTTGATTATAGCTTTGGGTAGGCTGCCTCATACACATCCGATTCGTCTCATCCATTCGGCCAAATTCTGACCTCCTGCTTGTCGGCAGCCAGTCATAGCTACGACTTCATTTGCATGTAGTGCGACGACAGGGTTAAATGACCAGGACTTGCATTCCACGGTGCAATAGCAATGGGCCCAGAAGGATGGGAAAAGAGTGGTAAAAGAAGGTTGCGATTATCGACACATGCCAGGCTTTTCGGGGCGCGGGTTTTGCCTAGACGAACGGTTCCGGCGTGCGACAGGTGTTTAGTCTGTGGTGAGGCCAGTCGGTTAGCCCACTCGTCTTGTGAGGCAGTCGATCTACCAGTAAGCCGGCTAGTCGATTGTGCAACCGTCGTATGGAATGAGGCATCTCGGGCCGGCGTACAGCTATGAACTGTAACAACGTGCCCCTGTCCCTAAGGACATACAAATCATTACAAATTCAAGTCTTTCGAGGTTTGGCATGGTAATCTCCATCTTTCATCAGTAGTAGTGTACGGGTTGGTAGTGCAGGGGTGTTATGATTTTGTTCATCTACCCTCTACCAAGAGGGAGGTTCGAGATGGTATCATCCTCCCCAAACCAAGATTTGTCGATCGGATGTGACCCCGTCGTTTCGGTTCCAGTCCTTTCCCCAACTCCGTACCAGGCCTTGATCATGGCAGAGGCCAACGACCGAAGTATTTCCAAGCCATTAACACACTTTTCACGTGGCTTCTTTCGCGACCAACTCCCTTCCTCTTCATTCCATGACGGCAAGAGCTTTAGCAGTAGACAGAAGCTATCGCTTAGGCGACGAGGGTGGAAGCGGTGGCAGCCTCGTAGCGCCAGGTAGGGGGCAGGACACCGACGGTCTTGTAGTAACGGGCCAGACGGTGGATACGGGACTCGATCAGAATAAGGCGGAACTTGGAGTCCTTGTCCTTGCGGTTGCGCTCGAGGTGCTTGCGGACGGCAACGGCCTAGGCGCGACACATTGATTAGCTTCCACGACATGCGGGCTTAAGCGGACCAAGTTTGTTTTTTTTTTTTTGGGGGTTCCGCGCACCTTCTTGATCAACATGTACAGGTCCTCAGGAATATCGGGGGCGAGGCCTGTTTTAGATCACTCTGTCAGCTCATGACCGAGCAGAGGCATGTGTTTATATTTCATGTTCACGTGTTCGTCCGGCCGACCCGCGTCCCGGAGCTGTGCTGTCCGCAGCAGCTCTGAGGCACGTCTGCATTGCAGAGGACACAACGTGGCATGGCGTAGGGTGGAGGAGTATTTTTGGTTGGACGCGATGGATTCGAGACCCGTTTCGCTTTCGGTGAGGGGCGTTCAAACTGGGCAAAGCGTACCGCTGGACTTGAGAATGCGCAGAATGCGGTTACCTGAGCGAAGATGGGTAAATGTTAGTCTCAAATCCTGAATACATGCTCGACCTCACGATGTATTCCTCATGGACGGGTAGAGCACAACATACCGGTGACGACCTTGACCTGGGCAATTCCGTGGGAGTCACGCAGGATGACACCGATCTGGGAGGGGGTGGCACCCTTCTTGGCCAGCTTGCAGATCTGGTCGACGACCTGGTCGGGGGTGGTCTTGAGCCACGATGGAGCGCTGCGGCTGTAGGGGACGGCGGAAGCCGAAATTCCCTTTCCGTTGGAGTGAAGACGACCCATTGTGATTGATGGTTTGGAGTGTTGGTGGACGGTGCGAAGGGACTGATCGTCGAGGTCGTCGTCGTCGTCGAAGAGGCTTGGTCGTGCTGCTCGTATGTGGGAGGGCTGCTGCAAACTGCCAGGGAAGATTTTAGGGAAGTTTGCGTGGGCCTGCCCGGCCAAGAAGTGGGTCCGGTGAAATGGTCGGGCCGCACCCGCTGGACTGCAGGTGCAGGAGTTGGGCTGTCGACGGACGGGTGGGTCCGCCAGTTAGCTTCATCTGCAAATCTTTTGAGCAAGCTTGCACGTCGAACTTCCTCAGCAAAACACAATCAACCACGGGCCGTACGCACACCTTGTTGGTTACAACAGTGAAGCTGGTAAGTTCAAATCGGACGTCTCTTTCTTATTCTTCTTCTTCTCGCCGTGCTCAGGTGATGATCAACAACCTAATTTTTAATTACTATTCTGGTACCTCTTATGTTAGGCTTCCTTCGGGATTCCGATGAATGTAATGGACTTCTGATAGCACACACTCGCAATGCGCCTCTTTTGCCCACATGCCTGGTCAGGACGACTTGCTGACTTGGCCCACACACAGGTTTCTAACCCTATGCTCCTATTTCCCGGTGCTGTGGCTTCTCAAGTCCTGGGGCCGTCTGTGCACAGCAAGGGCCGTCTGCACCGTCACAGCGGACTATTGTAGCTAGAAGTTCAATGTGACAGTCTTTGATCTCGTGTTGTTTGGGATCTCGACCACGTCTTGTGAAGTGTACTAAGATGTCAAAAGCTTTAAAGCTTTATTGGCCTCCGATCAACGACCATGCTCGTCGACCCCGTCCATTTTGTAGCCTATCAGTGCTGTACAGCGTGTCATTTGACAGACTTCTCATGTTTGGATTTCTAAAGGACGAATTCGCATTCTCCCGTCGCCAGTTCCTGCCAATCAGTTTGTTGATTTCCCGGGGTTTACTGAAATTTCCTGCGCTACTGCTCGGTTGCTCTTGTGTGATCGATCCCTGGCTGGGTTACCAGCCGTTGCTATCCCGCCCGCCCGCCCGACGTGCCCACGTTTTGTCATGCTACCAAGCACCCACTTCGAAGTTCTCCTCGGGGAAGTAGGTCGTGACCACAGTCCGATCGGCGAACTTCCTACCAGCCAGGGCCTTGAGGGCCTTCGTAGCCGACTCCGGGGTGTCATATTTGACGAAAATCTTGCCCACTCCGGCCGACTGTCGACTGCCGCCAACCGGCCGTGGGACCTTGATTTCAATAATTTCCCCGTATTTGGAGCACTCCTCCCGCACATCGTCGCAAATTTCTGCAAAATTGTCAGCATCAACTCCATTGGGCTCCTCAATGTCCATTCGCTTTTCATTATTGAAATACCTTCGTAGTCATCGTTGTCCATCAACTCCTCGGGAGTGACCATGTTCAACAGCTGTAGAATGCGAGTGACCTCCGAGTCGGTGGAGGTGGTGCCGGCGAGCATGGACATGGCGTTGACGCCCATCTCCACGCCCGCAACCTGGGTGATTCCTATACTAGCTTTCCGGACCTTGAGGTGGTTCTCACCGAGCTCCATGTTGTCGAGGGCCTTGATCGCTACTTCGGTGGCGGCTGGGTCGAGGTATTCACAGAAAGCAATGCCCTGTCACGAAATTGGTTAATCACAGTGCCGGGCCAATGAACAATACTACTACTAGACAAAGACTTACCCGCGACTCCTCCGTGCTGCGGTCCTGGACCAAAACGAATGCCTTGAGCTCGCCGAAGCTGCTTAGCAGCTCGAGGACCTGCTCCGTCGTCAGGTATGGCGGGATATTGGCCACGCTGATCTTGTTGGGAGTGTCGATGACTATGTTAGAAACGCGACCTGGCTCATAGTTGGGGTCATCAACAACAGCTGGGACGATGTAGTCCTTGGGCCGTCGGATCTGCAGGCCCGATGGTACGCCATTGGCCGCTCCATTCGCATCGTCTGCCTCCATCGATTGCCCATCTAGGGCCAGGGCAACAGTGGCGTCGTCGGGGGTCTTGAACTCGACCAGGGCAAAGGATCGGTCGGTAGAGAGTTGGACGAGCGCGCAGGGGTCGGTGGACTCGACGACATTCAAGCCATTCAGCTGCAAGTTGAAGTAGCTGGAGATGGACTCCTCGGTCGCTGATGGAGGCAGGTTGGAGACGACCAGGCGCTTGGCCTGACGCGAGTTGGTGGGCTTCAGGGTGGCGCTGCTGACCGAGTTCCCTGGCTGGTTCATAAACGCCTGGAGCTTGGTAGGATCCATCTGCTGCTGCCGGGGGGCACCGGGCAGCGGGAACATTCCAGACAGCTTGGCCTGCTCCGCTGTGACGTTCTCGTAGCCGGGTGGCTTGATGTCCCACTGCACCAGGCGCCGCTTGCGCTCCAGGACGGGGGTGATGTCGGTCAGATCCGGAGTGGGCTCTCTCTTCTTGGGAGGCGGCGAATCACTACGGCGTCGCTGGTCCCTGAATTCGTCCTGGTCGCGGTCCCTCTCCCGTTCCCTCTCCCGGTCCCGTCCACCACCGGGGCCGCGGCCTCCGGCCCCGCCGCGGCGCCGGTCGTCGAACAGGTCACGGTCGCGACGAGGAGGCCTATCGTCGTCCCTGCGGCCGCCGCCCTCGCGTCTTGGTGGTCTCTCCCGGTCCCAGTCCCGGTCCCCTCGACGGTCCCGGCCCGTGTACCGATCCTCGCGCTCCCTATCGCGGTGGTTTCGGCTGGACGAGTAGCTATCCACCTCCCCGCCGGCATCGCGGCGGCGGGAGCTGTCGTAGGGGGATCGAGAGCGGCGGCGGCGGTCGCGGTCGTGGCCACGATCTCGTCGGTCGTCACGGTCGCGGCGAGAGGACTAAGCGGAGCAGAAGATGGTCAGCAAGTTGGCGAGCAATCTTGGGAGGGGGTTCTTGCAGCAGGTGGCTGGCTGGTGTTGCTACAAAGCAATGCGATGCGGAGGGTAGAATCGGACCACCGAGCGAGGACAAGAGAGGGAGCTCGCTGTACTTACCCCGTAGTCCCTGGATGAGCCATGGCGGCCGCCGTCTTTTCGATCCATGGGTTAGCAAGAGTGTCGGCCTGCAATTGCGATCGCGATCCATTTGGGAAGAGGCCAGGGCGGAACCTACCGCGCGATGAGTACGTGTCGCCGCTCATGATTGACCTGGCAGAGGAGCCTGGCCTCAAGATGCGACAGGAAACGGAGGTGCCGTGATGGTGCAAGATCCGCGTCAATGGGCGGCTGGCTGATGGCGGCTGGCTGATGGCAGCGGGAGGGTTGGTGTTGATGTCGCAGGGCAAGACAAGACAAGGGCCCCAGATAATGGAAAAAGCTGATGCCAGAAGCAGAGCAACCCAAGAGGGAGAGACCACTGCGCGGCCGAGCTTGGGCCCTCGTTCCAACTCGAAAATCCAGGGCGAGGCTGGCTCCGGGTGGGTGGTGCTAGGCCCAGCCAGGCCTAACGCCCCCCGCACACCCCTGCAGGCGTCTACCACACACATGGTACCCTCGTACCTGCCCAGAGGTGAGAACGCCAGCAGCAGCAGCACCTTGCGACTCGATCTCGGATTCGACTGCTGGGCCGATGTCCATGCAGTACGGGTGTGCGACTGTGTGCAGACAATCATTCATTGGTGGCAAAGTTCCAAAACCTCACTACAACCCCCTTCCCCCCTTGAACAATACAATTGACCCTCCCCCCAACTGAGACCATCTTCAACCTCGCTGTTCAGCCTGGCCCCTTTCTTTACTGCCCTTCACCGACTCAGACCGCGGCAATGGGCGCGCTCAAGACACCAGAGTGGCGCAAGCTTCCGTTAGGTCTCACCGAGCTTTGCATTGACACCACTCTGCGATGTGGGCAGTCCTTCAGGTGGCGCAAGCTCGACGACGAGTGGTGAGTAGACACTGAACCTGACCCTTGCTTTTCCCACTTGCTGTGGTAGAATTGCCTCCGCTCACACGATCTGCAGGCACTGCACCCATCACGGCAGGATCGTGTCCTTGAAGCAGGATGCAGACCATCTTCACTACCGCGCAACATGGCCAACGCCCTCTGCTGTACCATTGACGCCGACTGCTTCGTCCACAGGGACAACCACACCAGAGGATCCAACGGCAGATGACACGGAAGCCCTGCTCAAGAACTATTTCAACCTGCATTACGACCTGGCTGAGCTGTACAGGCAGTGGGCGGACGCTGACCCAAACTTTCGGAAACGGGCGCCCAGCTTCACAGGCGTCCGCATGCTGAACCAGGATGCCTGGGAGGCCCTCGTTGGCTTCATATGCAGTAGCAACAATAATATTTCGAGGATATCACAGATGGTCCACAAGCTATGCCTCCACTACGGGCCTTACATCGGCACCATCGGCGACCAAGTCTTCCACGACTTTCCCAGCCCGGCTAAGCTCACGTCACCCGGGGTCGAAGCCCATCTCCGCGAGCTAGGCTTTGGTTACAGGGCAAGGTATATAGCACAGACGGCGCAGCAGATCTCACACCAAAGACCCCAAGGCTGGCTGCTGAGCCTGCGAAATCCAGCAAGCATTGCCTGGGGTGCAGTGCCCGACAAGGCACAACCGCACGAGACACCCACATACAAACGCGCCCACGAGCAGCTGCTCGAGCTCACCGGTGTCGGCCCCAAGGTCGCCGATTGCGTCTGCCTCATGGGGCTGGGCTGGGGCGAGGCTGTCCCCGTCGACACACACGTCTGGCAGATCGCGATGCGTGACTACAGATTCGGCGGCAAGTCCAAGAACAAGACGCTCACAAAGGCCCTCTATGATGCTGTGGGCGACCATTTCAGGGAGCTCTGGGGCAGCCAGGCAGGCTGGGCCCACTCCGTCTTGTTCACAGCCGATCTGAGAACCTTTTCGGATCGACTGCTTGAGAAGAATCCGAAGGAGGAGATTGACAGTACCAATATGGTGGTTAAGGTCGAGACCAAGGATGACGTCGCCTTGGTTGCACCCATCATGCCGTCAAGGAAGCGGAAGAATGTAGCGGCGACTGACGTAAAGGTGGAAGCAGATCAGAGGGCTGCGGCAGACCCGGCCGGGGTGAGGAGGAGCAAAAGAAGGAAAAATTGATGATGAATATCGCCGGCAAGGTTTCCATGTCATCGTGCAGTGATGTTTCGAGCTGCCAGCCTTCCTCCTCGCCTGAGTACCTAGGTACCTAGGTACTCAATAGTCAAGGGCTCAGATCAGTTGCACATTGGTAACAGCACGCTCTCTTATCATCTAGACCAGAGCTCTGGCGCATGGCAACTGAAATCTACCAAGAAAAAGTAGGGTATCGGTGTGGCTTCAATGATGAATAGACAACGGTACCGCTTGCTCCACAGCCCCGTAGATCTCTGTCCTGTCGCCGATAGACCGGTACGCCACATTAGGTAAGTACGTTTTGGGACAGTACCCGTGGGCCTCGGCTTCCACTTACCCACTCCTGGCGGAGTGGGTGCCAAAAACCCGCAACGGCCAAAACCTCGCAACACTCACACCTACCTATTTTTACTACTTTCCCCTAATAAATCCTACTTTCTAAGTAAGTATATTTCCTTTATTAAATTTTATATAGATAAAAAATAAATACCTTTAAAATCCTTATTTTATAAAGATTAATAATAAAATATTTTTAAATTTTTAGGGTTAGGATTTAAAATTTTAATTTTTTTAGTTAAGGGGTTTTTAAAATTAATATATTTATTTAAATAAATTATATTATTAAAAAGTAAAAATATTAGATTATTTCTAGAATTATTCTCTTTATATAAATAATATTTATAAAATTCTTATTTTAAAATTAAGGTTATTATAATCTATTTCTTTATAAGATATTTAATATTATAAATCCTTTTAAAACTTTAATTTTTAATCTTTTAATAAATAGATTTTAATTTAAAAATATTTCTTTTATATAAAAGAAAATTCTATTAAAATTCTATAGGTATTATATTTTTATTATATAATTTATATAAAAAGATATATTAATTTAAAAAAACCCTTAACTAAAAAAACTAAAATTTTAAACCCTAACCCTAGAAATTTAAAAATATTTTATTATTAATCTTTATAAAATAAGAATTTTAAAGGTATTTATTTTTTATTTATATAAAATTTAATAAAGGAAATATACTTACTTAAAAAGTAGGATTTTATAGGGGAAAGTAGTTAAAATAGGTAGATGTGAGTGTTGCGAGGTTTTGGCCGTTGCGGGTTTTTGGCACCCCCTACGCCCTTGGCGTAGGGGGGCAGGGAAGGCCTGCCCCCCGGGTAAGAGTTCTTGTGACTCCCAGCGACCACAATGGTATGTTGGGGACGCAGAAAGCTTCGTGAGAGGCTAGACCGGTGTCAATCACTTTCTAGCCTCAGTTAGGTTTCCACACTGGGTGTAAGAGGCGATCTTGATGCCAGCCAGTCGTTGCATGGTTGTCACCCTGTCAAGAGAGGTGGAGCTGAATGTAAGAGGTGGCCTATAACATGTAATTGGTTTCGACTTCAAGGACGTGCACACCATTCATCTTCCACCAAAGTTTAGGCTAGGAACACACCCACCATATATAGAAGTAGGTTTAATACTAAGTCTAGATTACATTAAGTATATAGCTACCGTTTAAAAAGGTTTTATTAAATATTTAATCTAAATTATATTAATAATTTATAAAGTTAAAGGTTTTTAAAATAAATTTATTAATTATAATATTATAAATACTTTATTTAAAAGAATATAAATAATTTTTAAATCTCTTAACTTAAAAATCTAATAATTATTAACTTATATTATTATAGTTTTAAAAAGTTTATATTAATTATAATAAAATTATAATTTTATAATTATTAATAATAAAATAATATATTTTAAAAATAAAAGAATTAAATTTCTATTATATATATATTAAATTAATTTATTATTATATTATAATTATAAAATATTAAAAAAACTCTTACTATATTATAAATTAAACTAATAATTAAATTGAAATTATAACATTTAGGTTAAGTGGTGTGATAGAATTCCCCTACTTATTGCGCAGAATTATAGACTCATAGAAGGAGGAATGAAAGCTGCTCTTGTCTGAAAGCTTGAATTTCTTCTTTTGAGGCAGGATTGTTCGTAACATTCCATTGTTGATTCCGCATATAGTTTGATCCAGGCCCAGTATATGTTGGGCTGTCACACGTTTTGCTCCTGGAAAGGACCCTGGTACAAGTTTATCTTGCCGTTGATGTGATAGAGTAACGGACGATCGTTGACATGGATTCACATTGATGTCAAGTATCAAGGGACACTCACACTTTCCCAACATCACTGGCCACCTTCTTGCCTTTCCAGAACAACCATGACACAGCGATAACCATCTTGACAGCTCCTCCAATCCACAACGCAGCTGGCATCCCGGCTTTCGACTTCTGCAGCCAAGCCCCAATGATTCCACCCGCGACCATCAAGAGAACAGCGACAACCCGCCTGTTGCGCTTCACATTCTTACCAATTGGCGCTATGATCAACGGATCAGAGAACAAGTCGCAGTCTAAGTACACGTTAGTGCTGCTATAGATCATAAGGTGCTGTGTCCTTGACCATCCCAAAACCTGAAAAATCGTGATCTGTAAAAGGAGAAAGGTCATGCTTACACAGCGATGTCAATACATTTGTCGGCACCTCATTAAACCCCAAGACTCGGCTTGTCACGATCTGACCTCCAAATTGGAATGCCAACAACGCGACTGGCAGCAGTGTCATAGCCTCTGTCTCGTAGCTGGCAAGCCTTTCGTGCGCTAATGCAGTGCCGAGAGATCGCATACCGAACGCAGGGACGGCGCCGCTCTGAGCCACTGCCGCCGCGGTGATAATGAAAGCGGACTGGATGAAGAACGAACCAGCTAGGGTCATCTTTCCTTTGGGCTGGATTCTGCGGGACTGGCTGAAGAAAAAGCATCCCGCCCAGAAGCAGACGATGGACACCAGTGCTCTGAGCCAAAGTGTCTCGGCGGCGTAGGGGAGATTTGCTGTACCGAGCGCGAGGAAGATAGTATTGCCTGGACTATATGTCAGCTTGAGAGTTGCCGTGACACACTTGCTATTGGGTACAGGGTAACATGGATGTGTACTTACCGGTCTGCATGCTCACGAAGACGCTGCTAGCGTTAAAAGCGACGCTGTCACAAATCCCTGACACGAAACAAGTCGCCAGGACGGGCAGGTCTGAGTGTGAAGGGTTGATTTCCTCGCGAAGCCTGGTCATGAAGCCAGGCTTCGCAGCGGTCTCTGTCTCTTGTTGAGGCATCGTGGAGGCATCAGATGAGACTCTGTCACTCAGAAGCATCGCCGGCGTCCCGAATTGCAAATTCTTTGGGGCTTGCTCCATCGTCATCATGAGGTTTTCGCTGACACTGTCGAGCACTTATATTTTGTCACTCGCATCCATTCTTGAGAAGCTTGGGAACTCAGAAATAGCGGACATCGTGAAAAGTCTCCTTCCAAAATTTCCAGTCAGGGGTCAGGGCCCACCTCTTTGCCCAGAGCTTAGACCGGATCCACAGCGTTATCTCTCGTCGATGGCGGCCATGGGGCGCCTCAGGCAATCGGCCGATTTACCCGGCCGCCGCACCGAGCAGTTCACAAACTCATCATATGAAGTTGGCAAGTAAGGCAGAAAAATAGAAACGTTCCATGGAGTCAATCTTCTCACATTCCAGAGAACTTAAGCCCCTTAAGGGCTATTTATTCCACCCTCAAGATTTACCGCAAGTTGAGCCATCCCGATATAAATGAGCGCGTTCCAGCCATCCAAGCCTTGGATAGACCGGGGGACAATCACGCCATTGTGGCTTGGACCGTCTTTGCTGTCAGCAGGAGGTTTGATAGCTGCGTCCGACAAGCAGTTTTGCTTTCCGCATATTCTTCCTCTGACGACATACTGCAATCTATGCTGTTTTGAGATGTACCTTTAGAAGTTGGTCTCGGTGTGACCTTGCACGATTATGGATTAATAATCGTGCCGTGGGCGCTCCCAGACTGGGTTTGATTTAAAGACAGAGACCTTGTGCCCATCACTCAAGGTATGGATTGTGAGTGATGAGCTTTCAACCCTGGAAGTGGAGAGACATGGATGACCAGGGGAGGCGCTAGGGAAGTTTACAAATGTGCTACCCTTTACTGAGACTAAACTTTACTGAGACTAAGTCACACATTTGGGGTGCCGGTTTTCCGACACGGCATGAGGACCTTGAATCTTGACTCCATTCGTGGTTGAGCTTTGATTACAGTTCAAGGTCTTTGTCTAATTGCGTGCTTTTTCGGCTCTAGACAATCTCATGCTATCTAACAACGCTGACTTGCCTTGTTTGCTGAATAAGTTCGATGCGAAATCGGAGTTAAGGGGTGATTCAAACAGGCTCATCTACCCAGGTAGTTATTCCCCCAAGCTTACTCAGCATGATCCACAACCTATTCTATAGCTATAAGTCCCTTTTAATAATTAGGTAAACTTATTTAATAAATTTATAAATTTTAAACATTATCCTAGCTATTGTTAGGGCCATGGGCTGAACGCCCGCAGGACCAACCAGTGGGTCCGTGCACTCTGCTTATCTTATCAGCCCAAGTGGCCTCCATACCTCTCGCGACGCGGGATTGCAGCTTCGCTGCCTCCCCCATACTATTCTTTAGGCAACTCTAGTTTTGAATCAACAATTCTTTGCAGACAATTTGAGCCTTCTTTTACTATAGGTCGCGAGGACCGTCTTAGCTATTATAGCCGCATTAAGCTAGGGGTTAAGTGTTATAAGAGGGGAAATAAAGATAAGATAACTATCCTTAATACGTTAATTTAAATTAAGATAGCACTACCTTCTATATAAAGAGAAAGGTTTAAAGGGATTATAGGGGGAAGGTTTAGGTCTTAAAGGGTGTGGGTAAATAGGCTATACTAAATGACTAAGTAGGTAGGCAGCTAGTGGGGCCCCCTGTCACCCACATACACACACTTATATTAAGGTGGGTAACTAAGTGTATAGGCTACTTATAGCCTCCAAGGCCCTAAGCTCTTTTAGTATTAAAATTATTAAAGGTTTCCTTCCTTCTTTTCTTCCTTTCTTAAATAAATTAAATATTATTTAAAATTATATATAACTTTATATTTATTTTATATATATAAAAAATAAAAATAAAGTTATATATAATTTAAAATATAATATAAATTTTATAATATATATAAATTTTAAATTATTAAAAAAGAAGTAAATAATTAGATAAAAAAAGAGTTATATAATATAAAAAAAAGATATAATATAGCTAAAGCTAGGGAAAAGTATCTAATAACTTAAAGTAATTTAATCTACTATGCATCCCTAGTATTATAATGCACAGCGTCTAACTGCAGAGTGGTGGTTTTTAAGCGGTTTCGTTCCTTTCCCGTACACACGCGAAGACATATGTGATGCTTTGAAAAGTAGTAAACACTGAAAGACCTGCTGGGTTCTTCAATTGGTATTTGTTCAAGAGGGCAACAGGCTTTGGGATTTAATACAGGTTACCAGAACTTTAGTAGGCATGCAAGCAGGGATTGGTGTCTCGTGCCCAAACGTTAACTATGAAGTATTGCCTGTGCCCCCGAAATGCAGGATTGGTGGATGTAGACTGCCCAATTAACTCACGTGAATTGGTTCGGTAGGTACATAAGAGGACTAGCTAAGTATTAATAATAGACTACCTATCGCAGGATGCGAGGACTCAGTCCTCCACTGTTCTGCGTTAGTGTTAGTTCTGCCTAGGGACCCACTCACTCGCGCTTACGCCCAACCTGGCGCTCTTATTAACGTCCAGAAGTTTGGTTCCCTTGAGCTGGCTAGCTCACTCGACTTGGAAGCTGAAACACCCACCTGGATATGGCTAACAAAGTGGCAAGCCCGCCGGCAGAAGCCACTCATGCTCAGTCTCAAATTAACGAGGCAACTGAATATTCCGCATTTTCGCGCGGGCAGAAGAACTACATCATTTTCCTAGCGGCGTTTGCAGGTTGGTTCTCATCTGCCAGCAGCTTCATCTATTTTCCAGCCATACCGGCAATAGCTGAGGACCTTGACCAAAGCATCGAGAGAATCAACCTCACAGTCACATCCTATCTTATCGTGTCCGGGATATTTCCCTCCATCACGGGAAATGCGGCGGACCGCTTCGGGAGGCGACCCGTATTTCTCATCAGTCTGACAGTCTATCTACTATCGAATATCGGCCTAGCTCTTCAGTCAAATTTCGGCCTTTTGTTCTTCTTTCGAATGGTGCAGAGTGCAGGCATTTCAGGAACGTTTTCCATTACGTACGGTGTCTTGAGCGACCTCTTCACACCTGCTGAGAGGGGCGGATACGCCGGTCTCATCTCCTTTTTGTACGTAAATATCCTCATGAACCTACTTATTTAGTGATCAAATCCCCGAAGAGAAATCGTAGCCTTGCAGTGCTGACAGCGTCGGCAGTCTAAACACGCCGCCTAGTATTGGTCCCCTTCTGAGTGGCTTGCTACTGTTGCGGTGGTCATGGCGCTCCATATTCTGGTTCCTCTCAGCTGCTACGCCGTGCTGCCTCATACCGATAGCGCTTTTGTTTCCTGAGACCAATCGGAGTGTCGTTGGAACCGGAAATGTACGAGCTCATGGTTTGCATCGACCCCTGCTGCCTCTTCTTCTCCCCATGGTGGGTGCCAAGTCTACATGCCAGCCAATCGACAAGCAGACGGATCAGAGACCTTCAATGAATCCACTCACGTCCATAAAGCTGCTTCGATCTCCTGGCACTGCTTTGTTAGTGGCATCGTACGGCGTGGGCTATGCGACTTATTCGTGTCTGCAGGCGTCTTTGTCCTCGTTGTTCCTCGATATCTACGAAGAACAAATTTCAAGCTTGGCCAGCGGCCTTATTTACATACCTTTCGGTGTTGCATGTGCTCTCTCTGCCTTCGCTACTGGGAAATTGCTTGACAGGAACTTCCGAGAAACAGCCGCCGAGCAAGGTGTCACTGTCACTACGAACAGAGTTGACAACCTGTCGACTTTTCCAATCGAAAAAGCAAGACTCCGAACAATTATACCGCTGGTCTGTGTTAGCGCCTTGCTCATTATCGCCTATGGCTGGCAACTTCAGGCGGGCGTGACGATGGCAGGCCCGCTTGTGACACAGTTTTTCATTGGTCTAACGCTTCAGACAATGTTTACGGCGTTGAGTACTTTACTCGTCGACGTAAACAGGGAATGTCCATCGACTGCACAAGCCGCCTGTAATCTTGTTCGGTGCGAAATGGCGGCCGGTTATCTTGCAGCGCTTGATCCACTATTGCGAGCTACTGGGCCTGGTTGGACGCTCCTGCTGCTAGCAACTACTGTGCTTTCATCCGTGGCCATGCTCTGTGTCCTGCAACGGAAAGGCCTGCAATGGAGACGAGAAAGGTTGAACGCAGAGGCTGCACATGGAGCAGGCCAACTTTCGGTGCTTGTAGATAATCGGCAAAGGCGAGAAAGTTCTGGAGTCTGAAACATACACTCAGTATGCGGATCAGGTACGACGAACAATGAATGTCTCGAAAGACTACATATCTACATAAATATAGGCCATAAATACCTAAGTAGTAGCTCACAATGGTTCATGTGGAGCAATGTGGTTTCGCTTCTATTCCGTATATGTCCGAGGACATACATGGCGCCTTCATACGGTGGTAAGCACTCAAGACCCAGCGCTTGGAAAGAATCCGATGTCATATAATTAACAGAGAAGATATAATATAGCTAAATTTAGTGCGCCCTAGAGGGTGAGAACTACAACATGAAATCTTAAGAGCTATCACCAGTAAAGTGGCGAATACCGACGTTTGTCGACATTTGAAGTACGCTATAGAATTCCTTTGCATGAGAAGCCCACCCACGTAGCTACAACTTTGGCGACTGCCTCTGCGCTGCCTTTATGTCCTGCCTAAAGGCGAGATCACCAAGTATTTCCTCGGACCCGCCTCCCACGACCATCATTCTCAGGTCCCTCGTAATTTGCTCGACGAGACCTCCTCCGCCAGGCCCATTTCTCTGGTACGCGACTCCACCCATGGTTTGTTGCGCCTCTCTCGCGGCATGCTCTAGCAACCTACCACCTGACACCTTTGCCAGAGCAATTCTTCCCGCAACATCATCGTTCTGCCATCCTCGCATCTGTATGTGATAAGCGATCTGTTCTAACCATGCCCAGTGCGACTCCACCTCCCTAGCCATCGTGATGATCTTGTGTCGGATGATCTGGTGATAGATAAGGGGCTTGCCGAAGGTCTCTCTGGTGTATGCATACTGCATTGCTGTGCTGAGGCAGGTCCGAGCTTTGCGGTTGCAAAGAATTGCCATGAGAAACCTCTCCTTATTGAAATTGGTCATGATGTATTTGAATCCCTCATTCTCCTGTCCAAGCAAATTCGCGATCGGCACGCGAACATCCCTCATACGCACCCAGCTCGCTCCGCCGGCATTTTGACCACTATTGTATATTTTGTCGATTTCGACCCCATCTGAGCATAGAGGCACCACAAGCATCGAAATGCCTTGAATCCCGGGGCCTCCGGTGCGAACTGCTGTTGTCATATGCGATGCCCATTGTGCGCCCGTGATCCACTTCTTGGTGCCTGTGACTAAGTAATTGAGCCCGTCCGCAGACTTGACTGCCTTGGTGCGAATATTGCCAACGTCGCTGCCACCGCTGGGCTCTGTAATGCCCAAACAAAAATTGGTTTCTTGCGTGAATAGTCCAGGCAGCCATCGGCGCCTCTGCTCCTCAGTACCGTGGTTGATTATGGGCGGCACGCCAATGGAATTCGCTCCTCCCAGTGCGATACCGACGCCCCCCTCTATTCGGCCTATTTCATCGCTGAGAATCATGAAATGGAAGACGTCGAGAGTATTAACTGGTATACCTGCCACGAGCTCATGTCCGCGCGGCCTGTAGTCGGCTGGTATATTTGCAAAGGGCAGCCCGGAGTTGATGTAGTCGGCCTTTGCTTCAACTGGGCAATCGCCCTCCTCCTCCCATCTGAGATGATGAGGGATAATTTTCCGGTCGATATAATTCCTGGCATAAGCTTGGAGCTTCCTGTGGGATTCATTATAGTAAGGCGACTCCAGGGACTTTAGCCAGGCCGGCTCTGCCCAGGGAAGCTGAGGATCCTGGTTCTCCCTGGACATGATATCACGCAGATGCTCTCGGTTGGTTCGAATTGGTCCGTGGTGACACTCCCTTTTATCGCGGGAGTTCCACAGTTCTTGATAATGCATACGCAGGTATAGGGTGGATCGAAATTTGAGCTCAGTACATCCAGGGCTTGTGAAATGATTCACAACGCCTTGAAAATGCCGAGGTAAATAATGCATGAGACGTTCATACCTAGGTAGCTTCTGCGGGGTAACCTGTGAACGCCCTCCTTCGGTAGATCGCCCACATGTTTCGCCCGTAAAGCTACTTAAGTCCTCTGGATGAATGGTTCGGATGGTACAACGTTGATCCTGTTTGGCACCGTACCTAGGTACTTATGAGATCAACGCGGGGCCGCATAGTTAGGATTGCATTCCTTCCGTTGCGAAGAACACTTGCTCAGCGTCGAATTAACCACATGAAATCAACGTCTAAAAGTGCAAGAAGTCGACTGGAAATCGCTAAAAAGATAGGATCTTTGCAAACTATTGAGGAATACTCAACATGACATCAAGCTCCTTTCCCAGACTGCCCAGTTCTGGCATCAAAGTGATCATTGTCGGGGCTGGTTTCGCTGGATTGACAGCTGCTATCGAATGTCACCGCAAAGGACATTCTGTTACCGTTTTTGAAAGAGTCCCTGAGCTGAAACCCCTCGGAGACATCATCAGCTTCGGACAGAACGCCTCACGGATCTTTGCAAAATGGCCGGGCGTCATGGAAAAAATTGAGCCCATCATGCACAAATCCGATGGGATCAATTATCACAACTTCGAGGGCAAGTTTGTGACGTCACAGTCATTTTCGCCGGAAAGGCAGTGGGGACGGAGGATAAATGGGCATCGTGGGGAGCTGCACCAAGTCCTCTACGAGCATGCTCGACTCAGAGGAATCGACGTGAAGCTTGGCCAGAACGTTACCAATTATTTTGAGACCGGCAACGAGGCCGGGATCGAAGCCAATGGTGTTAAGCATACCGCTGATGTCGTCCTGGCTGCGGAGGGTGTCAAATCTAGAGGTCGGTCAATAGTGCTCGGGTTCGATGACAAACCTCAGCCTTCCGGTTATGCTGTCTTCCGAGCATGGATGACAACAGAAGAGTTGAAACAAAACGGCATGACAAAGTACCTTGTCCAATCAGATAGCCACAATGCCTGGCTTGGGGAGGACATACATTTCATCGCCGCTGCCATTAAGGATGGGGCCGAGTTGAGCTGGGTCTGCACCCACAAGGATGAGGCAGGCATCGAAGAGAGTTGGCAGTTTCCTGGAAAGGTCGACGACGTGCTGGAGGTCCTGAAGGGCTGGGATCCTGTCGTGTTAGAGCTTGTGAAGGCAACTCCGCCAGATCGCCTGTTCGACTATAAGCTCGTTTATCGGGATCCCCTTCCGACCTTTGTCTCCCCGCAGGCCCGAATTGCTCTCATTGGTGACGCTGCACACCCCTTCTTACCAACATCGATCCAAGGGGCTAGTCAAGCCATGGAAGATGGGGTGACTCTTGCGGCTTGCCTCGACATCGCAGGCAGGCAGAACGTAAAAGAGGCCATGCAGGTGTATGAGAGAATGCGATACGAGCGGGTCCACAAAATACAGGCTACTGGCGTCACAACACGAGACAAATGGCATAAGGCAGATTGGGACCTGATCTGGCAGGACCCGACTCTTTTACATCTTAAGCGCGAGGCCTGGATCCTCAATTTTGATGTCGAAGAGAGTGCTTACTCGCAGTACGAGGATTTGCGGACATCACTGAAGGGGAAAACGGAAACGGGTATTCACGACTTGGGGGAAACACCTCAGGCTATTTAATTACCTAGGTAGGTAGGACCTGTAATTGTGCCGATTCATCGCGCATGCTGGAAATCCTTTGTAAAGCTTGTCTCTGGCCTCGTTAGTCCCGATTTGACCTGCTTCACTTGATTCGGGGCAGATATCCAGGGATAGAGCAAGATCCGAAATCACAAGCCGAAAGGGGGAGGTTCAATGTTCTCTCTAAAAGTCGGGAGCATACGGGATGGAAAGGAATCTAGCGATCTCAATCCGTTCTGACAAGTGCCTTGAGCTCTCTCCATTTCTTCCAGTCGTTGATGTGCCTATGAGCCATATATTTGGTTAGTATCCCGAACAGATGGGTCATAGACCAACAGTAGCAATTCGCAGTGGATGATAGTGCTGGTGTTCCCCCGGCAGTGCCCCTTCAAAGCCACAAGGCCAACAGGCACAGTCACTCAGGGGTGATAGAGCGTGCTGGCCGGATGCACCTTGGATGCGCATAGCTGTTCTCGGAAACGAGACAGCAATGCAATATCGACCGCTGGAGACTATAGTAGGGGGGGATGATGCAACAGAAGAGACAATAACAAACGTACTCGTGTTTCTCCAGCACGTGCTTGATGTAGTTGAGCTTCTCCTGGATGGAAATAAGCTGCTCGTTGATGACTGTCTGGTTATGGTCCAGGCGTTCCTTGCGTTTTCATTTCCCGGAGTCGGAACGCATCTCTCGAACCGCACCCGCGATAATTCCAAGCTTCTTCGGTATCAGGGTGTCGACCGCCTGCTTGGCATTCTTGTATTCGCCTTTCTCCACCACTTGATCTTCACCTTGTGAGGGCTGACCTTTCTTGTCATCTTGACTGCGAGGGGTGAAGACAGGTCAATGACAGGGGAGGGTGTGTCGGTGGGTGTCTAGGAATTAGACGAAGTTGTATTTCGACTCAGTGACGCTCCCGGTGTTACGTGGTAAGACGAATGTGAAAGTTTGCTTGCCAATCGTATTGTCTTTAGGGCTGGAGGCGCTAGATTGTACCTAGGTAGCTAGTGTTCCTGGCTCTGAGCATTGTTACTGGCATCTAGTTCAACCGGCAATGGAGCACTATTGTGGCCCATCACCTACAAAAGCTTTCTGAACATGGGGTCTATCGAAGACCAGGGCTCCGTTTTTTTGTTTTAGAAAAGAAAATCAAAAAAAAAAAAAAACTTACAAACGCCCTCCAATCTGGTCTCTTTCATGAGGACCGCCTCATCTATAGGGGCTGCCTCCATATTCTTTCCGGTCCTGCCGCGAGACCCTCGGTAGACATCAATCGTACAATATTCACCGTGCACCTTGTTCATGGTGGTATATGGGAACTGCCAGCTGATCCGCGCGTTCATTCCCTCTGATACCGACGTGTCCGTAGACCACCTGACATTCCTGTAGACGCCGGTCACCTAAGGCGTAGAAGATTCCTGCTCCGAGTTGCTCGGGATGTCCCCGTAGGCCCCTACATATGTACATAGTACCAGGGTTCTCAGGTCGAAAGCGATAGCCGCCTTTTCTCAAAACTTTCGATACTTCACTGCCTATAAGTCATTCTGTTAGAGGTTGAGATAGACACTGGTTTGAGTGCGCTTCCCCCTGTCGATTGTCTTCATGGTGATGGCTCATATACACGGGCACTGAGTCGAAGCCACAATGGAATTCTGGTGTAATGAGTCGGTGTGATCATGGGTACATTCCACTTTAGCGCGACTCCATTGGACTCGAGGCGGTCGTCCCAATCTGTCGAAACAATAATTTTTCAGGTTAAAAACAAGGTCTGGAGTTTTGGTTTTCATCGGGACTGATGATGGGTTGACAGTCTCGCGATAGAACATTCAAGATAGGCGTCAAGATGAAGTAGCGCCACGTGATTTGAATTGCCGAGGCCATGTAATACCTAGTTCGGCCAGATGTATTTGTAATGGTCCTTTTCCTACCGTGTCAAACCTTTTCTGACTAGATAGTTCAAGGCATGTAGGGTTTCCTTGGCTCCTCTGAGGGCAAAACATAACATCTGGTTCCCGTCCAGAATGCCCGTCGCTTGTTTCTTGAGAAGGGCGTGCGTGGCTGTGTGGCCGAACTGGGAGTGTACCTACCCATACCTTCTTGGGTTGCTCGCCCTTGAATAATGGGGCAGGCGCTCAAGGTGGATTGACCATGACACAGTCGATCTACAACTCTTTGAGAGTTTGATTGCAGTCCTGACGCGCTCATCGGATGGTTCAATCGTAATTTAAGACATATGGAGGGGTATACAGCAATGGACTGAGATCGTATCTATGGATGATGGCTTTGCTCTGCATGTTGTGAGTTTTGGAAAGATAGCACAATGGTCTCTGTTTGGACCAGTACGGTAGCTGAAATGCATTCGGGTTCGATGGTACACCATTCGCTGAGAGTCAGCGCTTGGGTCAAGCATCGGTCCCCTTTCAAGGCGGCCCAGTGCCTCGAGTAAGTATAAGCTTTGATTAGCAATAAGACTGGCACAAAGAGAGGGTCTCCGCAGTCTCCGACTACTCCGTACTGCGTTTGGTACATTAGGGCCGAGTCATGGCAAGGATAGTGACACTCCACCTGTGAGAGCCTGCCAAGGAGTGATATATCCGGAGTTCTCAGGGTATCAAATTAATCACGCGGTTCTTCGATGTATTTATGATCGCTCAAGTCCTTCTTCGGGAGAGAACGACTTCCCTTCTACATTATTCGACGATATCCATCACACTCCTTATCTTGGACGACAGAAAGTCCTCGTATTCTTCACTATTTCAGCATGCACGTCATAAACCTTTTGGGAGTGGCTGGAGTTGCGTCCGCCGCAGCCACGAATTCCAGTGATCCATGGGCCGATTGGAACAAGGAGACCGCTTTCACGAGGACTAATTACACCGTCACTCCGAAAGGCGTGCTTAATCCCTACGAGAGGTGTGCAGGCATCGGTCACTATGGTCCAACCGCATGCAGCCAGGGGATTGACTTGGCGTGTGTATTCAAAAACGACTACTACAGCCAGTGCGAGCCTGTAGATGACCCAAAGGCCCCTGTGGAGCCGAAACCCTCTGGACCGAAGCCTACGAAGCTAAGCCCTCTTGTGCATGGCAAGCCCATGGGCTTTGCGTCTGGTGTCACCGGCGGTGGCGATGCTGAGCCGGTTCGGCCCAAAGACGTGCATGAACTGAGCGATTTGCTCCAGGATCCGGAACCCCGGGTCATTATCCTCGACAAGACTTTCGATTACACTACCGCAATGGGAACTGGTGTCATTGATGGCTGCAAACCTTGGGGCGATCTTGAGCAGAAATGTCAAGTAGCTCTGGGCCTCGGCGGTGACTGGTGCAACCGTGAGAAGCCGGACGCGCCTAAGGTGCAGGGATTGGAATTCAACAAAGCTGGAATCAGCCCCCTATGGATTCGGTCTCACAAGACTATCATAGGTTCAGGTGATAAGGGCATCATTGTGGGCCGAAGCAGTAAGCACATGCAGCTTTTGGATACGATTTCAACCCCTTTAATCAGAAGCTTGTCCGATCCTCCACAGAGTGGTTGATTTTCAGCAAGGCAGCAAAAGTTTGAAGGATCGATAGCCACAATGTGGTCTATTTCTTCCTGGACTTGCTCACAACTACTCATTGCTCCCTGTGTACTCCGCCCGCTAACTCTCAGTTCTGCAGTCCGTATGATGGGTGTCGAGAACATCATTATCCAGAATGTCAAGTTCACGAGCATCAACGAGAAATACGTCTGGGGTGGTGATGGATTGGACGTCTGTAAGTCGGAATTTCCAATATTGCAACACACTATGTGGGCTCCAAATTTGTGGCTGGTGGCTAACACATACAAGGGGCCTCAAACAACATTTGGCTAGATCACATAACGATCAGCCGCGTGGGGCGCCAAATGGTCGTCGTACATGAAGGATCAAACAAGAACATCACAATTAGCAGCGTCCACTTTGACGGTTTCACAGAGTACAGCAGCAAGTGTGGAACTGAGAGCAGCACATCGCATTACTGGTGAGTCCCAAGTCATTCTGGGTCTTCGACCTGAATATATTCTAACCTGGATTGCAATAACAGGGGCTCCAAGTTTGCGGGGCCAGACGACGCCATCACTTTCATTTATAACTACATGGACCACTTCAGTGGCAGGGCACCCCAGGTGGGCGATAAGGTGCGCACCACTACCCACGTCTCCCTTCAAACACCCCCATTTTCCTCGTTGAAGAATCTTTTAGAGCGCACAACTTCAGTACCAGTAGCAGGCGACTAACTCATACTAGAATGAGAGTAGCGTTTCTTTGACCCATGTCGTCAATAATGTCTGGGAGGCCGTCTCGTCTGAGGCCCACGCCTTTGAAGTCCTCGCCGGCGGCGTAGTTCTCGCTGAGGGAAACTTTATTGTAAGCATCGGCCTTCTGCAACTCCCAAATATCTTCAGCCGTCATGTTTCTGGATTTTATCAGTGCGTATCACATTCAACGGAAGCCAGTGATTAACAGGTTTGAAATAGTACAATACGAGCATAGTACTCGACGACAGTCACGGAGTGGGGCTGGTCTACATGCCGCAAGACACTCTTGGCGATGCACTTTGCACAAAGGCCATTGGTCGTCCCTGCATGCCTAACAATCTTGTCCAGAGTGGCCCTTTTAACGCTTCGAAGCCCGCTACCCTTGACGTTCCTGAGTGGAAAGAGAACAGCAATTTTCCTGTCGCCGAGACCGCCGATGAGAAGCTCCGTGAGAAGGTCAAAGCCAATGCTGGCTTCGGGAAACTGTAGGCAAGACTTGTACTCGAGACAAAGTGTCACCGGTGTCAAATGTCTGCAAACACAAAAGCACGCATGGGGATATTCTCCTAACCAGTTGTGGGAGCATCCTACGGTGGAGGGCCTCGGCTTGAATATTTCGTGGTAGAATTCATGTATATCTTACTGTACCCCCGGGTATTCCAATCAAAATATCTCTGGACATTCATGCCTCCAACTTCTATTCGTACCATTTGACTAGCTCTGCACAGGTCTGCACTCCGCTCCAGCAACATAGGACAACATTTTGCAGTATAAATTCCAATGATCTTTCCTCTTGTAAAGTATTGCCTTTAAAGGGGACATACTATATGATGACATCTGGAAGGGTAGCCTTATATGGATTTTAAATTTATAGTTTATGCTCTTATAGAGAATTTCGTATGAGCTGACGTGTGCGCTTAGATAGCGACCTTGGTATAGGGGTCCTATCAAGGGCTGCTTGAGAGCCTGTCGGTCGATAGTATCATCTTTGTGGTTTTCCCCAGTCGATCTCTGCGACTGACGTGTTGAGAGGTCTAACAGGTGGGCTGGCATACGTCACTGCCAGGCCCATGATCCACAGCCACAGTGGCGACACGAAGATCATTACGTTGAAGGCACCTGTTCTCCATTATATAACGATTCTGGTTCGGAAATTATTCCAGATTCTATTTCTTACTTTTACCAGTTTTGAGAGAAATTCAGATTTTACAATTGCATACTCAAGGAAATCACGCCGACTTCATGAACCATAAGCAACAACTCAGGAAACCATTGCCAACGACGACCAGTTCAGCAACCAGAAGACAACCTCCCAAGCACACAAATATGTCAAGCACAACACACAGCAGCAAGTCAGGCCCAAACCAAGTCGTGGACAACGAATCAAAAAACGGGTACAATTTCGTGAAGCCGAGCACATGGTCCAACGGGCAGGCAGAGGACTCGGAGTTCAAAGTCCCAGTGGGTGCCACGGCCCAACTCGCAGAGAACGACGACGAGGCCCTGCCAGGCGTGCCGGGGCCGGACCACTCGGCTCGAGACACGCTCCGGAAGCAAGCCAAGCCTGTCTTCAACCGGGGGCCCTCCATGCTCGACTTCACGGCCGTCACGTCCGCGGGGCCGACGCCCGCCGGCGAGGTGCCCCCGTCGGCGTCGTACTTTGACGGTTCGCGGCTGCGTGAGTCACACCTCCCCGACATGGAACTGAAGACGACGAGGAGGCAGACGGTCACTGCGACAGATTTGGAATTACCCAGCCGGGTCCCCGGCGGCGAGGTTCAAGGTGCCGACGGGTTTGCCCCGCGGACATCTCGAGGGTAGTACACTGGATGAGACAAGCGGTGGAATAGGGTGAACAACATACACGGTAGTCATACATAGATAATAATATAGTCTTCAAAGGTTCTGAATGCGTTGTCAACCTGTCGAACAACTATCTTTTCTAGTCCCTGGACCTGAGTGTAGTCATCCCATGTTGTCCATTTCTATTACTTGCCGGCAGCTGACATCTCTTAACTTGTTTTTTTTTTTTTTTTTGTAAAAACTCGCACATGTACTGGGCAAGGACATTTGTACTCGCGCCGTATTCGCGTTTTACAGATAATCGCGTGAAAGCCGAAATTCGTTCACGCATGGGATGCAAAACAACACAACTAATAACGGATTCAATGACTCTGTTGCAAATTACCTAAGGGATTGGGTATCTATTTGTGATCCTCCGCATCCACTCACCTATCTATAAACTATGCATATTAAGAAAGCCGAATGCCTCTGTTGTATGCAAATCTCCCCAACACCGGGAGGCATCGCGAGCCCGTTTTGCTTTTTTAGAAGCCAGCTGATATTGATGCACGGCCAGTCAGCGACTTGAGACGCACATTTGATTCATCATCAGACCGAACCCGAGCAAGACCAATTATCAGCTGGAAGCATTCTGTCACAGGTTTGGAATCACTCCTTGCCTTGTGGTGGCCCCTCACTGCACTCAGCCAACGTTGACGGCCGATGGGCACGACTTTGGTAATTCCGTGAATCAAGTCTCGCAGTCGCCATTCTTAACCCTGATGACGAGATTGGTGAGAACAGATCCGGTGCACCTTGCCCATCTGCTTCAAAACTAGCCGTCCTGGATGTTTCCAGCGAGGTTTCCCGTGAGATACTCCGGTTGGTCTGTGCCTTTACAGCAGCATACGAAGAATTCCTTGACCCGGGGCCAAAACGGGAACGTCCCGCACGGAGAGGAGAGCACCCACTGCCCTACGGTTGCTCGGACTCGATCTTCGCTAGTGGCGCCAGCCTGCTGTGAAGTTGGCTGGGGTGGACATGTTCCGCGGGGGCGTTGGATGTGCGAGGTGTTCGAGTACCCGGCGTGCGACTGCCAGGGGTACGTCTGCCCGAAGGTGCCGAGGAATACGGGTTTGCCTGGCCATCTCTGTCTTCCTCGAAACTTTGCGCTCTTGATGCTGCTCTGGAGGCGTTACGGGACTGGTTGCGTGACGCCGCATCCCTAGCGGCACTGTAAGAACTGGTTCGGGACCCGGGGCCGAAGTGTGGTCGCTGAGCATGACGAGCAGTACCTCCTGGGGTAGCGGTGCCTGGCTCAGGTTGCTTCTCAGGCTCGCGGACCGCCGGTACGTGATGCTCTGTGGCCGTGGACGGCCGACGCGGTCGCTCGGTATCGACGCCTTTGGCGAGATTCTCGGCGAAGGGAGATCGTTTGCGCAGCTCCGGACCCTTCCAGTATATGACATAGACGGCAATGACGAGCAGAAATGAGATGCAGAAGAGGATGATGGACGCGTTGAATAAGGGCTTTCCGTTCTGCCCGGGGATATTTTCGTAGAAAGGGGTGGCTGCGCAAGTGAGCACGCCGGCAAGGAAGTCGCGCGCCCAGCCGTTCCCACCGGTGGCGGAGGCAGAGTAAGGACCATAAGCACAGATCATGTAGTCAATAGTGGCCATATAGATGGCATAGTTTGCAATGCCTATGATGGCACTTGCAAACATGGAGCCAACCCAGTGAATTGGTGGCCCATTGCACGTGAACGCGAATATGAAGAGACCCAGAGGAAGGCACGGCGCGAGGTAGAGAAGCCACCAGAGACGGCTCTCGTACTGTGCATGCTCATCGTCAGGCCTGGATCTCCGCTGGTGAGTGTTTCGCCTGATGGCGGGGATGAAGGAAAGCCAGGCAATGAGATAGCCGATTCCGATGGGGATAAAGGCGAGGCCGATGTCATAATCGTTGAAGTTCCACTGCGTGTACACGAGACTGAACGACTGGATCTGCATGAAGATGAGGGCATCTGCAAAACCGGACAGAAGCGACAGGACCAGAACGATGGGTTCGGTGACGAACATGGAGAAGGGGCGGAACCAAGTGTGCATGAGCTCACCCCAGGTGAAGCGCTCACGGAAGGGCTCAATCTCGTTGGGGCCCCAGACATCCTCGCCGTTCTTCCTCCGCTTCTTTGCGATATTGTCGATCATGATAGTGGTGCGCGTCTCGGGCACTGTGAGCAGGTGCAGGATCTGCACAAAGCCGCCGAAGATGAGCTGGATCCATATGCACCATCGCCAGGGGAGGAATTGCTGGACAAAGCCCCCGACGATGGGCCCGAGGATGGAGCCGCCGACCGAAGAGAAGACTATGTAGGCGACCGCGTATTGCTGGTGGTCCGAATCAAACATATCGGCGATCATACCTAGGGTGACGCTGCCACCGGCGGATGACAGACCGCCGAGGCAGCGGCCGACGATGACGCTGGCGAAGTTTGGGGCGAGGGCGACAGGCAGGGTCCAGACATTGACAAGGAAGAGCGAAGCCTGCATTATGGGTTTGCGACCAAACTCCTCGGACCAAGGAGCCCAGAGCTCGCAGCCAAATGCGTAGAGGATGAGGAACAGGGCGGCTCCGAGACGGGCGACCTGCTCACTGACGTGGAACTCCTCGGAGATGCCAGCCAGGCCGTTGGAGTACAGGGAGGTGTTGAAGTTCATGGACGTCTGTACCAGGAAGATGACGGTCAAGATCCACCACTTCTTGATCTCGGGGTACGCAAACGCCAGCTCACTCTCGCACTCGCGTGCGGTGAGCTCACGCTTGGCGCCGGCAGCACCCAGGCGAGTTTCCTTGTGTTTGGGCGAGGAGTGATGGTCGCCCTTCTCGTCGACGACAGCCGTCTCAGATCCAGAGCCCGAAGCTGACATGTCGTGATGAGCGTTGACGTTGCGGCCTCTGGGGGGAGGCTGCGTCGTGGTGGCCGACATGGTGTAGTCACGGAGTACGGGGCACCGTGTGATCAAGCCGTGCCAAGGTCAGCTGGGCAACGGGGAGTTCGGGTCGGGATGTTGTAGTAACTACTGGAGAGGATGCTCGCTGACCAGCAGATCAGAACCAGGCGAGGCTGGCGTAGTATCCGTGGCAGGCTTTGTGGCAAAGCCTCGATGCAACTTTTCTGGAGGGCCGGGGGGGGGGGGACTGATTTGCGAAGTTTGGACAACGTCGAAAGTGGAAGACTGTCTTGAGGGGAGGAGGGGATGTGGAAGATATAATTTTGCAGGAAGGAAGAAAGTTGGAATGGGCGCAGTGCGAAGGGCAGGAAGTATCTTTGTACCTTTGTACCTATCAGGTACTAGTATTGTAGGAAAAGGGCACATGGGCGAAGTAGCGTCGCTAGGTAGGCCATGGTACGACAGTAGTGAGAAAGACGTCACTTTACAGGTTTGGATGACGGATGCAACCCGTGTGGGGGACTGGGGAAGGCAATGAGAAGAACCTCTAGAATATTATAGAGTACCTAGGTACCTAGGTGGTGTTCAAGGTCAGCGAGAGACGGCCAGGCCGGAACAGAAACCCCGGGGCGGCTTGCAGCTGGCATTACGAGACGCTGGTGGTGGGCAACAGATCAAGTGTAGTTGGGATAGTCGCACTGCTGCAACGTGATGATGGAGGAGAGACGGACAGGATAGGATGGGAGGGAAGGTTGGTGGTTGCGCACAACGACATGCGCCTACGGTCAAGACCGAGCAAGCAATTACATGGGTAGTCGGCAGCCGACAGCCCTGGAGGCCGGGTGGGTATGGAATCATTTGCTGTGTGAAATTCGAATATGCAGTGGGGACAAGATTCCAAGTTGCAGACGAACCATGGCATGGAGGTTTGGGAGTCTGGAGTAGGTGTGGGTCGCGGAGCCTGGAGACCTGGAGACCTGGAGACCTGAAGTCCTGGAGACCTGGAGTCCTGGAGTCTGTCTGGAGTCGAGTCTCACACCACAGCCGACGGAACATGGCCGATGCCCCCAAGCCCACAGAGCGGCTCTCGGCTTGACTTTGTTATGATGGCGATGCATCTGGCCGTCTAAACCTGCCTCACATTAGTGATGGTGGGTGTCTTGTGAGCTGATCTGGTTTTGGTTTTCTTGGTCTGTCTCCCTTTTTTTTTTTTTTTTTTTTCCCCATATCCCTCCCCACCCGTCTTTTAACGTATCCTACGGGGTTATCGAGGCTATCACGGCTATCATTCTACATCCCTCTCGGTCGGTTGCGTCATGGTGGGCCACCTTGAATGCCGGGCCGATTCAGCAGTGTACCTACCACACTTGAGCAGAAAAAAGCACACAAGCGGCGGTCTTCCTCCTGCCCGTTCTGCCGATGGGAAGGCGCACGCACTGATGATATTCTGTGCAGCAAGGCACGGGCCAAGCGCAGGGCAGCACTGTCTGGATGACGTCAGTGGGGAAAAGTCTGTTGTTGCCGATGACCAGACACCAAAGGACCATGAGACTACTTAGGTACCTAGGTACCTAGATATCTACACAGGCACCCTGGGGTGAGTAGGTAGAAGTGAGTGCTGTGCTGGACAGGGCAAGGTTCGGCCACTCCCGGCGGCGTCTGGGTCTGGCAATCTTTGCTCCTCGTGATTTAAAAACAGGGAAGTGACGCGTCTTAGATCATGTCTTCGTCTACCACGGCAGCCTGAGTAGCCTGCAGGCACACCTTACTATCACTGCAAGCCTGCTGGTGGTCGTGGTTGGCCTCCGGTCCATCTGCCGACGGCCTCTAAACCGTCTTCTCCAAGTCCCACCGCCCTTGGACGTCGATGAGGCTCACGACCGGGATGTGTGGGAGCACGGGTAGGCCTCGCCAATAGGTACACTACCTAGGCAGGCTTGGGTGCAGATCAAGCCTTCGCCAAGCAGCCCAAGCAGCCAGCCCAACAAGCAGCGATGCTTGCCAAGTTGCGGGAGGACGGGCGGGACAGGAAAGGAAAGGTGAAAGGGCTGACCTTGCCAGCCGCCAGCCCAAGTGGGTTTAGCAGCAGACTAACCATCTACTGTGTACCTACCATCGACCTACGATTTCACACAACCGCACTTTGAACCTAGGTACTTAGGGACATAGGTCATCGAACGGCAGCCCGCTACCAAGATGCTAAGTAATGCAATCCTAACGTACACATCGTATACGACCAACTCCCCTTGTTGTCCTGATGGCTTGCTCAGTCAGCAACGAGTCCGGGTCGGACACCACAGTCGCAACACCCGCGGGGCTGACAGGGCTGACGGGGTCGACGACTGCATGACGACACCCCCCGGGCCCGTTCTCTGCGCTTCTAACACCCTCGGCGACCTGATGAGTGTGCACTTTGTCGTCACGCGCAGTCACGTCCAACAGTCTGCCATACGTTGATGTCCGCCATGAACGTCTGATATTACAATCCCCGCCGCAGCTCGGCAACGAGTGTTGGCTCTTCGAAAGTTACGAGCCGCCGTACGTAAGGGCGGTTTCCCCCTGCATTTCCCACCCAACCGCACTTCGGCCTGTTGCCCCAGTCTCCCCACAACAAAACACCCGTTCATCCCCACACCATGACTTGGAGACTGGAGTAGCCTAGCAAACGGCCCACAGTCACGGCACTTTGGGCGGGGATCTACATCTGTTGCAAGCAACAGTTGAACTACACCATGCCGCTAGACACCGCCGTGAAGCCGGCCAGAGAAACTTCGGCGGAGATCCGTCCTGCTCGGTCCGAATCACCCGGCTGGGCTCCCTGGCCCATATGCGGTTAGCGACGAGTTTGAGAGGGGTTCTTTCAGGTATCACCTGAGCGTCGACAGCAACTCAATTGACACAGTAAGTAGAGCTCAAGAATGTCTCTGAAGACTACATACCTAGGTATGTACAGGGCGGCGCCAACCCAGGAGAATCTGGCTTCCTGCACAGGCCACTTCCACAGTGACAACGAGTTGTTGAATCGGATATGGCATGCTGACAAGTGACTCTTGACCATTCTGAGGGCGCGCCAATACGGCAACCCATCGCTGACAACAACTGAGTGAATCAAGGCGCCTACAAGTGTCAGATCTGCAGCATCGATCCCACTCATGGCGATACACTTGTATGGTTGAGGGTAATTAGCCCGAGATGGCAGAAACCATGGGATGGTGGAGAGCAAGTATAATTGCTGCTGTCAAGACTGCTCTTGTCGACGGCGACAAGCGAGACTGTCTCGTGTGGCCAGGTGGCAGTTATCTTGTCGTTGCGGCAACACTATTTTTGCCAGCACTCGTGATATGGATTCTATTCGCAACGCGCTGGACTCTCTCCTGAGCCTCAGCTTCACCCTCGGCTCCGCCGTTGAGACCGGCCCCTTGGATGTGGCGACGATCCAGTTGACGCGGACTGACTGCGATCGGCACGGGCGGCCACAACATTAAAGTGGTTTCGTTTTTAACCCCCATACATATAAAATGTATGTGGCACCTTCATACAGTAGTAAACGCTCAAGACCCAGCGTTTAAAGAAATACGGTGCCAACAATAGTGGAAAGAGAATACAGTGCGTGGACACGTGGCTCTGCCTCGTACCGCACAGACAAGGCTGGAAGGCATCGCTCCCGACGGCGCCGCTCACTAGAAAGCCGGCAAGGCAGTCATACGGCGAGACTAAAATAGTCTCTCTCTGGCTTTGAGCAATGGCCATGCAACTAGGGTGGAGGGAGGAGGATGTAAGCTCGTGACGAGCGGACAATGTTTCATCAGCAGCTCCAGCGTGGCAGGGTAGACTTGACCTCTGTTGTTGTCTCTGGTTGCCACTTCACTTTTCATGTTCGCGGTATGGATTAATAGCGTAAACAACTATAAGGAATACACCGGTTTCATGTTGAGAGCCGCACAAAAGTTGCGTAGCCTAAAGTTCTCGTCTCATCGACGACCTGCAGTCTCGTAGGTGACGTCTTCGGGAGCCAAGTTCAGTCGCTGCGTGCACTCCTGCGGAATCCCGTCACTTTCCAATTGTGCCAATCTTTCGGAAGCCAACAAAGGTGACGAGCATCACCATACCCGTGCTCGCAAAGACTGTCCAGAAGGCAGCTCGAAATCCGTCCATCAGCGCCGCCGTTTCCGAGGTGCTTGTGGAGTGTTCGGTAACGGATGCTGCAATGGCCGCTGTCACAGCCAAGCCTACCGAGTTTCCAAACTGGGCGACCTCATTGAAGACACCTCCCGCGAGCGACTGAATCTCGGGCGGAAAGGCGTCGGATATGACTAGGTTGCACACGCTGAAAAGGACCCAAGGGTTGATGGGACAGAGGAGCAGCGCCCAGAATGGCCGCAGCCAGTAGTTTTCGTCCTCCGCCGCCGTGGCCATCAGAGCGGGAGAGACCAATGTGGCTGCCGCCGTGATGACGCATAGCGTAACGACCCGCACGCGAGGGATGAGGTAGATGAGTGCGATGTTGATGGATGTGCCCATGGCTATCTGGGAAAAGTAGCGGATCGACGAGTCCAGCGCGGAAAGCCCTTGCACCTGCTGGAAATACAACGTGGTGAAGTATTCGATTCCGTTCAGGGAAGCCCAACAGAAGAACACTCCCAGACATGCTGCAGTGAAGGCAGGCTGTCTCCATAGACGGTTAGGGATGAGAGCTGGTCGATTGTGCTGAACCTGGTGGTGCATCCAGAACGGAAACGCAGCAAGGAGCACAAATGACGCGAGCAGTAGGACGACGGTCGCCGGCTGACTGATCTTGCGGAAATCGGATGTCACCACTGCGTGTAACACCACATGTCAGCACGGCCCGTCCCATGCTCACGCCGGGCGTTTTCCCGGCGGCGATGGTGGTGGTCAGCTTACCTGCGAGGATGTACATCAACAGCCCTAACGAGATGCTCAGCCCTATCACCCCGATCCAGTCCACATCCTCGATGAGCCGCCTCGTCCAAGACTTTGACGACACATGCTGAACAGTAGGGAGGGACCAGATTGAGACGATGGACAGGCAAAAGTTGATGATGGCCATGATGTAGTACGACCACCTCCACCCGATTGTGTCGGTGAACACGCCGCCCTGGGGATGGGATTTTGGGGTCAGTCGTACCAAGCATAAAAGAGGGGGGGGGCATTGACAGAATAAAAGTGATGCTAACGAGTACGAGGCCGAGGGCATAACCCAGTGGCTGAGCCATTCCATTCATTGCGAAGCTCGTGTTTCTCCACTTGCCCTTGGGGAAAGTGTTTGTGATCAGGGACACGGTGGTAGGCAGGCACATTGCCATGGCGATGCCGAGGCATGTGCGAAACATGATGACCTGTATGCCCGAGGTTGCAAAGCCAAGGGCTACGGTAAAAATGATGAAGAGAAAGCTGCCAGTGACCCAGGTTGGCTTGGGGCCGAGGATATCTGCGATGCTGCCGAAAACATGGAGGAGGCAACCTGCTGCGAGGGCGTAGACAGCTGCTGGCCACTGGGTATTGTTTCCGCCTCATCAGTTCAAATGTTACATATGTAGTCTTTTGTGTGCAATGTCTCAAGTCTCCAGTCTGCGGTCTCCGAGTCGCTGGGCTCTTCGCGGAGCTGGAGGGGGTGGGAACGTCGGAGACTAACCAATATCAGACTCTTGTCCAGGCCCACGTCCTTCGCGATGCGAGGCAGGGCCGCAATCAGGATGCCAGACCCCATGGTGTTGAGAAAGCTGATGCCGGAAAGTGAAACTATCATGGCAACGCCCCTGGCTCGGGACACCCTTGAGCGGGTGCATGCGTCAGGCCGGCCACGGCTCTCCCCCGTGCCTCTGTCGCTGGCGAGAGACGACGCATCTTGCAACGACGCAGTCTTGAACTCATCGCCCAACGGCGATACTCTGGGTTCCAGAAGGTGCTTCTCGTTCTGCATGACGACAGCAGGAGACTGGCAGTGATGAAGAGTCGGGCTGGCGGGCAACGTGGTTCTTGCAATGACCCAACCAAGTCGCGACGCGGGCAAGTGGTCCTAAGTGATAAATGGAAGTACAGGCATCCATCCGTCTCGGTGATTCAGTGATTCCCGTGGAAGGAGGCCCTTGGCACACCCGGGCACCTACCTAGGTACCTCCATGCCCGCAAGCACCACCCCAGCCCGGCGAGGCGTGGGCGCCCGAGACTCCAGATTGCACGATGGAATCGCGAGTGTCGGTGGCACTGCGCGATGGAACTGTGCCCGCTGCGCTGCGGTGTGACCATTGGCCCTGGCCCCGAGCAGATCATGTTGATTCGGGCAGGTGAAAAATGTTGGGCGGCTCAGGCTCGGCTCGTAATTTGGCCTGGGGCCGGGAAGATATTGATGTGCGGTGGGAGTGAGGCACAGTTGGACGAGTTGCGACACGGATGAGGCTACCGTGAACCTTTGAGGATGTACGGAGTGTGTGTGTGCTACAACGTTGCGATGCCCGTGTTGGTTTGGTGTACGCTTGAGCAATCCATCCCGACCCGTTGGTAGCTAGGGCAGCATCTCATGCGCCCCCAAGCAGCCACTTGCTCGGGGAATTTGACCAGTCACTCACTTCATTGGTCACTTGGCTTCGCAGACTCTTGCCAACCCCGAGCTCGCGTGTGGGGATGACCCGCAGTAGTGAGTAGGTCTTTGCCAACGACAGGTCGACGCTGCGGAGCGCTGAGTAACCCGTGGCTACCTACTAAGTAGGTAGCGACTGAACTACTCCCTACCTACCTCGGGTGGCACCTGGCTCCTCCCCCCGTTCGCTACATCCCTTCCATCAACGTGCACCGTGCCACATCACATCCAGCCCGCAACACCGTACTGTACTGCATGCTCCGACACACGAGTCTCAAGAACGAAAATGGGGTCATCAGAGAACACAAACACGATAGTCCTTTACACCAACCACACATGCACATGTGAGTGGGGCCCGCCTTCATATAAAGCTACCTACTCAAGCAACCTTCCTGATCCTCCACGGCTAACAGAAACAAGGGGCAAATCGTGCGGACGTGTGTCTCGCCGAGCTGGGGATTGCCTTTGAGGAGCGGATCATCAATGTCGACGGACCCCGCCCTGCCGACTTCCTCAAGCTGAATCCTCGTGGCCTCGTGCCGGTGCTCATCTTCAACGACCAGGTCATCGTCGAGTCTCAGATCGTCTGCCAATTCCTCTGCGACGTCTTCCCGTCGCACCTATGTCCTCCCCCCACATCCACTGCTGGGGCGCTCAGACGGGCAAGGATGAGCTTCTTCATCGATGCCTACTGGACAAAGTACCACACGATCCTTTTCAGGCTGTTCGAGTCCCCCACTCCTGCGCACGAGGAGCGAGTGGTGGACGACGCTGTGGACGGAATCAAAGCAGAACTCGAGCCCCTGCTGGCTGATGCCGCGCCCTTCTGGGGCGGAAGTAACCAACTCACCCTCGCCGAGGTCATCACCGGGCCCTTTGTGATCCGCGCACGCGCCTTGAGCAAGCATGGTGTGTACCCTGCGAGTTTGAACAAGCGGATAGAGGAAGAGGCCCCCAGCTTCCACAAGTGGGCAACGGCCACGTCCGGACACGAGAACATCAAGAGGTTCTTTGACGAAGATGTCATTGTCAAGCGGTCCATGGCCAAGAGAGCCAGGATGAGAACATCTGCAGGGCTGGACTGATGGTTCAAATCACAGCGCAGCTTAAGCTTCGTCGTTTGTACGCTGCTCCGGGCCACCGTTCCTAGATGCGTAAGAAGGATTCATTCTCCCAGCTGAGGGGCAGGCGACTTTCCGACATTAATTAGAGTTGACCAGTACGCCGCGGGACAGCTTCCCTGTTCTCACTTTCAACTAGGTAGTAGACTGCTAGCAAAGAGACTTTGGTGACACAGTGCGCCATCTAATACACGCCAACTGCAACATGATTGGCCCCATTTCGATCGGAACATGCCGAGGTCTAACAGCTACCATGAGGCTGTGTCCTGTCCTGGGAGTCCTGGAAATCCCGGGGCAAGGTGATATCTAGGGTGCCCTCGCAAGCGCCTGTCTAATCCATGTCTGAACCTCCGCCAACTCTGTCATATTCTTCCCACCCCACATCACGTCTGCCATGTTGCAACCCTCCCCAATGCTCGCTGTTGCCGTGACCACAATCTGGCCAGCCTGCACCAACCTCTCAAGCCGGGTGTAGATGCAATCCACGTCCCCTCCATACTCCACTGCCGAGAACTGGGCCAATGGCAGCCCCCTTTGCTTCCAGAAATGGCCAGACATGAGGCATATGGGCATGGACCCAGTGAAGCGGGCGTTCAGATCGACGACCCACTGCCCACCTTGTCTGTCCACGACGATGTCCACCCCAGCCCAGCCCATAAACGTCTCGGGCATCCTTCTCGTGGTGTCCCGCACAGTCTCCCACACCAGTTCCTGCAGCTCCGCCTGCTTGCTGAAGTCGATGTGGCCCCCAGTCCACTTCCCGGCGTCAGTCAGTGTCTGGACCGTGACCCCAAGGATCTGCGGGTTATCTCTGTCGTGCGCCGTTCCCGGCGCGCCGACAAAGAAGTGCACGCTCAGGTCCTGCACCAGGTCGATGTACTTGCTCAGCAGCACCTCGGTCGTCCCGCGTGCCTTGTACTTGGCCATGGCCTCAACCATCTCGTCTCGCTGACGCTCCGTCTTGACAATGTAGGTGCCGAAGCTACATCCCGCACGGTACAGTTTGACCACGAACGGGAGCGGCCTGGCCCAGAACAGGCAGGATTTGGCGGGCAAATCGACGGTCTGCAGGTTGACGACCTCAGATGGTGGGGTGCGCATGCCGGATTGGACAAGAAATTCCTTGCTGTTGATATCGAACATCTCCCTCGGGCGGAGGAGGCAGTCGTGCTCGTCCATCCACCCTTGGGGCCGCCAGAACAGGAGCTTCTTCCCGGAGGTGGCCCTCCTCAGCTGGGCGGCGACGTCCTGGCGGTCGAGGTCCACTATCACGGGACGGTGCCGCTGGTTGGGCGCTAGCTGTGACAGCGCCCTCTCCATGGCCTGGGCCGTGACATTTGGGGCGAGGAGGAGCACATCCATGTTACCCACCCCAAAGGCCCTGCGGAGGGGCTTCATGCCCAATATGATGTTGCGCAATCTCGCAATCTCCTGCTCGTCTTCTGGGGAATAAGGCACGGGCTCCTCGTCCTCCGGGTAGACCAGCTCACGCGGCCAGGCCGGGTGCAGATCCATGTGTGCAAAGACACAGTACATGGTCACGATGAAGGGCCCCGGTATCCCATTGGCCTGGTAGAGCTCGGCCAGGGTGGTGTCGAGCTGGACAGTTGTGGTTGTCTGCAGTGGCGTTGGCTGCTGTGCCTCATGCTGCAGGGTGGCGATGTTGCTGGGCAGCGTGTATGCAGGAGCCCGGGGCTGCTCGACCTTCATGTTGGCTGCAGAAGAGACCGTACTGGGCAAGGGCGCAGATGGTGTTGTTTGCTACTTGCCGGTCGAGGACGGTGCTCTCTGCTCTGCCCGGGACTCGGGGCTGGACGCCGACTTACAGTCACAATTTATGTGGCGGCGGCTCTTGCCCCATATTATGTGAGACGGCCTTTCGTCCAACGCCCCCGAGGTCATCAAGTCAGCCCGACTGACTCACCGCCTCGATGCGATGGTCCACGGGGTCAGATTCGGGCGCTCAAGGATTCAACCACAAGCTTCCACGTCTTGGGGCCTTCTCGCCCCCTTGGACGGACCTCAGGTGGTCGCCCCGAGACAGCCTGATCCCGGTCCGAGTCAAGACCGCGGCGGACACGGCAGGAGCGATAGACCCACCGGCCCGCCAACAGCTCGCAAACTCCTTCTACAGAGCCCTCAATGGGTGGATTGGACGTCAAAACGGGTTAGGGTTCCTTGCACTAGTGCTATATCGTTGCTCTTCCCTGGTCCCTGATTGACAATTGACCTATACTAGTAGGCACCTCCACATTCCGTGTCAATCATGGCTCAAAGACAAGACACACCATTGTGTTTGGGATGCACTGTTTTAATCCGCCAGCCAGCCACCTTACGGACATCAACAACCCGCAGTGCAATGAATTATCGAGAAAAACGACGAGCCCCGATATGTGGGAGCGGAGGGGCTCCAGCCTGACGGGCGAGGAGGCCCAATGACAGGCATCAAGTTTCCACGACGCTTGTGACTGTGTCAAAAAGCCAATGGGAATAATGCGAACCTTGCCATTGTTGGTGTTGTTTCGGATCGGAGTCGAACTAGCCTTTCGAATGCTTCCTTTCCCATTTTTGCCACTCTGTTTATTTGTTCCGGGATGGCAAAAGACAGGATGTGGCTAAGGGGCTATCCAGCCAGCTACCCATATAGAATACTAACCTGACAGAGTGGGGCAATGGCACCTGTTCCTACCGTCCCAAAGGATAACATGTGGTTATAAGCTAGAGGATCATAGCAGCTACCTCGCACGTGTGGTGTACCTACCTTGGTAAGTAATTTCCCTCTGTTTCTATTAGCTAGGAAGCCTTACGACCCCCGGTACTGCTAACAACATTTGTACTTAGGTGTGACGGTACAGGTTAATAACTGCTAGATTCTAAGTTGTGAGGCAACTTGGAATTGTGGTCTTTTAGCTAGGGTGTCTATTATATAGTAGTTAATAGATCTATCTTATTAGATATAAAAGTAAGTAGGTATTAAAGGGTTTATTTATAATTATAGCGTTATATATCGAATTAAAAAAGTAATAGAAAGTAGATATAGTTATTTAAATAAAATTTATAAATATATATAAATATATATTTAAATATTTTAACTAACTTTTTATTTAATTATTTAATAATAATTTAATTACTTACTTATTTTTAAGTTTTAATTTAATTTTATAATTTTAAACTTTTTTATAAAAGATTTAATAATAACCTTTTATAATTAATATTTTAAAAATTACTTAAATTTTATTTCTTTTATAATTAAATTTAAATATATATAATTTATTTAAATTTAATTATTAATCTTTAATTAATAAATATAATATAATTTAATAATATAAATTATAATAAAATAAATAATATTATTATATTAATTATTTAAAATTATTAAATTTTAAATAATATTTAATTTATTTAAATTTATTTTAAAAATTTTAATATTTAAAAGTTTAAAGTTTTAAAATTATAAATAACTTATATACTTAATTATTTCTTTTATTTTTAATTAAATATAACTATAATAATATTTAATAAAAGTTAAAATATTTATATTTAAATTAATTTATAATTTATTTTAAATAAATAATACTCTTTTAATATTTTAAAATATATATTACTTTTAAATATAAATTATAAAAATAAATATTTATTTATAAAAGTTTTTATTTAAATATATTTTTATATTTATTAAATTATATTAAAATTAATTATTTTTAATATAATTTAATTAAAAATTAAAAATTATTTATATATTACTTAAATTAAAATTAAAAATAAATTAAATATATTTTTAAATTTAAAAATTTAAAAATAATTATAATAATATTTAATTATTTAAACTTATTAAAATATAATAAATTTAATTTATTGTATAATTATTCTTTAAATTTTATTTATTAAAATCTAATTTTAAATTTATAATTCTTAATTATTAAAATTTAATTTAATTTATATATATAAAGAAATAATATATTTTATTTTTTTAAATATTTTAAATAAAACTTATTTATATAAATATTTTATTAAATAATAGTTTTATTATTAATCTATTTATAAACTTTAATATAAAAGTATATAATATATTAAAATATATTAAAATAATTTAATAAAATTAAATATTATTATTAAATTAACTTTTAAATTAATATATAATTTTATATTAATATTTATTTATTTAACTTTAATATTTATTTATTTAATAATTTTTATAAACTTATTTAATATTTATTTCTCTTAATAACTCCTTTATAATTATAAGTACTTTTAAGTTTATATAAAAGACTTTATAAAATAATTTTTCTTTAATTTTTAATACTTTAAATATAAACCCTTTTAATATACCTTTTAAATTATATATATTTAAGTATTAACTAAGTATTTAAATATTAATTAAATATTAAAAAGTTAAAAATAAAAAAGTAAAAATAAAAATTATATTCTTTTAATCTTTTAATACTTTTTAACTTTTAATACTTTAAACTTTTAACTTTTAACGTTTAATTAATATTTAAATACTTAATTAATATTTAAATATATATAATTTAAAAGGTATATAAAAAGTTTATTAAAAGTATATTAAAGGTGTGTTAAAGGTATATTAAAAGGTATATTAAAAGTATATTAAAAGTATATTAAAAAAGTTTATATTTAAAATATTAAAAATTTAAAAATCTTAATTAAATATATAGTTTTATATAAACTTTATATATAAAAGTTAATATTAAATAAGTTTATAAAAATTATTAAATAAATAAATATTAAAGTTAAATAGGTAGATATTAACTTTATAATTTTAAAATAAAGTTTTATTTTTAAAAGATATTTATATTAAAAATAATATAAATATTATTTAAAATAAAAGAAAATTTATAAAATATTTTAAATATAAATATTATAATTTAAAATTTATACTTATAAAATTAAAGTATTATAATATATATTTTTAAAAATATTAATTTAAATTAAATTATAATAAAATAAAATAATTTAATAAATATTAATTAAAATTTTATTATTATAAAGTTTTATTCTTATATTTAAAATAATTATTATTTATATTATTTTATATTTATATTTATTATTAATATTTTTAATTATTTTAAAATATGTTTTATAGTTTTACTTCTATTTTATATATATTTAAGGATATATATAGCACCTTTATATAGTAGTAAGTACTTAAAACTTAATACTTAAAAGAATATAATATTAATAATAATAGTTATAATATAATAAATATTTATAACCTTAACTTTATAATATATAAATAAAACTAAAAGGTATTATTTTAATAATAGTATTAATTAAAATTATAAATAAAAATAGCCTATAGTTTAATTATTATAAAGGAGTTATATAATAAGATTAAATCTTTAAAAATAATCACTATATAAATAAATTATACTAAAGGAAGCTTAATTAAAAATTATTCTTTTAAATATATATATATATATATATATATATATATATATTAATAAGACTTTTATTAAATAAGCCTATAAAGTTAATATTATAACTTTTATTTAAATATATAATTATTAACTTTAAAAAACTTAAAATAAAAAATAATTTATAATATACTATCCTTAAAACTTTTATAATAAAGTATTAAAACTCCTAAAAAGAGTCCTAAAAGTAATTTATAAAAAGATAAAAAAAGGATATAATAAGCTTATTCTCCTTTAAATCTATACTTTTATTACTAATAACTATTAACTCCTTAATACTATAAAAAATATAATAAAAATAAAGAAAAGGGTGGATTTAAAGTTCCTCTTTAAGAGAATTATAAGGATATATATAAAATTATTAAAGACTTTATATATAAGTTTTAGACTATTAGGGAAGAAACGAGTAGTTATATAGTATAAAGGAAAAATATAGTATAGTTAAAGCTTAAAATATTTTTTATTTAATATTACTTAACTTTTTTTAAATATTTAATTATAAATAATTTTTTTATTAAAAAATAATAAATTATAATATATTAAACTATAAGTATTAGATAAATATAACTAGGAATATTATTGTAATAGTGGATGGTTATAAATTTTCTTAATCACGGATACTGGTCGGGTACTTCCGCATGACCACGTGGGTGGGATGGGATGCTGTTATGTTTTAATATAGCGTCCCTGCTTGGTCGAGCCGGCCAAGCCGGGTGACGTACACTAGAAGGAACACCCCTGAATGCCAGCAGAGGAAATGGAATATAAGGGCGTGGGTACTCCGGAAGAAATGAAAGTGGACTAGTCCAACGGCCCATCGCAACGCTTACGAATCCCTTAAGCACCATTATGAGGCTCTGGGCCTGCGGACTGTTGACTTGCACCGGGGTGATGCCATCGAAAACAAAGCCCACCTAAGAGTTGACTTGACCTCTTTGCCAGTCTGTGATTCGATTTAAACTCAGGCCAAGACTAGCGTACCACAGCGAGACTTGGTCGAACGGTGAGACACTGGAGCACGCTGGCACGTCGACAACGGTACATTGTGCTCGTGCTGTGGCAGAAATGACAAGGACTGATGGCCACCCAAACGGGGCGTTCCGCGATGGATGCCACGAAGCCCCGCTTCAAATCTCGGGGATGGTGGACAAAGCTTGCAGCGCCTTTATCGTGTACTAGTGTACATTTACCGAGGCGCGCCATTGAGGTTGGATCGGATGGGGTTTTCGAGGCTGACTGTTTTGCTTTTTGTGGCCTGTTTCTAGGTCTCTTCTGGAAGGTGGCGGTGACCCCTGGTCGCCTGTAGGGCCCGCTTTGCAGCCTGGCTGGAGGGGGAGCCACATTCCCGGGATGTGTTTCAGATAAAACGTGGCTAAGCAATCGCATGAGCTTGAATAGAACCGCCCCCGTCCAGCCTGTCAGTGAAACTCGCGGGTTCAACACAACCCGACTTCACAGCGCAAGATCACAAAGTCTAGGGTCCCTTGCGGAGAGACCAGCGCGTGACCGAGCCGCACGTGGGTTGCAGCTGTCGGGCCAGAACCTCGAGTCAACCCTAGGAAAGAACAATTGAAGCCTCGTGGTGCAGCTTGCCCGGTAGGCACACGTGCAGACAGGCGGAGGCGCATTTGGAGAGCTAAGGGGGGGGATAACCAACATCGGGACACTGGTCACGATTGCCTGGTGCAACAGACCACAAATGTTGAGTCATCCATGACTGTGAGCGGACCGAATGAAGGATTGAGGCACAGGCCAGGAAACAGGAAACGAGCTGCATCAACGGCGAATCGGTCCCTTTCAGGCCCTCTTGCTGCGTGAAAATTGGTGGATTAATATCTCCGGTGCAGGCCCTCAAAAGTCCGCGTGTGCAATCAATCTGGCCATGTGGGTCAAGGCAGCCCTGGAGGGGCCCAGGCCTCAAGTGTCGACCGTCTAATTTCCACCACTTCTTCTTCCAGGTCTACTCCCTCCCAGGCACGAAAGCCTCTTGCTACTTGACGGTATTCCCTTCTCTTGGCTCGTCTCCTCTTGCCTTCGACTCTCGCGGTACTGGTACCTGCGGACAAATGTCGTCTATTCGAATGGACTGCCTCTAACCCACGACGAGTGCGACCGACAGTACAAGGACATGGCGCCGCTCCGTGATTCCATCATGGTGCCCGACCTGCCGGCTCTGTCTCCCCGGAAAGACCATTACTACTATGACCCGGCCGTGGAACTTTACGCTGGGCTATGGTGTCTCTTCTCTGCTGCAACTGCATTCCTAGGCCTGAGGGTTTGGGTCAAGTTTCAGCGTCGCCACGGTTTGTGGTGGGATGATTATCTTCTAATGTTGTCATGGCTTATCCTCTTGGGCACTGATATCCTAACAACCTTCGAGTGTAAGCAGCTCATGCGTGCAATGTTTACACCTTCAATAGCACACACATCCTATCCCCTGCCCACCGTGACAACGTTGAACAAAGCTTTAATGGTCTACTGGGCTCAAGCTAGGCTACGGCCACAATATGGCCTACGCCTCACCGCAGTCGCATGAGGCTTATTCTTAAGTTCTTTCGCAGCTAATTGCAGATTCTTTAGACGCAAATGGTTATTCAAAGGGTGACTGGACCGACAGCATGCATAGTGAGTAGCTTCCGCAATCAATAGCAGCACCTTGAGAAGCAGGCCATGGGAACGCTGTCGGGGCACGTCTCTGCTCCTCTTCGTTGCGAGGTTATGTTGTGCGGCAATAACTGACTTCTGTTGCTAAAAAAAAGTTTTGATCAATATCTCTTCAGATGGAACCGTGATAGGGCAAGCTCTGACCAAAACTGCCTTCGCCGTCACGCTCTTGCGGATGTGTCATGCTTCGACACGATCGCGGTTTCCCTGGAAGCAGACCCTGCTATGGTTCTGTATCATCACAATGGATGGTATCGCGCTGTCGAAATGCGTCTTCCAATGGGCCAAGATCTGTGGGCGGCACGATTATCAGCAGTGGTACCGTCTGAACTGGTGCTTGGATTGGACATTTTCTCAGGATTTTAAGGAGCTTGGGAACAGTAAGTCGTCGATAGACCGTGCCCTCTCTGATTCCAACGTGATGACTCACCACCTTCCAGTCTACAACATTATAATGGACTTCCTATTCGCGATTTTCCCCTGGTTCATTACCTGGCCGTTAAACCTGAAGCGAGGGGAGAAAATCGGGCTAGGTGTCACCTTGAGCCTTGGAATGATGTATGCGCAGCCATCGGCTATTCTCTACCGCCACCTGGCTACGAAAATCAAAGTATACCCAACTGACAGTGGCAAAATGGCAGGATCGCTATTATCACAGCAATACGAACTTGGTGGAAAGACACACCGCTTATGCATGTGCATGACTGGTGGTGTAAGTGCCTTTGATTTAAGTTATTGTTCCTACAAGGAAATGAGAGCAAATAGGCCATCGCAGATGATAGATGCTGACACAGTTCCAAACAGATATGTGGCGGGACGCTGTCTCACAGATATGGTACTCGGCTGAAGTCTCTGGAACAATCATGGTACAATGTGTTCCGGTGCTCAGGCCTTTCATCAAGGATTTACATACCGCATTCACCTCCAAACGGCTTGAAGCCACGGAGCCATCGCGGGCACAGTCGACCTGGCGCGGTTCTACTCTCATCGACCAAAGATCGAATTCGATCCCATCCAGAACAGCTTCGATATTGTCCAAGAGCGAGGAGAAGAAATCACCTGGCATATTCGAATTGACAGAAATACCAGAGGAGACAATCATATTTGACCAGACAGCAAAAGACTACGGGTATCATGCACAGGCATATTATGACCCTAGTTCCGATCGCACCGCAGAGTTGCCTGTGCAGGGCATCACCGCGACTACGACGACCACTCAGCAGCTGAATGGACCGCTGGATTCTTGGCCAGTCCCGACAAGAGGGAACTACTAGTCACAATCGCAATCTATACAAATTCTTTCATGAGCATCATTCGAGTGTGGCGGGTCATTCGCACAGGCAATTAGAGATCTGCCGATGTTGCACGCTCCCATTCTGTTCCCGTACATGGAAAACAGTAAAGGGTTCCATGTACAGCAACAATCTAATACATACATCATCTCACACAATACTCGTTACCTAGTATTATAAATTTATAATATAAGAATACTATATAGTAAGATATTATTTTTATATTATTATAAATATATTATATATAAAGATATAATTAAATAATATAATAATAATATAGAAATATAAATTAAATTAACGTCTACTCACCTAGTAATTATATCCACTCACTTAGTTTTTTACTAACTACTTACTCAGTATAAGGATTTATATATAGGGCCTATATAAAACTATATACCTAACTAGGATTCTCTAAATTTTTGAAACTTTTAGTATAAACCCCTTTTAGCACGCCTTCTAGCACGCCTTCTAGTATGCCTTCTAGCACACCTTCTAGTATGCCTTCTTCTAGGCTATATGTATTTAGGTACTAACTAAGTATTTAGATACTAACTAAACGCTAGAGGGCTAGAAGTTAAGAAGGTAAAAGTAAAGATTATATACTTTCTAACCTTTTAGTACCCTTTTTAACCCTTTAATACTCTAGACTTCTAGCCTTTTACTATTCAGTTAGCATCTAAATGCTTAGTTAATACCTAAATATGTATAAACCAAATGGTAAAGGTGAAGGTGAAGGTGAAGGCGAAGGCGAAGGCGAAGGCGAAGGCGAAGGCGAAGGCGAAGGCGAAGGCGAAGGTAAAGGGGCGCCAGAAGGGGTGCCAGAAGGGGTGCCAGAAGGGGTACCAGAAGGGGCTTATACCAAAAATATCAAAAATTAAAGAAGGAAATCATACTATAGGGTCTCTTAATATTAACTTAGAAGGTATTTATAAACGTAAAGGAGTTACTTAGAAAAATTAGTATTAAGTAAGCGGTTAGTAGGAACTAAGTAAGTAAATATAATTACTAAGTAAGTAGATATTAGCTTATATAAATTTAACTTTTTATAAATAATTAATTTATTAATATAAATTATAAAAAAATAAATATTTATATTTATTAAAATAATTACTATAGTTATATAAATTAATTTAAAAGTTATAATTAATTAAAAACTTTATTTAACTTTACTTTAATTATTTATTTAAAGTATTTTTATAAATTTAATTATTTATTTATTATTAATTATTAAATTAAATTATTAAAAACTTAATATAATTAATTAATTTAATATTAAAGATACTCTTTATATATTTAAATAGTAATTTTATACTTTTATAAATAACTTTTTAATAATAAGAAAGAGATTTAAAAGGAGATTTAAAGATTAAAATATAAGTTTAAAAGTTATAATAAAATAAAATTATAATAAAAGTAAGAAATTAAAGATTAATAAAAGTATATAATTATAAATATAAATTTATAATATATATAATAAATTAATAATATAAATTAAAATTAATATATATAATAAAAATATAACTATTAATTATATACTTTAAATTATTTAATTAAAAATTATAATAATTAATTTATATAATTAGTTATTTAATATTATATAAGTATTATATTATTATTACTTTCCTTTAAAGCTTTTAAAGTATTTATATATTTTTAAAAAAGTAATATTATTAAATAACCTTTTATTAAATTAATTTATATACTTATATAAAAGTTAAAAGTTTTAAATAGTATAATATAAATAATTAATTTTAAATAATAGATTTTAATATTAAAAATTAAATAAAACTTTTAAATATAAAGATTTAAACTAATATTTTTAATTAAATTAATTATTATAATAAAAGGTATAACTATTAATTATATACTTTAAATTATTTAATTAAATAATTATAATAATTAATTTATATAAGTAATTATTTAATAATATATAAATATTATTTTATTATTATATATTAAAAATATAATTATAAATATAATAATTATTTAATAGATATAAAAATTTATTTTTAATTATAAACTATTTATATTTTTAATTTTATTATTAAATTAAAAGTAAATAATTAATATTTTAAAAATATAATATAATATATTTTAAAAATTAATTTAATTAAATTTATTATATAAAACTTTTATAATAACTTTATAATTTACTATATTTATAATACTATTTATTATTAAAAATACCTTTTATATTAATATATTAAACTATATTTAATTAATTTAAACTAATATTATTAACTTTAATATAAACTAATTTATTAAAATTTAAAGTTATTATAAATTATAAATTATTTAGTTTTAATATTATTAAATATTATATATAAAGTTATTATATAACTTAAATAAATATAAAATTAATTAAAATAAGTAAAGATAAAGTTATTATTCCTTTAAAAGTTCTAACTTTACTTAAATAAATATCTATCTATTAACTCTACTATATTATAAATAAAACTACTTAAAAGTAGTTATTTAACTTATTATACTAACTTATTAAACTAAAAATAACTTTTAAATAAAGTAACGATACTTTATTATTATATATAATATTTAAATTTATAATTTTAATAACTTTATTATAAATAAAAAAATACTTATTAATAATTAAATTTATAATTATATAAAAATAAACTTTTACTTTAAAAATAGTTATTAATATTTAAAATAATTAATATATTTTAAAAAAATTAAAAGATTATAATCTTAATTTAAAAGAAATTAAAATTTATAAAATTTTAAATTTAAACTTAAAAGCTCCTTTAAATTTAACTCTTTTAAAAAAATATTAGAAAAGTTTAAAAAACTTAAATAAAGTTAAAAATTAAATAAAATTATAATAATATAATATAATTAAATAAAAACTAATTATAAAATTATAATTATAAATCTTTTAATTTTATATTTAAAAACTTATTTTTAATTATAAAATTATAATAATTAAACTTTTAATTTTATATTTATAAAATAACTTTAATTATTAATTCTTTTATTTTATAATATATTTTATATATTATCTTTTAAATATTAAATTTTAAATATTTATTATTATATAAATATATTATATATATTTTAAATATAAATAAAATGAAAGTTAAACTATTTATTATAATTATTTAAAATATAAAATTAATTAATTAAATTAATATATAATTAAAAATAGTATTTTAACTTAAAATAAATATATAATTATTAATTTAAAAATTAATTTAAATATAATTTATAAAAAGAATATAAAAATATAAAAAGTTTATTTTTATAAAAATAAAGTAATTAAATAAAGAAAATTATATAATATAAAAGAAAAATATAATATAATAGTAATATTATTATTTAATTATATAAACTTTTTTCTTTATATATATAAATAAATTATTAAATTCCTTTTTCTTCTTTTATAAACTTAATAAAAAAAGTTAAATCCTAATACCTATGTCGTCGTGTGTATAGAAGCTTTCTTAGCTAGACCCTTAGCAGCTGCGAGAACAATGCCCTCGGTTACCTTCTCCGGCATGCTCATGAAAGGGGAATGAGAGCTGTTCATTGTGTAAGAGACGTAGCCACTGGGGAACTGAGAGGCTATAGACTGTTGGGTTGCGAGTGGTAGGGCTTGGTCCTGCTCAGTGAAGAAAAATCCGACCTCGACACCATTGTTCCAAGGCTCATAAGTGTTGTCGTCAGAAAAGATACGGGCAGGCTCGTGCTTGAGTCCAGCAACGGCTTCCGCGATAAGGGTCTCGTTTGCCACATCCGCATAAAAGACCTGGGTTGCATTGCTGGCGGTGATGAAGTCTCCCTTTTGTAGTACCTCCGCGGTCAGTTTATCTTCATTTGCTAATCCAAGAGACAAAGAAGAGCGATAGATACTCACACTTGCATCTGGGGTCATCCACCATAAGTACTGGCCGCCGAGAGCGTCGAGAAGACTGGTCCGAGCTGGCGCTGCAAAAGCTGTCATCTATTCCCTGTTAATCATCCGCCCCTACAACCAAAATCTTGAACTGTGGGAATTTTCACAGCATAAATGATTCAGAGGCGTGCAGATACAAAGGCCATGCTTACATAAACTAACATGATGACCCCGTTCTCACCAAGTCCTGTTTTTGAACGATCTTTATATCCGAATCCCTCGACGGCAGAGGATGCGACTATACCGCCGTAGCTATGACACACCATCACGACATCCTTGCCGGCGTCTGTGAGCATAGCCAGCTCGGACGCAAGAGCAGCAGCATCCTCAGCGAGCCCAACGGAGGCATCAGTGTTGCCAACTGAAGGCAGCGCGACGGCCTCCGTAGAGTAGCCAAGAGCCTCGAGCTGAGACCTAACCGTGTCGAAGGCCCAGGTCCCGTGCCATGCGCCAGGTGTGAAGACGACGGTTGGCAAGATGTCACGCTTCGCAGGTGCTGCAAGGGAGGCCGTGACCATGACGGCGAGAGCGAGGTTGGCGAGATGCATTGTTGGCAGGTGCTCTACGAGAGATCGAGAGACAGGTGGCGTTAAAAGGAAGCTTCGCGCTAGGTATCTAGTTACCTAGGTAGGGTTGACTAATGAGCAGCGGCTCGGCACGAAAACAAGGAACAGACAGAATGCCGTGATGGACATCCAAGCGAGGCAAGGAGATTCCTGGGGATCTTCTTTCCATGATATACTCGGTGTCGTAGGTTCGTCAATGACCCGATTGTGATTTCAATGTCTCGCATCCGACAGATAACGAGCTATAACTTGGTAGGTCTGCTATAGGGTACGTTGATAAATATTCAACGGATGAGGAACTGAACCCCGAGGCTGATCGGGAACCCACCCTTCTGCCACGGAGATACAAGGTACCTCTTCCGACCAATTGAAGCAGGTGATCTCGTTCCTAACCCCTATACATGCAAACTGTATGTGGCGCCTTCATATAGTGGTAAACGCTGAGGACCTGGCCTTTTTTGTGAAAAGATAAATTCTAAAAACAGGGCAGAGTCAGCAAAATTCATCCAAGTAAAAGTTAGCAGTTGAGTATAAGCACACCGGAATAAACGGAGAAACACATTCCCAATTCTGCCGCTCATTCGCAACGGCGAGAAGTAGCTAAGATGTCAAATATAGGGCGAGCCTGCGAGGATCGTAAGCGAGCGCGGATGATCAACGTGAAGGACCCATGTCAGTGTTAGGATGGAACGGCAGAACGCCTACCTAGTCCCTGCAAAATCATAGCTGCGTCGGAACGGGCACCGGCTGTGGATCAATTTGTAGCCGCACATCGGATGCTGGTCGTCATTACTGAATATGCGGCCACATATGCACTCAAGCTAACGGATTCCAGCCGACGGTTTCAAGCTTATAAGGTGGCTAACGGGAATCACATTAGCTGTCACAGGACGAAGATACGAGAGGCGAAGCTCTAAGTCTTGCTTAAAATTATAGAATTCTAATAAAACTTAGCCTTGCTAATAATATAAGGAAGGAGGAAAGAAAGAAGCGGATAGTTCTAAGTCTAAAAAAGCAAAGGGTCTTAAAGGCTATAGGTAGACTATATATAGGCTATAGTAAGTTAGTACACCCTATAACGCACAACCCTACTAATATATATAAGTTATTTATATTAATATAATTAAAGTCACTTAACTATATATCTACTTTATAAGGGTATCTTTAATTATATAAACTTAAAAATTATATTAATTAACTTATTTTTTTATATATAATAGTATATCTCTTATTATTATAACTATAATTTTAGCTATTATTATTAAATATTAAGTTAGTATTAATTAAAATAAAGTAAATAAATTATATTATATTTTTTAATACTTATTTTAATATTATTTAATAAGTACTTTAATTTATAAAAATATTAATTTTACTTATTAGAAGCTATTAATTATATAAGAAAGTTTAATAATAAATTAAACCTTTATATAAAACTATCTCTTCTATTCTTCTATATATAAGTTTCTTTAATACTTTATAAGCTAAATTATTAATATAAACTAATTAATTAAAGTCTTTATTATTACTATAGGAAGATATTAAATATATAAGTTTTTAAGGAGAATTTTTAATAAAAACCTTTAAAGCTATTTAAATTAATTATAAATAAATAAATAGTATTATATTTAAGAGAGTAGCTAGTTTTTAATAGTTTAGTAATTCTAAAGGTTATTAATATACTTTAAAAGTTTTAAATTAACATTAATAAAATAGACTTTTAAGAAGGTAATAAGAATAATTATTTAGTTATTAGGTTTTTAAGAGTAGATTTATTATTAAAAAGTAGTTATTAATTATATTTAGTATATTATAATTAAAGTATATATAGGTAGTAGTAAGTTACTCCTTCTCTTAATTATTTTTATAATAAAATAGTTTAATAATAGTAATTTCCTTAAAAGATTTAATAAATTTAAAAATTAATACTTTATAATATTAGAAATAGGTTAAACTAATAACTTTATTAGTTTATAATAGTTAAGTTATATATAAGCCCTCTACTTACTTAAACAACTTTAAGTAGTAATAGGTATTAATTATTAATAGTTATAGGTTTTATATAATTAAGAATTTTATATAAGAATATTATTTATATTAAATTTAGCTTATTTTCCTTTTAGTATATACTTTTATATCCTTTAACTATTTAATATTAAAGTATTTTTAATTTAAAGTATTAATATTACTAATAATTAAAAATATTAATAGTTATTTATAATATAAAGTTTTTTATAAGAAGTTCTTTTATATATTTATTATATAGCTTAAAATAATACTCTAATAGTTAAATATATTAAAAAAGCTAATTAAAGATTAAAATTTAACTTATAAATTAAAATAAAGTCTTTAATTTAAGGTTAATATATAGAAATAATAACCTTATTACTCTTAATATTAATTAAAAGAGAAAACCTATTTTTATTAATAAGGAATTAGCTTTAATAAGTTTAAAGATACTTTATTTATTTTATTAGATATAAAAATTAAATCTAAGTTATATAGATTAAAGTTAACCTTTAAGTTATTTATAGTTTAATTTCTTTTATAAACTAATTAAAAGGCTTAATAAATTAATTATATATATAATAGCTATTAAAAGTAAGAGAGATATTTTATTAATATATTAAATTATTAAAAGATTTAAAAATATTATAGAGTCCTTTTAAACTTAAATAAAGTATTTATTAATATTATAATAGTTTAAAAGAAAAAAGCTTTAATAAAATAAAATATAGAGGTTAAGGTAGAGTTACTTAATAATAATAAGTTAAAAAGTAAAGATAAAGTTATTAAATTAAACTATATTATAATAGGTATTTTAATTATTAATCTATTATTATTAGCTTTAAAATAGTATTTATAGTTATTAAAAAATTAAGTATTAAAGTTAGGTAGTAATTTAGAAGGTATTTAAAACCTATATATGTGTTGGTGGGGTTGTGCGTTATAGGGTGCGCCAACTTAGGTATAAAGGGGTGCAACTAGATTCTAGCTTAGTTATTAGATTAAATAGTAGGTTTAGACCTAAGGCTAGTACCTTTAATCTAGCTATATAAAGCTAACATACCCGGCCTACATTCCGACCACCCCTTAATTCTAACTACTAACTTTTTAGTATAAATATACTATTAAGATACCTACTTTTAAAACTACTTTATTAAATTTAAATAAAATTTTAAAACTTTAATTCTAAACTTTATAAATAGTTTATTAATTTTATTATAATAAAAAAATATTATATTAATAATATAGGTATTTTAAAAATTAAAAAGAAATTTTTAAAGTAAATACTTTAAAAATATTAAAAATTATTAATAAAATACTAACTATTTATAATAAAGTTAATTAAAGTATTTATTAATTATATATTAATAATATAATTATAATAAAATTTTAAATATATATAAAAATAATAAATAAATTTATTTTTACTTATATTTAATTATAAAATTTTATTAATTATAATATTAAAATATTTATAATTTTTAAGAAATATTAATATAAAAACGTATATATTTATATTTTAAAAATATTATTAATATATATTAAATAAAAGTTTTATAAATTTAAATAATAATAATATTAATTAAAGTTTTTAAAAAAATTAAATTTATAATTAATTTATTTAATTAATTAGAATTAAATAAAGCTTATAGTAGAAAATATTAATATTAATATATAAAAGTCTATATACTCCTAATATTTTAAAATTACTATATTTTAAAATATTTTAAAAATATTAATATATAGAAAGTATTTTTAATATTTTTATATTATATTAATACTTTTAAACTATTTTTAAAATATAGAGTTAAAAGTTTTAAATTTTATTTAAATTTAATAAAGGAATTAGTAAAAGTAGGGTTTTATATAAAAAAGTAGTTAAAATTAAAAGTAGTTAGAATATAAGCTAAGTATATTATAACTTAATAACTAACTAATTATACTTTAATTCTATACTTTCCTCTACTTTATCTATTATATAAACTTAGTTAGTTATATAACTTAGTTTTAATTTAATATAATTATAATATTAACTTTTTACTTTAAATTATATAACCTTAATTAAATAATAATAATATTTTTAAAAGTATTTGATTTTTTATTTTTTTTATTATAAGAGGGGAAATAGAGATAAGGTAACTATCCTTAATATATTAATTTAGATTAAGATGGCACTACCTTTTATGTAAGGGGAAAGGTTTGAAGGGATTGCAGGGGGAAGGTTTAGGTCCTAGAGGGTGTGGGCGAATGGGCCACACTGGATGACTAAGCAGCAGGCAGCCAGTAGGGCCCCCAGTTACTCACACACACACACTCACATTTTTAATTTAAACTTTAATATATATATAAATATAAATATATAAATAAAATAATAAGTATTATTATTTTTATATTATATATATTTAAATATATATATAATATTTTAATTTAATTATTATTAATAAAACTTAATATTTTAAATAAAGATTTTAATTTAATTTAATATATAATTCTTTTTAATTATTACTTTAACTTTCTTAAATTTTAAACTAATATTCTATTATTATTTCTATATTATAAACTATTATTTACTAGATCTCTTTCTTAAAGTCACTAATTTTTATAACTTTAAGTTACTATAGGTTTCTTAATTTTAAGCAGCCCTTCTTTCCTAACCATAAATTAGCCTCTCTCAGCCACCACGATCCTCTCAGAGAGCGGTTCACCACTTTGGAATCTTGCTCGAGAAATCCGGATGAAATCTCTGCATGTATGTGGTGTCATCTCTCTTCTTCAGCCCACACTTCAGATACTGCTGATGCAAGGATTCGAGTCTTTCCCTGTCGAGTTCGATTCCGAGACCCGGGGCGGTTGGGCACACAACGCTTCCGTCCTCCCACTTGAGCGCTCCAGAAACTACAACATCCTCATCTCGTCGTTTCCAAGGCCAGTGAGTGTCGCATGCGTAGTCTAGGTTCGGTGTTGAAGACGCCAGATGCGTCACTTATCGTATCAAGTCAGCCGCTATATCATAGCCAAGTAAAGGATGCTTGTAGGAACATGCATGAATTGGGCGCCGCAGGCAGCCTTTGGGTTGCCGAAGCAGGATGTGATCTAAAACAGCTCACCGCCGCCCACACAATAGGCCACGCAGATAGAGGATGAGGTGCAATGAATGTTGAGTAGTGACTTACTAGCTGCCAAAGATATGCCCAAATGACTGTTCGAGTGCATCGATAAACGCATGCCCCACGTGGCACATATGCTTGCCAATGCCTTTGACTGACGCAAACCGCCCCAGAAATGGTGGTCGGACAAAACAATTTGGACTGCATCTTGTGCGATGGAGGCTGGGAGGTGATCAAATGAAACAACGGCCATGTTCGTTGCGAGTGGCATATTGGCCTCCTTGGCCACGGCAGCCATGCCTCCGATCTCGGGAGCTGGGTCCTCGAGATACTCGAGCATCCCATCCAGCTCTCTCGCCACCCACTTGGATGTCTCGACGCTCCATGCGGCGTTAGGGTCAAGCCTCAATGGCAATTCAGGGAATTCGGCACGCAATGCTTTGATAGCCTCGACCTCAACTTTGGGAGGAAACACGCCGCCCTTGAGCTTTATAGCTTTGAACCCATACTCGTCGATGATCTTGTGGGCTTGTTTGATTAATCCCGCGGGATCAAGAGCTGGACCGTACTCGTCATCTGGGTAACCCGGATGTCCACCCCATTTATAGAAGAGATAGGCAGAGTATTGAACGCGATCTCTTACGCGCCCACCAAGTAGATCACAAACTGGGACACCGGCAAGCTTCCCCTGGATATCAAGGCAGGCGACTTCAAACGGGGAAAAGACCTTCGCGGCCGTCGATGTCCCGGTCACCATCCCGCTCATGCCATCTCCACCGACGTTGCTGTCCGAGGCAAGTGATTCTACAACGGCTTGGTAAACAGCGTTTGTATTGTGGGCTTGGAGGCCTCTGATCTTGATAGCTGCTTGCCTCATTCGGTCCAAGTGGGCATGGTCGCCATATGATTCGCCAAGCCCATATATGCCATTACCAACGACGATCTCAACAATGCTCCTGAGTGCAAAGGGTTCGTGGACACCAACACTGTTCAGCAGGGGCATGTCGTGGAAAGCGACAGGGGTGATAACGATATCCACGATCAAGGTATGATTGGGTGAGGAGGCACGTTCTCCGCCATTTTTCTTGTCGTCGAGAGTCATCGCGTCTGTCGTGGATGTGTGCTTGCAACTGGATGTTGCTCAAAGCTGACCGGCCTGGGCGCACTGCTAGCAGGTCTTCACCCCAACAACTCTCGTATGCGAAATACGGCTGTAGTAAAGTTGTGTGCCCGATGATTGAAAGGACGATTCTAGACGCGATGGCTGTTCCAACAGCAATGATCCGCCGCACGGCTACTGAACACCAGAAGATGGCGGAAAAGCAATGACGGAAAACGCAGGCGGAAAAAGAGCACCGGAAAAGCAGGACCGGGACATTTGCAGACGGGGGGGAGGGGTTCGAGCCAACCGCCTTCAAGCTATTCAGGGAACAAGTCGGGGTCTAAAGATCCGTGGCGCGATTGAAGCCGTATCATTTCGGCCATCGTCTGCAGTCATGCTCACCTCGAGACCCCTTTTCTGATCAAGACCTCCACTATTGACAACAATTGGTGTGGGCTGAACTAACCGCCTAGAGTTTGAAGCCCCGACTCAGTGGAGTTCACGTCGTCAAAGCAATTTTCCTACCGTCCAACACAGCCTGGGACACTTGACCATTGGTCCATTGCTGGAGAAGGCAAGGTTCCCCGCAAAAGCCAAGGCTCCTTCGACACCTCCCCCAGACTTCCCCGGATCCCCTCATCAGCTTTTTGCGGAGATGAGCATTTACCCACTCGGAAGCCAGCCGCGTGTGCCAAATTCATAAATAATAATTATACCCATTGCTCTCATGTTGTATTCTCGCAGTTCTCTTACTCCTTTGTCAACGCACAGCCTTGTCTCTCTCGTGCTCTCACCCTTTGGAGCCGACGAATCGGTTTCATCATGTCTCCCAAATCATCGTTGGACAAAGAGGCCGCCTTGGGTCATGTCGAGAATCTTGACGGGGTCCCTCAAGTGATTGAGGTTGATGGGTTCAGAGTTCTCGGGCTCTCGCCAGACGATGCGGACTTTTACAGGAACTTTTCTGAGGAAAGGAGGAAAAAAGTACTGCGCAAGGTGAGCAGACACTTTCCTATCTTTCGGGACTGCAGAGTACTGACAGAGCAATTTACCAGGTCGATATTAGACTCGTCCCCATGCTAGCAGTCCTGTACCTGATCGCACATATCGACCGGGCCAACATCGGCAACGCCAAGATCGAAGGCATGGTCGAAGAGCTGAACATGACCGGTGTGCAGTACAACACAATCCTGGCCGTTTTCTTTATACCTTATGTCCTTTTCGAAGTGCCTAGCAATATTTTGCTGAAGAAATGGGGCCGACCCTCATGGTATCTGGGTACTCTGATTACCATCTGGGGTGTCATTATGACACTCACCGGCGTCGTCCAAAATTATGGTGGGCTCATGACAACGCGTATCTTACTCGGTGTCTTTGAGTGAGTGCATGACTTCCATACTTTTTTTCGTGTTGGATGCCACCGCTAATCGTGGAACATGACAGGGCTGGCTTCTTTCGTACGTAAAGCTTTCTTTGCCCGTGCCCTCCCACGAGGCTCTCCAAGGGGGGCAGGGGGGGGCCTCGTGATCTTTCCATTCATTGCTGACTATTACGCGCAAAAGCTGGTGCAATTTACCTGTGCTCCTACTGGTACATGCCTAAGAACTTGGCCACACGCATCTCCTACTTCTACTGCGCGAGTGCACTGTCCGGCGCATTCTCGGGTCTCCTAGCAGCTGGCATCGCAAAGATGGATGGCACGGGAGGATACAGCGGATGGCGTTGGATTTTTATACGTATGTCTCCCCAGTCTGACTTGAGGTCTTCCTCGCATTCCCCTGCAAAAGGAATTCAATGAAGGGTATGGTTATCCCTCGACGGAAGTCCTGCACGCTGACAGTAAAACAATACGCAGTTGAAGGAATTATGACAGTCTTGCTCGGAATCGCCTGCTTCTTTTGCTTGATCGATTCCCCCAAACGTGGAAAGCGGTGGCTTGACCCAGATGAGATCCGATTCCTGGAGCTTCAGATGTTCATCAAACAAGGTGGCAAATTCCAAGAGGAGTCTGGCTTCAAGTTGAGGGACCTCAAGATTGTCTTGATGAACTGGCGATTGTACCTACAGGCCTGGTTCTTGTTCTGCCAGTCGGCCACATCCTATGGTGAGAAATTGGGAACCAAACACTCCTATGCCTGCCCCTCCCCCCAACCTCCCGGGAAGTGGATTGGCAATCGTTTATCCTAACAAATTCCTCCAGGTACCAAATTCACCATGCCTACTATAACCAAGGTTATGGGTTTCTCGACGACGAACGCTCAGCTCATGTCGGCACCGCCCTATGTTGTCGGTGCCATCTCGTCCATCACATTCGCTCGCCTGTCTGACCATTTCTACTGGCGGATGCCTTTTGTTGCCATTCCTATGTCAATGCTTGTCATTGCTTATGCCATCATCATATCTTTCCACGGTGCACTGTCTGCCAATTTGGGTGCAGCTTACTTTGCAGTCTGCCTCGTCTGCGCTGGAATCTACCCCATCCAGCCAGCTGCTGCGGCGTGGAACGCAAACAACCTCGCTCCTGCGACGCGGCGGAACATTGGAGTCGCCCTCATGAATGCAGCAGGAAACTGTGGCGGCATCGTTGGAAGCTTCATGTTCATTGACAAGGAGAGCCCGCAATACTACACTGGCTTTGGCCTGGGCCTGTCATTTGGTGCTACAGGGTTGTTAGTGTCATTCCTCCTGGAGATGATTTACAAGTGGACGAATGCCCGCAAGGCTAGGATTTCGGAGGCGGAGGTCCGGGCGAAGTACACTGAAGAAGAACTACTTGACATGGGTGACAAGTCGCCTCTGTTCAAGCATGTCCTTTAAATGTTGCCTTAGGGCTGTCATGAGTCTACTATGCCATGTTGTTTGATAGTGTTTATAACAAGGCCATGAGCCCCGAGAGCTGGGGAGATAACAAATACTTCTTCACCTGTTCCGTTGTGGCCGCTGGGGTCCGACAATTGTGGTTTTCATATTCACTGTTGCCACTTACCTGTTATTATTGCAGCATAATGGAGGATTTCAGCAAGTACAGCTCATCTAATCCCACAAGCGGACGCTTTTGAATGAATTTGGACATCCGCGGCCGCCCGTTACGAGGAGCCAGAACCAACAATTAGCGAACCTAGTGAGAATGGGACATACGAGCTCGAAGGTGTTTTGTCTGCAACGACTAGATGGTATTATGTGTAAGACGTGTTTGATTTGGCGCCCTAGTCTACTGTACATTCCCACATTTCATCAACCTTAAGGTTCAATAACGAAGACCATCTCCGAATCGGAACACCGGTGCATCTGTGTCAAAGGGGACATCTTCAAAGTTGGCTTCAACTGCTTCCATGGAACTGGGAAGGTCGAAGGGAAGCTGACCTTCCGGTTGACTCTTGCCAAATATGACATCCAGGAATGCTTCTGGACCACTACCATAACTGCCGAGAAGTGCGGCCGCTTGCTCTGCAATTTCCGGGATGACGGCTGGACGATCCAATTTCACGTCCACGATACTGGGGACAGTCGAGTAAATACCAGCTTGTCGTTGCTGCTCCGTGGTGTTGAAAGAGAGCGAGCCCGCGTGATATCGTGCCTCAAAGCCTCCAGGACGCGGTTCGAAGGGAGCATTATACCGTAATAGAGCGTAGTCGGCTTCTTCAGGAGTAGACACGACGGTCAAGTTCCTCGCCTCCAGGTACGTCGAGTTGAAACCCTCAATATAGAACTTGGACCTAGATACGTCCGTGATAGGAAGAACGTTGTCGCGATTTGTAAGAAGAGTGTAGGCTCGGCGCTGGGCGTCATTTCCGAGTTTGACGAAGTCCGGATTTCCGACTACGCGCTGAGCAGCCTCAGGGTCGACGTACGGATTGTCGAAGAGGCCGAGAACAAACTTCTCTCGCAACAACCGACGGACAGAATGGTCGAGGCGCTCCTCCGAGATAAGGCCTTCTTCGACAGCTTGGACAATCAATTCTGTTCGGTTCTCTCCGCCGAACTGGTCACAACCGGCGTCCAAGATTCTCACAACACGTTCGATCTCGGTTGTGTTCTCGAGGCCCCAAGCTCTTGCCGGCCTAAAGTACTCAGAGTCAGCTAACAAAGCGTTCATATGAATAGCGATACAAAAGGGGTCGGTAAGGGCCACGGTGCGGCCACAACTTGTGTCCACAGCAGAAGCCTGATAAGTCCTCTGACTTCCAGGCGACAAGCCTTTCCCAAGGGGTCGAGACGTTATTAAAGACGGTGCTTACATATCTTGCCCCAGAATATTTGTATCCGTGATCAAACCCCAGTCTGTGACAACGATGCCTTCGAAACCGAGCTCCTCCTTGAGAAGGCCTGTGACAATTTGCGGGTTGAAAGAAAAGCCTATAGGATCATACTGGGTGCCAATGGGCCTCGAGTAGTAGGGCATCATTTGTCTGGCACCGACAGCAATTGCGGCTTTGAATGGGATAAGGTGATGCTCCAAATTGTCTCCCGGGTAAGTCTGATTCTTTCCGTATGTGAAGTGCGAGTCTTCGCCGTTCTCCATTGGTCCACCACCGGGGAAATGCTTCGTAACGGTGGTCACAGAGCGTGAACCAAACTCCTTGCCTTGGAAGCCTTCGATATATGCCACGATAAGCTCGGAAGTAAGGTTGGCGTCCTCGCCCCCTGATGGTGACGTTAGTCCTGCTATGGGCCTAGAGTGTTTTATTCCAGAATCCAAAACATGAAAGACGCGGATCCGCAAAAAGTGAAAAGTGATGCCTACAGGTATTTCCAATACGAGCCCATCGGGGTTCGGTGGAAAGATCAACTTGAGGATGCAAGGCCGACCTGAGACCCACAGCCAGGTATTCTTCGCGTGCTGTCTCAGCAAATTTCCTCACCAATTCCGCGTCTCGGATAGCGGCGAGGCCCAAACTCTCGGGCCATTGTGAGAATGTCCCTGCTTCAAAGCCGGTCCCGATGTTGTCCGTGAAGGAATGTCGCGGGTCCCTATCTGTTACGTTAATTCTCTACGCATCCTAAAGCGTTGTATTCTAGAACATCCCTATGCATGACAGACGGTGACCCATGCCAGAAGAAAAGTGAGGCTTACGAGGATAACGTGATAGGTATCCCAAGACGACCGCCAACGGCTCGCCTTTGGGCCTCATTCACGTACTCGGCAACCTTGCCGGCGTCCAGGATGTTACCAACTAGGTTGAAATGTGATATCAAGTTTCTGGTGATGAGGATATCGGATGCGCTACCATCCACGAAAGAATAGTTCGAGGGCATGTTCAGCTGAGTGTGAAACATTTGTCCGGCTTTCTCTTCCACGGTCATCCGCTGGAGCAGGTCTTCGACCCTCTCGTCAATGTGATAGGAGGCATTCTTGTATATGGCAGAGGTCTCGCCCGTCTGGCGATATCCTACTTGCCGTCCATCGTAGTGGGGAACTGATGAGGAGAGCCCGCCTGCTGAAAAGACTGCAGCGAGAAGGATAAGTTGAGCGCGCCGATGCATGGTGCTGCTACCCGTGGACTTTTGAAGTGTGGGATGTTGCGGCGTATCCTAACTCAACTGAAGTGCAAGAACGGGATTAAATATGTTGCCAGCGCAGCCGAGCCCCGTCGACCAACACCAACACTCTTGATTGTAGCACAAACTGATAGTTGCTCAAGCTCCGGGTAGCGAATAGTGACGAACCGAAGCAACGGTCATCCGGAAATTAACCGGTGGCGGTGGACTGGAAAGAGGCCATTACGAAAATTTCGGGGCACCACGAGATGCCAAGCGCGACGCCGGAATAGCCGGTGGCTTCAAAATCTATCTGACTGCCCAGAGGGCGGAGTGATCATGACATATGTGCCGATGTATCTTGACAGAACTGCCGACCCCCAGTAGCCAAGCTTTTTCGTCACCGCCAAGTTTCGAGTCCCCCACACAGAATGGTCGGTGATGATCTTGAGGCCTAGTCTTAGCCAGGCCCGTGTCGAGGTGTAGATAGGTTGCCAAGAGCCGAGTTTGTGGAGAAGTGGAGAGATCTGGGGAAGACGGCGTTGAAGAGCCGAAATACGGCCGATCAGTGAAAATATCAGCGTGTCATGCGAATGGTCGGCTTGGCTCGTTGTTACTGATCAAACAAAGAGCCTTTGGCCAGGGTCTACACTGGAAATCTGCTCTGGACAGCTATCAAGCAATTTTTCACTTCATCCTCCATCTCCACTGAATTAAGAACACTTCTTTATATAGTAATAGTATAACTATTTATTTAATGCTTTATTACTTAATAAAAAGATTATAATAACTAATTTACTAAATATTTTTTAATATAATATAAATAACTTATATTATTAATAAAAAAAATTATTTATTATATTATAATTATCGTTATTAATATTATATTCTTTTTAAACGCTAAGTTTTAAATACTTATTATTATATAAAGGCGCTATATATATCCTTAAATATATATAGAATAGAAGTGAAATTATATTAATAAAAATTTAAAATTAAAATTTTATAATTATAAATATTAATAATAAGTAAGGATTAAAATTTAATTTAAATTAATAAAGTAAATTTAAAAATTATAATTTTTAAAAACGTTTTATATATTTTATTATAATTTAAATATTAAAATAAATAATTATATTTATTATTTATTTTTAATAAATAATATTTAATTATATTAATATACATATTATATTACTTTATTTTTTAAGTTTTTTATAATAATAATAATTATCTTTTAAATATTATTTAAAATTATTAATATTAATATTATATAATTTATACTTATTAAATACTTTAATTTAAATTATTAATTATAATTTATATTTATATTAAACTATTAACTTTATTTAATTTATCGTAAATAAAAAAGTATTAATTTACTATCGATATATTAAAATATTAATTAAGGAAAGATTTTAATAGGTAATCTAAGGGGCCTAGCAACCTCTATACTATGGTCTTATGCTCCGCATCCATGCCACTATCGCTTGCCATTTCCACCATTCATCGTTTTCAGAAGGATTAGGAACTTCAACCTCAAAGGCCGCAGTCTGCTCACATAAATGTTCTTCGGCGATATTAGCCAGAACGACATAAAGGCGAGGGAATAACCTCATCGTTTCCGGGAAGGTTTCATGTCGAACTAAGAATCCTTGCTTAACGGTTAAGAGGTTAACGCGATCTGTGATTTTCTGAAACATGGAATCACGATAATCATCATGAGCTCTCAAGTGTTCAGTGAACTCTGGTTTTAACGCCCTGGGTTTGAATGAAGCGTCATTCAGGCTCCGCAGTTGGTACAAAATATCTTTGCGAATGGTGATTTGTCGACCCAAATCCTTATCATCAAGATTCAACTCCCCGCGAAATTCCGGTGTCGTGCCATCTTGGAGCTCAGTTTCGAACTTGAGTCTGTCCCTGAACGCAGTTGGCGATGCTGTGCAGGGTTTTTCTCCCACTGCATACTTTAGATCCCTTTGGTCTTTCTTTTGGGGACCGAGTTGGTCGGTCATGCCATTTTGTGACGTGGCCTTCCGCACGTTAGTCACCTACAGCGGAACATATATGATTGCGTTCCTGATTGTTTCGAAATCTGAGGAACAGGGACCCACAACTCGGAAAGGAGATCGCTTACAGTGGGGAGACCGTCTCGTGAGGCGGCACCAGGAACGTCGACATCAGAAAACTCGATTGTAGTGGAGCAGCCTTCATTCCAAACACATCCTGCTTCGATGCTGGGGTTTGATGGAAGGTCATCTTCACTTTTCGTAATAATGAAGCTGTTGTCCTTCGCACAACGCTCGAGACCTCCGGACTGGCTCCAGGAACAGCTGACTTCATCTTTATGGGCAATTAGACGCTCATTGGCATGAAGAAGTGGTACCGCAACTGCCACCTCAGCCACAGCCAGGAGAAGATGTCCTTTGAGCATTGTGGTAGATCCGTGGCGAAAACCTAAGTACCGACTTAAGGCTTGAGAGTGGAGAGGTGGTCACCCTAACTGGCTTGTGATAACGGGGCTTGGGAGTGCGTTTTGGGCTGAGAATTGATGAGTGAAGGTCCGTAAGACGTTTGAGCTGATATTTGCCGTGATTAACCCAAAAGATGCAAAAGTAGTTCCACTGTAGGATAATAAGATTCAAATTATGCTACTGGCAATTTGCCGTAGTTCTTGTGAAGGACTGCCAGGCACGGACCTGATCCAGATGCTGTGATCTTCTTCGGATTTTGTAAACAGAAGTTGGCCAAGTTAGGAGGAAGCAGAATAGGAGCAGAGGTAAGGCCACGCAGTCAAAGCTCGGGTATTTGACTTGTCTAGATTAGTGCTATACGCCCTTTAGTGATTTGTGGTCGGGCTTTATCTGAGGGTTTGGCGTGTTCATCGCGTGACACAAAGCGGCACTTAGTTTAAAAACTTCTGTCTACGAGTCACGAATGATGGACATGTGCTGATGGCAGTTATACCCTGTTTCTCGCACAGACAAATAGTATTGACCGCATGGTTGGGCTGTGAAGTTAGGGTGTATAACAATGGACTAGCACGCAATTCGTACCATTTGCATAACGTAAGGTGCCGGTGGCTAATAGTGGACGTAGCTGGTTTCGCTTCTATTCCGTACACGTCCGAGGACATCCATGGCGCCTTCATACGGTGGGTGGACGTAGAGGGGATTGTATTTGTAGCGTCCTCGATGAGCACTCTCACATCGTTCTGGCTCCGTTAGAAGAGTCTAAGCACCTGGGCAGGGTTACACGAATGAGAAGTGATGGAGAGATGGAGTACAACATGGAAGAGTGTGCCAGTCTGCCCTGCAGCAAGATGTATGTTGGAAGGTTCTTTTTACGGGAACAAGCATAGAAGCACAAGTCAAAAGAAGACATATGAAATCGGTACGTCGCGGACGCCATAAGTCAAAATACTCTCAATATGTACCTAGTGAGCTCTGAGCTTCAGGTTGCTTAATGGTTGGAGTGGATTCTACGGACACGTCACATTGGCCGTCATATTAGCCTCTAGTCGCTAGCCTGGTGTCCTTAGTACCTAGGTAGCCCCAGCAAGAATTGTAACTTTTCAAAAGTTAAGTAATTTTCAAGTAAAACTCAGAACGTAATCATAGACTAAGCCAAATATAAAATGCTTGCAGGACGGATTTGAACCATCTCTTCAACAAGCGTGTCATTAGCTGGGTTATTGATAGATCTGGGAGCAAGAGGTAGAGGCTCCTTGTCTATCTAACCCCATACACGTCACTCGATGATGAGCACTCGTCAGTACAGGAGACTAGTAGCTAGTCCCAGTCTGCTAGGAAGGTAATAGAGCAATCCTGGACTGGTTCGTCCGTCATCCTAAGTATTTCTATGCACACGTCTGTTTTGACACATCACATGTGCGAATAACACACAAGGCCAACCCCCTAAAGTTATACTGACTTGTAATTTAGTTGAACATGTGTAGGAAACTTAACTTATCGACTAAACCATTGGCAACCTTTGTAAAACCTCATCAAAAGTCTTGTTCAGAATGCGAGATTTGCAACTTGACCCAGCTCGAGAAAGGTTTATGTAGGTAGGCTAATGTTGTGACATGGAAGATTACCAGCCTGGATAGTAATAGTGTGGGCACTGAAATAGCATACCAAACAAGAATTGGAAATAAGTTAAGGGTGAAAGTGTTGTGGGTCTTTTCTTTTCTTCTTTCTTTTCTTTTTCGTATTCCCTCCCTTTTCTTAAGTTTCGGCGCGTTGGTATTTGAATGAGTGAGTCCCAAGTTCATCCTTTTAAGTCCAGTAGACGGTCAATCTGGATTCTTTTATGGTGCAAGAGGTAACAAAAATTGAAGTAAACACAAGGTACAGCAATCCCGATTGAGTTCAAAGAGAGGAACACCGCCGCAACCTGAAGTAAAGTTTCATACAATCACTGGTCCGTTTAATCCTCTTCGTTGTACCCTGGCTTACCTCGTCTCATGGTCGGAGGAGAATATCAAATAGCCCGACCGGACTTCATGCAGCTCAGTAGATTTTGGAGTTTCTCCAATCTTGAACCTCAAAAGGAGTGGCACGCTTTTGGACTCCAGGACCAACTGTATGAAATGGGTCAGCGTATGATCACAAAAACAGCCACCATCCACCCAAGCAGGCCAACTTTGTTCGATGCTCATGGTTTAGACGAGCGCCAATGAATGCAGTCAAACGTGCTTACCGAGTTCGTTCTGCTCCATGTCAAAACAAAAGGTGTTGTTCCGGCGCGGATTATGGGCTCCAGAACACACAGGATGGATAGCTTTCGCCTTCATGTCGCCTGGCGGTGACGTTAGTCGCTATGGGTCCCAAAGTGTTGTATTCGAAAATATACCAAAACATGAAACACGGGGACCCGAAACCAGTAAATTGGATTCTTACAGTAGTAGCCATGCTCAGGGTTCACAAAATTTGGCCCAGCTGACGATTTGGACTCGCAGAGGCTCCGGGCAGTGTGAGAAGGCAGATCATCTATCACGAGCATATTGCTGTACTTCTTGTCAAAGGCAAGCTTTGCTTCTGCAACCGATCTTCGAGGCTTGTTACGTTTGCGAGGAGGTGTTTGCTCTGAGTTGTACACTCCAGCGGCCTCAGCATCGTTTCGTTTGTGGATCACGATGTGCGCAGGGTCCAGGTGTTGATCTGTTTGGTAAGGTATTTCAGCATATTTTGAACTGTTTCTTCCACAGCGAATTTAGCTGGTGTTAATCGTGAACAAGACTCTTCTCCTTTGTAGAGATCACCGTGGTCCTGGTCTCAGTTCTCCTCATGCAAAGAATGGGGAAGGTCGTTGTCATGTAACGCATTACTTTACTTACAAATGTGGAAACTTGGTGAGTGACACATATCATAAGCCTTCTTACCAACACGATTATCGTCTTCGAGTGGTTTCATATCAGGCCAGTTAACCTGAAACCTTTCAGCGTTTACCACGGTGGGGAGGAACCAAACACGATCGGGGTGAAGCGGACCTGAAAAGCTGTGGCAGGCTGACTGCCATCTTGATCTATCCACAGGCAGTTGGGCTATGACTCGGACTCCCCGGTCCCAATGTTAGGCATAGATGAAAGTGATGGAAAGCTGAAGGATTCACTGACAAAGTGTTCAGTCCCAGGGATAGCAATTTTGCTGACTGAACTTAAGAGTTAGCTAATTCCCCTCGGTCGCTTAAAGTCACAATGGCCGGGGGGGGGGCCTGAACGTTGTCCAGTGCTGCAAGGAAGGAAAAAGGAAAAGAGAAAAAAACTCACAGTACCATGTGGCAATTGTTCCGTCGTCGCCCTTATTTATCAATGATGTTAGTTCTCTGGCAGGGAGCACAAATCGTTGCATTTAAGGGCACATCGAAACATCAGAGTCAGAGCATACAGCACACTCTTGTCCCCAGTCACCGACCCAACCGAAATGGCGATCCATATTTGGCCAAGACGCAGTGACAAATGCTATACATTGTGCATCTGGGTTGGCACTAAATAAAGTATAATGTGGTTGCCGCCCGTCCGTTCCGGCCCAAAAGACCTGCGACTGACCAGAGGGGAGGTAGCTATTTCGTCTTCGATTAGCCCCTATCGCTCTGTTTCGGATACCATTTGGAATGCTCGACAGAAGAATATTCGATGCGATCCGTCAAGGTTGGACTCACGTTCCGGGGTCGAATGCATGTCCGATTTTATGCCCTTGCTGGTCGAATACTACAGCGTCAGAAGTTAGCTGAATTGGCTCGAGAGACGTAGAGTAACATAGGTAAAATAAGAAATTGATCTCAGACGCTTGTTGCGCCAGAAAGAGTTTAAATTTCACGCGGTCAGCAATGCGACTGCCAGTGATGGACTCGGCAAAAGTGATTGTCAGCAAAGCAAGAATATCGCCCAGGACCTACTTACATCTGACATCAGGGAGTTCGCCACCAGCTCCGCTCAATCCGCCGTGGTCCAGACCTGTCTGCTGCGTTTTAACGTCCATGAATATTCCCAGAGGTCATCTGTCCCCAAAGGTATGGATTGAGGTATCATAAGTGGAAAATAAATGGTACTGACATATAGCTTGAAGAAGGTATTCTTGGTAGTCCCTGGAAGATTTGGGAAGCCGTCCCGTGATAAGGCATGGTCATCGAAATTGAGAGTTCCAAGGAGGCCTGCGTTGAGAGCCCAGGTAGTCCCCATGTTGAAGATGTCTGTCAAGGGGAGGTCTTCAGTGGAGGTATGAAGGGTCCAATGCTGGATTTTGTTTGGCTTTCCCCCTAAACGCTGGGTCTTTAAGCATTTACTTCTTTTTGAAGGCGCCGCATATTGTTATATGTATAGGGATTAGAAATGAAACCATTTCACATGTCTATGGCCTGCACTAACCGTTCCGTATGGCTTAGGTATTCGTATGTCTAGGGCCGCCGCTTGTCTAGACGGCTAAAGGCTTTCGACCGGCCTAGTAATCAAGACTATATCGAAAATAGCAAGCTTGCGGCAAGTTAGTACCTAACGGTGCCATCTGAACACACGACTCTAGTTTCACATAGATAGTTTAAAGGATACCTATAGGTAGAGCACTAAGACTAATAGAAACTATCCTTATATACCTACTCCTAATAAATAACATTCTAAAGTATATACCTAATTGTCACGGTACGGTACCGTAGGGCACTTATATACTGTGTGGAATTTAAGTCCTCGACTTAAAATTCTAATCTTTTAACCGAGCGGTTTTTTATATACTTAAGTATATAATCTTTAAATTTATATAATTAATAATTTAATTATTTTTATAATTAAATTATATTATTAATTAATTAATTTAAATATTTAAATATAAAGATTTTATTATAAAATAAATATATTAAAGGTTTTTAATTTTATAATTATATTAAAAATAAATAGTTAAAATTTTAAAGAAAATATAATATAATATATTTTAAAAGTTATTTTTAATTATATTTATTATATAAAACTTTTATAATAAATTTATAATTATTTAAAATATTATTCTTTATTAAAATAATCTTTTATAATAATATATTAAGTTATATTTAATTTATTTAAATTAATATATTAAAAGTTAAACTTATTATAAATTATACGTTATTTAATTTAATATTAATATATATTAAATTTATTGTATAATTTTAATAAGTTAGTTAAAATAAATAAAAATAAAATTATTATCTTTTAAAAGTTTTAATTATATTTTATAAATAAATATTTATTAAATAAAATTATTTAAAAGTAGTCACTTAACTTATTATATTTTAAATTAAAAATAATTAAATAAAATAATTAAAGTTTATTATTATAAATTTAAGTTTATAATTATATAAAAGAAAACCTTTTAAATAAAAGCTTTTATTATTTAAAATAATTAATATATTATTTTTAAAAATAAAATATTATAAAATTAATATAAAGTAATTTAAAATTTATAAATACTTTAAATTTAAACTTAAAGATTTTATTTAAATTTAAATATTTTAAATCTTAAATAATTAAATAAGTTTAAAACTAATTAAAAATTAAATTAAAAATTAAATTAAGTTATAATATAATAAATAAATTATATAAATATTAATTAAAATATTATAATTATAAGTTATATAATTTAAATATTATTAAATATTATATATAAATTTATTATATAAATTAAATAAAGTTTAATTTAAATAAAATAAAATAATTTATTAAAAGTTTATTCTTATTATTCTTATTATTCTTATTATTCTTATTATTCTTATTATTCTTATTATTCTTATTATTCTTATTATTCTTATTATTCTTATTATTCTTATTATTCTTATTATTCTTATTATTCTTATTATTCTTATTATTCTTATTATTCTTATTATTCTTATTATTCTTATTATTCTTATTATTCTTATTATTCTTATTATTCTTATTATTCTTATTATTCTTATTATTAAATACTAATAAAATATAGTTAATATTTATAATTTAATTTAATAGCTACTTATAAGTTATTTATAGTTACTTTAATTAAGTTATAGTGATCCTACTATAAGATAGCTTGTAATATATTTGTTAGCGTAATTAATTATAGGTCGCGTTTATAGCAAAGCTCTGACATCTTCATGCAAACCTGGCATTCCTAGGCGATACTATCGAAGTTGCTCGAGTCCGCTGAGTGCTCGGCACTATCAGCTTGGTTTTTAGGGTGTTCCTTCATAGGCTCTTCATTGGGACTATGACCCTGGGAAAGACAGCGATTACTATTAGACATCAGTACTATCCGTGCACGGACAGTGACGAGAAATGACCCCCTCATGCTAAGGGCCACTTGGCACTCATAGGTTTGCACAGACTATCGAGCCGAGCAGACGGTCGGGCCTAGCTGCAGACGTAAGGCGATGGAGTACCTCAGTAGTCAAATCCATTAGCAGTCTCACCTGCCTTGTCTTGACTAGGGAGATTCATTGTCATCTATATTGGCTAAAGTACTCATTTTGTGCCCACGGAAAGTAGTTGGCGTTATATCGGTCAGATACCACCTCCGAAGGAGAGTAGGATGGCTGTGGTCGTTGAATTTCCGGGCCTGAAAATGTCTCTTTGTCGTAGCCGTAGTTTTCCTCCTCCGAGAAGTGATAGCCCGCATGATACTTGTGCGTGTCTCGTTCCGTGAACTCAGGGTACTCGTCTGTGCGTGATCGCCACCATTCCTCACCGCGTGACCGCGGGAAAGGGCTTTGGGAATCACTGTATGATCTCCAATATGATTCCCCATAGTATTCTCCCCTATACGTTCCGCCGTCGTAGCCAAGATCTGTTTCCTGATCACCTTCGGTGTGTCGTGTACCATCCCAAAAGATTTCTCTGGCCGTCTCATGCTGGCATGTGCCGTGTCCCTGGTCGTCGTTAATTGAGGAATCTATATCTCGGAGTCAAATATTAAATATTGTCACCCTACCATCACGTAACCAGCTGGCATCGACTTGTTCGAAGTGCTGTCTCTTATTGGGGATTCCAGGCGGCGCCCTGACAAGTATGTTAAATCTTCCTTGTCCATCTCCTCGTCACCGTTGCGTCGTCTCTTGCGTGTGAATGGGACCCTCCAAGGACAACAGAACAAATCGCCGAGAAATCTTGTGACGGGCGCGAACAAAAAAAGCAGCGCTGCAAGAGCAAGGAAGCCGAAAAATGCAGCACCTGCAATGGCTGGGATGTTCAGATCAGTCATTGCAGGCTGCTTCACAGTCCAGCTGTATCCGCCGTGTGCATTTCAACCAGGATTGTGGGGTCCGCGAGACTACATATAGAAGCGCACCCGACGATCGAGACACAGGTTAGAGAATTTACAACATTGTACAGGCTAAGCTTCGGGAAACGCAAGTTTTAAGACTACCTGCGTGTGGCACTGCTCTGTTGGTAAAACCTGAAAAGTTGCAGCACTGCCAACGCCGCGTTTGAGATTAATGAAACTCGCCAATCGGGCTGCAAGCTGAGTTGCAAGGGGGACCCCAGGTCGGCCCACAGATCGCCATAGGCATAATGAAGCTTATTTGCAATCTTCGCGCCCTTAATTATGCGGGGTTCAGATGATCATAGTCGGTTGGATGAACTTGCTCGTCCAAATGCCCGTTCTTGATTTAGACCAGACTCCAGATGCTTGGCATGTATAGATATCCTTCCAATAAATCTTTACCGCCAAGGAGTAGGGGCCTCTGGTTAGAAAATCCATTCCTATAGTAACACTACTTAAAATTACTAACCTATTAAGGACTAACTTCTTATTTAATAAAATATATTACTATAGTATATATTAGTTATTTAAACTTTTTATTAGCTTTATTTTTAACTTTTTTTTTAATATTATCTTTATTAAACTATATTTAATATATATTATATAGTTTAATAAACTCTTTTAATTAATTTATTTTTCCTTTAATATATTTATTATTATTTTATATTTAATTATTTATTAAATATATTAAAAATTTTTAATAAAGTTTATAAATAAAATAATTTAAAGTTTATTTATACTTTTATTATACTATTTTTACTTATAGCTTTAATTTTAATACCCCTTTATATATTATCCTTTTTTAATTTAAGTTAAATAGACTTAATTATATTTAAATTAAAAGAATTTTATATTAAAGTAAGTATTTAATTTAATAGATTAAAAATACCTTTTTAAATAAAGTAAGTATATAATAAAACTTTATCTTTTATATAATTACTTTTAGCTTTAATTTCTTTATAAATAAAAGAGTTTATTAAATAGAATATATTTTTAATAATAATATTAATTAATCCTTTATATTTTAATTTATATACTAATTTATTATTCTTTTAAACTATTTTAGGTATATTTATAAATTTATAAACTTTTTTATAAATAATAGTAAAGTATTAATCCTTATTTATTTATTATTTTACTTTATAAAGTAGTTTATTTTAAGTATTAAAGACTTTTAATACTATTTTAATTTCTTTTTTAAAAAAGTTTTAATTTATTAAATATAATAAGGATTTTTCTTTTATAAAAGTAAACTTAAAATATAAATTTAAAGTACTCTTTTAATACTTTTAAATAGTTAACTTTAAAATCTTTTATTAAACTTCTTTTAAATATAATATCCTCCCCTTTTAATTTATAAGATAATTAATATTTTATTACTTTAAATTATATTTTTAATTTTTAAAGTCTAGTATTAATAGTTTAAGTATTATTATAAATAAATAGTTTTATAACTTTATTAAGGTTAAACTTCTTTATTAGCTTTATCTTTTTAAAATCTTTATTCTTAAAGATAATATAAATAATATTTTATTAATATAATTACCTAACTAATTAGTAATATTATTACTTAAAAGCTTTTATTATATTAATTTTTATTAATAATTTATAAAACCTTCTTCTTTTTAATCTTTTAAATAGGTAACCTATTTATTTATTATTCTTAATATATATATTAAAATTATAAATTACTAAATATATAAATTAAATTTATAATTAATTACTTTATATTATATATTTTATTAAGTATATATTAATATATTAATATATTTTTTAATTAAATTATATTAATACTTAATTATAAAAAGAGTTAGAATTTATAATTATATAGTAATTAAATACTTTATAGTTAAAATATTAGAAAAAAAATAATAAAAAGGAGTTTTTTAAGTTAAGAAAAGATAAATCCTAAGTTCTTATAGGTATTCTAATTAATATAGTTCCCCTTATAGAAAATTGGAAATTAAAGGAGTATAGACCGTCTAAACTAGGGCCCCCTGCACCTTGGCGGTAAAGACTTATTGGAAGGACCTCCGTACTTATGCAATAAGAATTATATCTATCCTACAATAAAGAAATTTAAATGTTAAAAACTCCCTTACTAACTAAGCTACTCCTTAAAAGATAATAATTTATATATTTTTAATTTAAAGTAATATTATAACTTAAATAATATAATTAATAAAGTTATTACTTTTAAATAATTTTATAATATAATAAAGTAATTAATTCTATTTATATTATAGAAAAGTATATTAAATATAATATAATTAAGAATATTATTAAAGTTAATATATTTACTACTTAGAGTATTATTATTATTATAAGTCCTTTAGCTTAATCTTTAGTTATAAGAGTAATATAAATATTAGATAGAATTATAGCATGTGTTTAGTATGTGCTGGACAGATAGCTTGCTATCATTTCTCATGAGTCGCAGCTAGCAATAATTGGTGTGCCGCGTGCCCAAATACGGCCTTCGGAAATTTATCGATCAACCTTGAAAGAATTCTCATCAGGTAAAGGAAAGCCCGGCTGTGAGCTTCAAGACACAGCATTGGTTCAGAGATATTTTGCGGTACCAAATCATTCTGTATTGATGAAAGCCGCTTCAAATAATCCACTCCCACCTAGGGTAGTTAGTATATACGAAATCAAAGATTATCTACGAGAATGCAAAAAGTGCCCCTGGCGCCCAATCCGCACACCGAGCTCTACACCGCGAGTCATCCTGCTAACCCGTTTAGCAAGCAGCGCCACCGCTGGGGATGTTCAGGCACTTGGTGCTCTTCTTTCCACCGCTGACACCGTTGCCGGACCAGGACCAGTTGGAGCAGGAACCCTTTCCACAAAGCAAGTAGACGTTGGTACCAGACGAGGCAACACTTCCCTTGACGCCGGTGACAGTAAGACCGGTGATTGGAACGCCAGTGGTGGGGCTGCCGGTCGGGCTGCCATTCTCGTAGTCCTGCTCAATGACAATACCATACTTGGCAATGTTGCTCAAGCTAATGTCGTTGAAGGTCACACCGGTGACCTTGCCCGTAGCCCCTGAGACCGTCTTGACACGGACACCATTGTCCGAGTTGATGACCTTGCTGTGCTCGATGTGCACGGTATCGACGACGTTGTCGCTCCGGCCACCAACAGAACCACTAACATCTGTCAGTCACCTGCTGCTGGTTTTAAAGTGGGCCATTTTGGAATATTTCAAAAAAGAAAAAAAAACCCAAAAGACCATCAATGCGTGGAATATGGGGGGCGTAACGGCAGAATAGAGCTTACATGGATAGGCCGTGGCCTCCAGTGCAAGAGCCACCGGTGAATGTGATGTTGGTGCCAGAGTTAATGGCAAGGCAATCACTGGATGTGTGTTAGTAAGTTGACAGGCATCGTGAGGCGATGTATTCTGTAACATGGCAGAATGTGGGAGTCAAATATGTGTAGAGAGGAAGGGTACTGACTCCTGGTTGTGCACGATGGCGCCTGAGATCCAGATATTCTCGGAAGAACCGACGTCAAACGCATCCGTGTTGTGGCCAAGCGCGCCCTTGTCACCGGCCGAGTTATCGTAAGTCCTAAGCATGAAGTTAGTCCTGCTGCAGCTCCTGAAGGGGTAGCACTCTGGAAAGTGCGTAAACTCGAAAGACGGGGTTCCGTGGCAGGTGTAAGAAGATACTTACACATCGACAACATTGAGGTCAGTAGCGGAGTTGATGCTCATGAACTGAACCGGCGAGTTCTTGACGTTCAGTCCCTTGATGTTGGACTGCTTCAGACCATGGGCGTAGAAGAATTTAGGCTTGGTCTTGCCACCATTGGAGCCCTTTCCATCCCACCACTTGGCGCCGTTGCCATCAATGACATGGCCCGACGCACCAGTGACCGTGATATCGGTTCCGGAGACGGAGCTACCTATGATGTTAGTCCTGGCTACATATGTTTAGGGATCCCGAGTATTGAGCCCTGGAACACTCCGACCCGGGCAGGACGGTGACCCGTGACAGCGGGAGGAAAAGAGTAAGGCTTACATGAGTGGGCCTTCCCACTCCTTGTAGCCGAAGGAAGTGGTTCCCTGGAAGATGACTTTGGTGCCAGTCTTGAGCTTAGTCAAGTCAAGCGTGGTGCCGGCAGGGACGGCGATGTTGTTAAGGGTGATGGTCGAGCACGAGGCCTTGCCTTTGGCAACGGCGGCGGCGTCGGTGAAAGTGCAAGCATCGGCTCGCTTGAGCTCAGCCGGAGCCGCGTGGATGAGGGGCAGCAAAGCTGCGAGGACAACGACGGGAAGCATTCTTGCGGGGTTGATTGTCGAAGACGGTGGTGTCAAAAGAAGGTAAAATTTAACGAATGTAGATCAAGCAATCAATGCTGGACTTCAGGGATGTTAGAATGAGAGACTGTAGAAGAGCTTAGCAAGGCTGATGGAGCTGAGATCAAGGTTTGACAGCTTGGCGACGGAACACCCTCTTATATATTCCAAGGGCAGAGAGCCATGGATGCGGACAGTAGGACAACCCCAGCTCGCGTCCACTACCCCTATTGCGGGAGTGCCGTCCGGATCATCGACGAGTGCCGGCAGAGTGGGACATTCGAAGCGGATATTACCAAGTGGGTACTTCCCAACTGGGGCAGGAAACGGAAGAAACATGAATAGCTAGAGCAGGCAGTGTTAGTCTTGGATCTTCATGGGTGCCGAATCAATTTGTTGCGTGGAGCTGGTCTCAGATGCCGCGCAAAAACCTGTCGACGCCAAATTTGATACTGCCACGGCGGTTGAGGACTATACTGTTGGAGAATTCGGTAGGAAGCTGTACAATGATCCAGCTTCCGCGGTAAGTCTTGCGTCCTGGTGATAATGATGGTAATAGAGCGAGAGTTGAAGACAGCAAACAAGTGACCAAACATTTCGTTTACGCGCGGCTTGAAATTGGGCCCGACCCACAAGTCAAGCTCTCGGTTGGACTGCTGATTGCTGCCCCTGCCCCTAAAGTAGGTAGCGTTGCATCTTAGATCAAACAGAGCTAGCGAATACTGGGGATCCTCCATGACCCCGTCATTTAGAATACGATCTAGCTCAAAGCCAAGCAAAAGCTTGACCTGGAGCCAAGTCCAATCTCTTCCATATTACACGATTGGTGGAATCTGATGCATCATTCCATTCCCATCAGCATGACCCATCGTCAGAGGAGCCTCACAAACGGGCACGCCCAAGGCCACCTATCCGGACTGACTCTGCCATGGAAAGCAGTCTCGCTAATGCGGACACATGACTGGGAGAACAGATCCACAACTTGGGCCCAGGGAATGGAGGCATGCTTGGTAGAGATGAAGGGACAGATAATCACAAAGATCAGATGTTAGCAAAGTCATTGAATACCACAAGCATACCAAGTTTGTCTCGGCAGCAACAAAGGTTCTGGGAACAAATGCCTTTTTCCATTTCCATCCCACACCACACCACTCTCTTTCCATAGCCCTACACCAAGGCTGTGTTCCACTCCATGACTTGACTTCCAGGACATTGGGCCTTGATCTATGTGTGTTTCTTGTAACGACTTCAAGCCTCAGGTTGGCCTGGTACTGCGAAACACTGAATCAAGCAAAGTGGGGAGCATTGGGCACATTCACAGCACAGAAATATCCTAGAGTTGATCATCTGCCTCGGGACACACCACGGGTGGCTGTTTTTCTGATGAGAGCAAAAATTGTGCCAAAGACCATGTGCAGGCCTGTAGACACGTTTGCCAGTAAGCCTTGTGCAGCAACAAGGCCCTGGGAGCTGTGACAGAGTTACTAGAATAATGGGGACCTGATCACAGGCACATAGATTCTGGACCCATCTCCCCACTGTTTCTAGTGCTTAGCAAATGCTTGTTTAAAGAATAAATGGAGCTCTTAGAGTCTGCTCCATTGCCTGGAACAATCTAATTCAGCCTTAGTCATTCAGGAGGCCAGTCTAGAGCCGCTACAGAGTGGAGTGCCCACATGGAAAGTAGCTCTGCTTACAACGTTCACAATTACGGACTATAAACGGCTGGATAACGTGTCACTTCTAAGCAAACACAGTTCACACAATTAAGACTAAAGTAAGTATAAGTTTAAGATATTCTAAATTATAGTATTAAAATCTAAAGATATTTTAACTACTTAATATTTTATTATAATATATTTAAAGTTTTAATTATATTATATTTTTTATTTAATTATTTTTTAATAGTTTAAAGTTTATATATAAAGTTTTTAATAACTTTATATATATATTTATAATCTTTTTATAAAGAAATTTTAAATTTCTTTTATTATATTTTTACATTATTAAAAGTTAATATTTATTAATAATAAAATATAAACTTAAAATAAATAAATTTATTATATATTTTTAATTTTTTATAAATTATTTTAAAAGTTTTTAGTTTTAATACTTTATTATAAAAGTTTTAAAATAATATATTATAAATTATTTTATTTTAAGTTTTTAAAGTTAATAATTATATATTTAAATAAAATTATAATATTAACTTTATAAATTTATTTAATAAAGATTTTATTAATATATATATATATATATATTTAAAAGAATAATTTTATTAAATATTTTAAATATAATTTATTTATAAAATATTTATTTTTAAAATTTAATTTTATTATATAATCTTTTATATTATTTTAATTAATATTATTATTAAAATAATATTTTTAACTTTATTTATATATTATAAAATTAAAATTATAAATATTTATTATATTATAATTATTATTATTATTATTATTATTATTATAATTTTTAAATATTAAATTTTAAATATTTATTATTATATAAAATATATATTTTTAAATATATATATAAAAGAAATTATATATTTAAATAAATATTTTAAATATAATATTAAATAATTTATAATTATAATTTTATAATTAAATTTTATTTAATTAATATATTTTATTTAAATTAAACTTATAATTTTTAATTTTAAAAATAATTTTTTAAATAAATAAAATTTATTTTTATATAATTATAAATTAAATTATTAATAATAATTTTTATTTATTTATAATAAAATATTAAAATTAAAAGATTAAAATTATATATAATTATAAAATATAATTATTTTATTTTAAAAGTTAATATATTAAATAATTATTTTTAAATAATTATATTTAAAAATATTTATTTAAATAAAATAAAACTTTAATTAAAAAGAATTAATAATTTTATATTATTTATTTTAATTAAGTTTTTATTAAAATTTATAATAAATTTAATATTTTAAATAATACTTATTAATATTAAATTAATTTATAATCTATAATAACTTTTATTTTTATAAATTAATTTATATTAAAATTAATAATATTAATTTAAATTAATATATTTTAATAAAATTAAATAAAAATATAGTATTTAAATCATTTATATTTTTAAATTTATTATTAAATAAAAGTTTATATATTTTTAAAATTTATATTTAATTATTTTAAATTAATATTATTAAAAATTAAAATTATTATAAAATATAAATTATTTAATTTTATTATATTTTTATTATATTAAAATTTAAATAATAAAAGAATATTTATATATTATTATTATATATATATAAACTTTTAAATTTAATAATTTTATTATTAAAAATAAAATAATTATTAATAATTAAATTTTTAATTATATAAAAAATCTTTATTATTTAAAAGAAATTTTATTATTAAAATTAATTAATATATATTAAAATTATTCTTTAAATATAAAATTAAAATATTTATAATTATAAAATTTTAATTAATTTTATTTAATTATTTTATTATATTATAATTTAATTTAATTTTTAACTTTATTTAAAGTTTTTTTAAACTTTTTAATATTTTTCTTTTAGAAAGTTAAATTTAAAAAGTCTTTAAATTTAAATTTAAAATTTTATAAATTTTAATTTTTTAAATTAAACTTATAATTATTAATAATATATATATTTTTTATAAAGTTATTAAAATTATAAATTTAAATAATAAAATATAATTATTTTATTTAATAAATATTTTATTTAAATAAAATTAAAACTTTTAAAAATAATAATTTTATTTTTATTTATTTTAATTAATTTATTTAAATTATATAATATTTTATATATAATATTTAATAATATTAAAATTAAATAGTTTATAATTTATAATAATTTTAATTTCTAATAAATTAAATATAATTTAATATATTAATATAAAAAATAATTTTTAATAATAAATAATATTATAATAATTATAAATTTATTATAAAAGTTTTATATAATAAATTTAATTAAATTAATTTTAAAAGTATATTATATTTTATTTTTTAAAACTTTAATTAATTATTTTAAATTAATAATAAAATTAAAAATATAAATAATTAATATATTAAAATTAAATAAAATTAATATTAAAATTAAATTAAATTTTATTTTTAATATATAAAGTTTTATTATATTTAAAATAAATATTATTTATATTTATTTTATTAAAATTTAATTTTTAATAAAAGTTTATTTTAAATATTATAAATATTTAATTAAATAATAATTATAATATAATAATTATAATATTATTTTAATAAACTTTTAAAAATAAATTTATTTATAATTTAAAATTATTTTAAAAGTTTAAATATTTTAAATATTTATATTATATTTATTTAAATTAAATAATAATTAATATTTTAAAATAATATTAAAATTAAAATATTTTTAAAATTTATAATAAATTTATTATATATATATTTTTATATTTATAAACTTTAATTTTTGTTTTATAATATTTAAATAATTATTATTTTTAAAATTAAATAATTTATTTTATTTAATATTCTTTTATTATTAAAATTTTAAATTAAAATATTTTTTAAATACTTTTAAATAAAACTTTTTTATATAATTTTATTATATAATTAAAATAATAATAATTTTAATAAAAATATTTAAAATTTATATTTTATTATTAAATAAATATTTTATTTAAAGGTTTTATTAAATTTTAAATATTTTAATTTTAAATTTATTTATTATAAAAATATAAAATAGTTATTATTAATATATTAATTTAAATTAAAATTTCATTAATTTTATATAAAAAATTTAAAATATTAAAAATAATTTAAAATTTAAAATTTTAAATAAATAATTAAATAAATAATTAAATAAATAATTAAATAAATAATTAAATAAATAAATAATAATATTTACTATTATTTTATATATATATTTATTTTAATTTATTAAAAATTAAATTAATTTTAAAAATAAAAACTTTTATTTATTTAATAATAAAATAAATTTAAAATAATATTAAAAATTTAAAAATAATATATTTTAAATTATTTATTAAAAAATCTTTTATTATAATATAAACTTTAATATAATTTATAATAATAATAAAATATTATAATAATATTTTTATATTAATTATAATAATAAATAAATAAAAATATAATAATTATAAAATTAAATTAATAATATTTAAAATAAATAAAAGTTTTTATTATTAAATTATTATATATATTTATAATTTAATATTAATTAATATTTAATATAAATTTAATATATAAAACTTTATTAAATATAAATAGATATTTTTAATTATTTTATTAATGTTAAATTTAATTTATTTTTATATTTTATAATTTTTATTATTAATTAATATATTATTTAATATAATAAAATTCTTTAACTTTAATTTAATATAAAATAAAATTTATAAAAATTAATTTAAAATTTATATATAAAATAATATTTAAAACTTAAAAAGTTTAAATTAAAATTAAAATTAAAATTAATTATAATAAAATTAATTAAATAAATAAAATTAAATTATAGAATTATAATTATAAGTTTTTAAGTTTTTTATAAAAATTTATAATTATAAAAGTAAATTTTAATTATTTTATTATATTATAATTATTTAAAATAATTAAAATATTTTAAAAAATTAATAAAATATTAAATTTAATTTATTTAAAAGAAAAATTAAAATAAATTTAAAATAATTTAAATATAATTAAATTATAATATAATAAATAAATTTAATAAAATTAACTTTAAATAAAATATTATAAATATTATAAATATTATAAATATTATAAATATTATAAATATTATAAATATTATAAATATTATAAATATTATAAATATTATAAATATTATAAATATTATAAATATTATAAATATTATAAATATTATAAATATTATAAATATTATAAATATTATAAATATTATAAATATTATAAATATTATAAATATTATAAATATTATAAATATTATAAATATTATAAATATTATAAATATTATAAATATTATAAATATTATAAATATTATAAATATTATAAATATTATAAATATTATAAATATTATAAATATTATAAATATTATAAATATTATAAATATTATATATTATAAATATTATAAATATTATAAATATTATAAATTTAAACTTATTAATATTTTATAAATATAAATATAATTATATTTTTAATTAATTTATAAAATAATTTATTATAAAATATATTTTTTTTAAAAGTTTAAAAATTAATATTAAATTAATTTTAATTTTATAAATTAAATTAATTATATAAATATAGAAAACTAGAAATCTAAGCTAGGGCTCTTAAAGCTATCCGTCTAACTAGCTCTTAAGCTTTATTATTTATTACTATTAAGGTTAGTTTAGGGACTATTCTACACGAATAGCAACAGGAGAACAACCTGAAATGGCACCATGCATTAATTTCAGTAAGAGCAGGTGGGGATTTTACTCAGCAGAGTTACCCAGGTGCATCTCAGATGGTTCGACAGGCAACTGTGGCACACACCCAATCATTGCACTAGCCATATCTGTATTTTTAGTACAGCGCCTTGGTTCGCTTATTGCTGGAAATTATTCAGCGTTCATTGGGGCTAGTGCCGGTATGTTGATGTTTAAAAGAGGGTGTTGTGTGAAATGTTTATAAATCTCAGACACGATTTGTACACAATTCTATCTTCCTTTTTTACCTCTCGCCTTCATGCCACCGAACCTCATCTTCATTGACTTATGTCCAACGCCCATGTTTCTATGTGAGCAGTGCGCGCGGTGTGGTCATTATGGTAAGTTCCAACGTTGAATGCAGTGTCACTGGTATATTAGAAACAAGGCTAAAAACTTTCTCAAAGTTTAGAGCGCGTTAGCTAATATGCCTGCATGACGGCAGAGAAAACGACAAATTAAGTAGAAAGTAGGTCTAACATGCTCCAGTGCATTTTCGAGCTGGCACTCGGTACGGATCAAGACAAACAGCGCCCCATGAAGCTCCCTGAAAGCACTTAGAACGCGTGCCATGTTGACAGTAATAGTGAAGCGTCTCAGCTGTGCTCTAAAACAGAGGCTGCTGTTGCCGGAGAAGGCCCGAGAGCCAAGAGCGATGCATCGCATCACGCAACCCTGGACCTTGCAGTTCTCAGCATTACGGGCTGGGACCTGGACCAGCGAGTCTCTGTGGCATCATCGATGTGCTACAGGCATTTGCTCCTGCAGGGAGGACTCATTCGACGACCTGTTGATTCCTTGACGATTCAACACATAGTCTGTTCCTTTTAATGATGTCGAATACACTGTCGTGGAGATAGCACGACAGAGGTGGGCCATGCTTGCATTGGGCGATGTTCTGTGTGCCTCGTTGGGCCAGTCATACCGCACGAACTGTGCCGCGCGATAGTGGCATGGTGGGAAAACCGGGTGCGCAGCTAGACAGAGTCGTTCAGGGCATTAAATGAGGAACACGCCAGCTTCCCAAGGTGCAGTAAGCAGACCAAGTCAGCAAGGAGATATGGAACACCTGAAATTTTCTTATCGTGGCTGGTACACTGACAGGATCACAAGCAAAGGGGTTGGTCAGTCTTACCAGACCTTGTCACCAATATATTGGCTTGGTCTACCCCTGCCAAGCGATGCCTTCATTATGGTTCGCACGGTGAGAGAGCCTGCATAGATTCCTTTCTCACCAAATGCAGGGATGCTGAACTAGGTAAGTACCTCCTAAGGTATCCCGCCGGAAGAGGTGAAGTTGGTCTAGAAACGGCACATGTAGTGAGTGACCATTGCTGCGCTGTCGGCTTTGCCTATTAGTCCTCCGCACACCATTACCAAACGACCCTTGATAAACAAACAGCAATTCTCTCTGAGCTTCCGAGTCGCTTCCCCATCCGAGACTTCGGGCCTGACACTTCAGGGGGCCAAGAACCCGGGCGTGGATCATAGGATCAGACGGAAACATTGTTTTAGAAACACTCATGTGTGAGTGGGCAAAACCTCTTGATGGACAGTGTGAATCGCCAAGAGAGGGAAAAAATGGAGAAAGGATGATCTCGTGTACGTCGTTGGAATCAGGTCAGTCTCCTGAACAATCTTAGACGGAGGAGTCGACCCCATTGGGCGCCCCGGTCCCCAATTTTTGGCCAATATTTGGGTTATCTTCCCGGCAGCATCTTGGAAAAGATCATGGGGAACAGGATTCCACACCCGCAGCCGAACAAGATGTTGGGCCCGACTGCTGTACATACACAGCATGTAGACGCCAGCGGGCCGGTGTTTTGGCTGCCCAGGACTTCAGGCGGCTTGGAACCAGGGCGTGTGGCACCACTTGTGAGCCGCATTGCCTGGCTAGATGAGGTCACAATCAGACGGCCTGACGGCAAGGTCTCGAGCGGTCCTAAGCACGTGGGGTGGCGCAGATGAAACATGGAAACGGCTGCGCTCTGCTGGATCCGACATTGAAGCATGGCAGAGGCAGGAATGAGCCTGCCTGCTGGCGCTTGCAGAGGCATGATCCCTGCTTGCCAAGACCCCCTGCGACCGACCTTCATCAAAAAACCCCCACTTTCCCAGGCACAAGCGAGCTACGCCCCCAAGTTCCACCAGTGGCCAGCCTGGTGTAAGCCCGGCAGAAATCTTGGTGTTTCGAGCAAACAATCTCGTTTCCGCTTCTACACTACTACTGTGTGTAGATCTCTTGCCAGGCCTGCAGGCCCACCAGTTGAGCCGCCTCGGTTGACTCCGGATGGGCGCCTACTCTGACGTCCTGGCTGCAGCCACTCAGGAGTCTGTCGACGCTATGCCGCGTCCAGGAGATATTCCCGCGGGAGCTGTGGGCATTGACCATCCCAAGAGCTTCAAGCGAGCTCATTCCTGGGCCAATATGCGAACACAGTGCCTGTCCCGAGGCGGAGATGGATGCCGTCACCCCAGCGCTGACGTTCTTACACAAACAACTGGAGACGCATATACTTGTCTAGGCGCGTATATCAAGTATATATATGCATACATCTCTGCCCTGACCACCTCTGCCTCGTCTTCATCCCTCCAGCACTCATCTCATTGCAGGCCACACTCTTTGGTTCTTACCACCTTCCTTCTTTTTTCTTCAACCATCTGACTATCCTGTCATCTTCACTGTGTGAAGCTGGGACATTCATTCTTTGAAAGCCTACCTCGTCAACCGTCTACTTCAACGAAACTACGCAAACCCACATTCTTCATCAAAAATGTCTTCATTCACCTCCAAGCTCGCCCTTGCCGGCGCTGTCCTCGCCTCCAAGGCTGCTGCCCACGGCATTGTTCAGGCTTTCGCCACCGACGGCCAGTACCAGGAGGGCTACGTCCTCGGCGACTACTACGCAAAGCTGAACACCGGCGAGGCCCCTGCCAAGGCCGGCTGGTACGAGGAGGCCACTGACAACGGCTTCGTTGCCCCCTCCGCCTACGGCGAGCCCGACATCATCTGCCACAAGAATGCCGAGAACGCGGCCAAGACCGGCACCGTCGCCGCCGGCGGCAAGGTCGACTTCTGTTAGTCTACACCCCTGGGGATCGAGGCCCCTTTGATTCGTTGATTTGTCAGTTCGGATACTAATCTCGCGTATGCTTGCAGACTGGACTGCTTGGCCCGAATCTCACATCGGGCCCGTCCTGACTTACGTCGCCAACTGCGGTACCGCGGACGATGCCTGCTCCACCGTCGACAAGACCACCCTCAAGTGGGTCAAGATTGACGAGGCCGGCATTAACCTGGACACCCAGAAGTGGGCTGCCCAGGACCTGATCGCCAACAACAACACCTGGTCCGTCACCGTCCCCGAGAGTCTGGCGCCGGGCCCCTACGTCTTCCGTCACGAGATCATTGCTATGCACGGTGCTGGCTCCGAGAACGGTGCCCAGAACTACCCCTTCTGCATCAACATCGCCATCACTGGCAGCGGTACCGAGAGCCCCGAGGGCACCCTGGGTACTGAGCTGTACACCTCCACCGACCCGGGTATCCTCTTCAACCCTTACACCACCCTGACCGACTACAAGATCCCCGGCCCTGCGCTGTTCGGCTCTGGCTCGACCGGCGGCTCAACTGGCGGCTCGAACGCCGGCTCAAGCAACTCCACCACCCCCGCTACTCCCATCGGCAGCGGAGCCTCGCCCTCAGCGACCGGTGGTGCTCTCCCTACACCCACAGGCTCCCCCGTCACGGGAGGCTACGCAGATGGTGACGACAGCTCTTGCACCAAGAAGGCGCGCCGTCACGCTCGTGACCTCACCCGCCGCAACTAAGCCAGAGATCCTCTGGCTTGTTCAAGGTGTTTGTAAGATACGACTTTTTGGAGGACATGGGTGGTTCCAATAACCTACTTCGTTGAATTGTACATATAGACTTTCTTTCTCGATAAACCTCAGTGTGCGGCCTACTTTTCGGGCTGTGCCTGCCCCTTGTCAATATCTCTTCGGGGCACCTCGAAATGCAATGCAGATACGTCGAACCTATAATAATGCCGTTGCCAACATGTGAATGAATGTACTTAAAGAAGGTCGGTCTAACTATATATAATTCTTATAACGGGAGGCGCGACTGCTAGCTATACACCTTAACTATCTAGCTAAAAAACTATAATAACTAATCTATTTAATTAGTTATATAGTAGTATATAAGTATTATATTATTATTACTCTATTTTAAAGTTTTTTAAAATATATAAATATTTAAAAAAAGTAGTATTATTAAATAGATTTTATTAAATTAATATATATATTTATAAAATTCTTTTTAAATATAAAGTTAAAAAACTTATAATTATAATTTTATAATTAATTTTTATTTAATTATATTATATTATTATAACTTTATTTAACTTTATTTATACTTTTTAAGTTTTTAACTTTAATATTTTTAAAAAATTAAAGCTTTATATTTTTAATTTTAAATTTAAAATTTTTATAAATTTTAATATATTTTAAATTAAGTTTATAATTTTAGTTTTTAAAATATATTAACTATTTTAAATATTAATAATTCTTTTAAAATAAAAGTTTATTTTTATATAATTATAAATTTAATTATTAATAATTATTTTTCTTTTATTTATAATAAAACTATTAAAATTATAAATTTAAATAAAAGTATAGTTATTTTATTTAATTATTTTTAAATTTAGTTAAGTAATTACTTTTAAATAGTTTTATTTAATAAATATTTATTTAAATAAAATTAAATTTTTAATTAAAGAAATAATAACTTTATTTTTATTTATTTTAATTAATTTATATTTATTTAAATTATATAATAACTTTATATATAATATTTAATAATATTAAAATTAAATAGTTAATAATTTATAATAATTTTAATTTTTAATAAATTAATAATATTAATTTAAATAAATTAAATATAATTTAATATATTAATATAAAAATATTTTTAATTATTAATATAAGTTATTATATATATATATATATAAAAATAGTTAATTAAGTTAAATTATATAGGAGGGAGGAAGCTAGGCTTAAAGCTAGTAATAAGTCCTTTATTATAACCTATTAACTAGAATTATATAATATAACTTAAACTATCTACTAATTATAATTACCTTTATTCTTATATTAATAGTTTTTATTAAATAGTTAAGTAATTACTATAAAAATTTAATTTCTTTTAAATCCTTTAAGTTAAGTTAAACTTAAACCTTTATCTTTCCTTAATTTAATAATTTAAAATAAATATATTAATTTTTCTATATAAAATCTTTAATTTTAATAAAATTATTAATTAAAAATATTAATTTAAATATTTAAACTTTTACTTTTAAATATGTATATAGATTTAACTTTTATTATTTATAAAATAAGTAAATAAATTAAAATTTAAAAACTCTAATATATAATAATTTAATAATTTAATAACTCTAAATTAAATTAACTCTCTCTTTTATTATTATAAGTATTATAATTATAAAACTTAATTAAAAATATTTATAAAATATAAATTAATAACTTAAATATTTATATAATAATAAATAATATATATACTTTTTAACTTTATTAATATAAACTATTAATTTAAATATTAATTATAAGGTTTACTTTTAAAAAAATTTAAAGTTAATTATAAGTTATTATATAATTTATAAATTATTAAATATAAATAATTTATAAAATATAAATTTAAACTTTTATTAATTTATTTTATTATAATTTTATATCTTTATTTTTATTAACTTTTTTAATTATTATTTTTATTTTTAATTTATAAATTTAATTATCTTTAATATTCTATTTATAAATTTTAATAACTTTTAATTTTATTAAAGTAAATATATTAATATATTAAGTATTATTAATATTTAAAGTTTAATAAAATTTAATATTTTTATTAATATAACTTTATACTTAAAGTTATAACTTATTATTAAAATAAACTTTTAATACTTTATTTAATATTACTTTTATTATTATATTTATTAAATTATTTTATTATTAATTTAATAAATTTTATTAATCTTTTATATTTATATAATTAATAAAAGTATTATTATATTAATTATTAATTACTTTTTTAATTATTTTAAATTTAATAAAATATTTATAAAATAATTTATATAAATAACTATAAAATTTATAATAACTTTAAGTAATTAATAATTTTTAAATATAATAGAAAATATAATATCTATATTAAAGTTATTAATTATATTATAAATTTTAAATATTAATATACTTTAAGTAACTTTATATTTAATAAAGAATTAATAAATAATATTATTTATTATATTTTAATAAATATTATTTTAATTAAACTTAATAAAAGATAATTATAAAATTAATTTATAAATTAAAATTTATATTATTAATAAATAATTTATTTATAAAATTATAAATTTAATTTTAATAATATTTATAAAATATAAATAAAATTTATAATTTAAATTATTAATTTATTATTATAAATATTTATTTAACTTAATATAATTTTTTTAAATAAACTTTATAATTATATTATTATAAATTAAATATTACTTTTATTAATAAATAAAAATAAATATATTTTTAAATATACTATTTTATAAATTTCTATATATAATTTAATACTTTAATATTAATTAATTTTAATTTAATATTTTAACTCTTTTAATATATATAAATATTATTATTTTTTTAATAATAAATAATTTATAAAATTAAATAAAATATTAAATATTAATATTTATTTTAATTTATATAAAGGTTTTTAATCTTTTTATTAAAAACTTTATAAACTTAAAAGTATTTAAATTTAAAGTATTATTAATTATATTATTATATTTAAAGTTATTTTATATTTTAATTTAATAATTAATAAATATAAATTATATATAAAATCTTTATATTAAAATTTTTAATATAATATTCTTAATATATAATAAATTAATAAACTTTAAATTCTATAATATAAAAAAAGTTTAATAATTTTTATAATAATATTTAAAAATATTTATATTAAATTTTTTAATAATTATATTAAAAATATTCTCTTAACTTAAATTAAAATTATAAACATATTTAAATAATATTTTAAAATATAATTTTATATTAAAAATATATTAATATAATTATAAAAGCATAAAAAATATTAATTAACTCTTTATATTATTAATAATTATATAAAATATTTTTTTTATTATTATACTTTTAAAAATAATTTAAAACTTTTTATATAATTTAATATTTTATTTTTAATTTTATATATAATATAAATATTAAAAATATAAATTTTATTATATTTCTTTTATTATATAGTTTAAAAATAAAAATATTAACTTTAATTAAATTAAAGATTTTTAATATATTTAATTTTTAAAACAATTCTTTAATATATTAATTATATTATTTTATTTAAGTTTTAAAATAAATATATAATTCTTTTCTTTTTTTTATTATAAAATTTATTAAAACTTTTATAAATATAAATATTATTTTAATTTATTTTTAATTTATATAATTATTCTTTTATTATAATTAAAGTAATAATAATATTTTTAACTTTATATACTTTTTTATAAAAATATTTATAAATATAATATAGTTTTTAATTAATATATTTTATTAATTTTAACTTATTAATAATTATATTAAAGTTATTACTTAAAATTTTATTATTTATATTATTTTAAAAATATTTTAAATTTATATAAATTAAAAGATAATTAATTTATTAAAAGTTTAATATTATATTATATTTATTAATTATAATTAATTTATATAAACTTTATTAATTATTTTTAAAATATAAATATTATTTTAAAATAAAATAAATAAAATATTAAATATATTTAAATTATTTTAAGTATTTAATATATTATTTATTTAATATTTTATATTTATAAAGTATAATATTTTTATTATTTTTAAATAATAACTACTTTTATAAATATAAAAGAGTTAATAATAAATTTTAATTAATTTAAAATATATTTTAATATAAAATATAAATATAAATTTATTAAATTTTATAATATTATTAATAATTTTAATATATTTATAAAATAAACTTTTATTAAAGGTTAAATTAAATTTTATATAAAGTATTTTAAATATATATTAAAAGAGATTATAATATTACTTTATTTTATTAATTATTTAATAAATTTTAATAAATATTTATTTATAAATAATTTATAATTTAAATAGTATTTTTAAATTTTATTAAAATAAAGTTAATTTTAATATTATAAATTAAATAGTTTAATAATTTTAAATATATATTAATTTATATTAATTATAAATTTTTATATATTTTATAAAAATATAAAAGAATATTTTAATTTAAAAAAGTTATTAAATTAATAATATATAAAATAAAAATATAAAAATATATTATATTAATTATTATTTTATAATTAAAATTATAATTATTTTTAAATTAAACTTAAACTTTTATAATATTAAATTATAAAGTTAATAATAATAATAAAATTTAAAATAATTTTTAAATAAAATTTAATAAAGTATTTAATATTAAAAATAAATATAAAAGTTAATTAATTAAAAATATATAAATTATTAATAAAGTTATTAAAGTTTAACTTTAATAAAAATATTTAATACTTATTTAATTTAATTTTTATTAAAACTATAAATATTTTTATTTTTATATAATAAAAATATTTATTAAATTATTCTTATAATATAAATAACTTTATTTATAATATTTTAAAAATATATAATATAATTATATTTTATATATAAAATAAAAAGTAAATATTTTTATAATATAAAATATTATTTTATTAATTAATATTTTAATAGTTATAGTTTTATTAATATAAAATAAAGTTTATTATTAAATTTAATTATTATTTTACCTTTATATAAAATATTAAAATTATAAATAAATTAACTTTATAATATAAAAATTAATTATAACTATTAATAGAGAATTTTATAACTTTAATATTTAAAATAATTTTCTAAAAGTATTTATATAAATATTTATTATTAAATATAAATATTTATAA